GGCTTGGGGATGCTAAACAGGGTCTTCATACTTTAGGGTTCAGGGTTTTAAGGTTTTGAGATGGCGTAAGGTTTAGGGTTTAGGGCTGCGGGTTTCGGTTTAAGGCGGCTTGGGAAGTTTGTTTGCGTCACTTTTTCGAAAGGGCATGGGGCTCTTGACAAGTGTTCGAAAGGGGATAGAGGTTCAGGGATGTTAAACGCAAGGGGCTCCAGTCGAGCTTGACGGTTGCCCAAAAACGTTTCGAATTAAACATGTCAAGCCCGCCCGTAAGCCCGACAACCTCAACCCTGAACCCCAAACCCACAACCCCCAAAATCCCTGGGGTCAGGCACCCTAAACCCCGAAACCCTAGACCTTAAACCCCAAATCCTAGGCACTAAGCCCTGGGGACAGGCACCCTGAAACCCTGAAACCCTAAACCCCCAAACGCACAGCCCGAAACCCTGGGGTCAGGCACAGAGAAGACGGAGTTATAAGTACCCGAATTGGAGTTACCCCAACTACAACCTTAACTAGCATGCCCAGTATTACCCGTATTCCCTTTTTGTAGTCCTAGGTTCCTTATAAAGGTACAAAGGGAGCCCTTTGTATTCCTAGGTTACTGGGCATCCCAGCCTTAACTATAAACCGACCTACTAAGTCCCCTGGGCCTCCCAGTGGCGCCAGGCAGAGAGGAGACGGAGGAGTTTGGAGATGGAGAGCACCTGTCCCTGTAGGGAAGATCGCCGGCGCTCGGGGCTGAGACTCTGGGGGGGGAAACATGGGGGTTTCCGAAAATAAGGGGGGGGGGTCCTTGAAAGGGATACTACAAGGGTAGCTTTAAGGGTTCCTTTGAATACAGGGCTCTATAAGGGATCTATAGGTGACAGATGGGAGAATCAATTTCGGGGCTCCTAAGCCTGCAATCTAAAAGGCCCCTGTTGGCTTGCAATCATTGTATCAGGTGCCACCAAACAAGACCAGAGCGCTACTAGAGGGGCTGAATTTGGCGATGTATTCTAGCAGGGTTATAGTCTTAGTGATGTTTCTAGCTGTTCAGGAATCCCCGATGGTAGGACAAATTCCAGGCTGCAGGACAGCGAAACCCGAAGCCGAAAAGGTTTTGGCGGTTTACGGTTTAGGGAGTCAGGAGCTTTACGATTTATGATGTTGGTTGTAGAAGCTAAGCGAGACATTTGAAGACTTTATGGTTAATGGTGTTCAAGCATTCGATTGGGCAATCTAGGAGCCTTGAGGCCCTAGGCCGCAAAGCCTGACCCAAAACCTTAAACTTTATGTTTAGGGTTTAGGGTTCAGGGTTTAGGCCTGGGTTGTCCTTTGGGATCAAACCCTGACCAGAAACCAGCCACAAACCTTAAACCATTAACTCTTACCCTAAACCCTTACCATAACATCCATAAGCCTTCAACCCGTGCCTTGATCCCTTAACCCTTAAACCCTAAACACTATATCCTTAAACTCTGAAGACCATCCTAAACCCTAAGCCATCCTAAAGCCAAAGCCCCTAAACCCTAAACCCTGAACCGGTGTGCGCTTGCAGGTGGCATGCTGCTGCCCCATGGAGCGAGCACGCTCAAAGATTTGAGCCACAATGGCGTGGCGAGGGACGTTGGGTTTGCAGGGCATAGGGTTTAGGGAGGGGTTTAGTTTAGGGTTTGGGGGGTAGGGTTTGGGGTGTAGGCTTAGGCTTATTGGATGTATGTTGGCTTAGTTTGATGTCCGAACCCATGGTTGGGGAGTGTACAGTCACCAAGCCGATTTCAAGATGCCAAATACCGGGCAGAGTGCACGCTTGCCTTGCTTCGCAGAGCTTTCTCCAAAGAGCTGTAGAAACCGAGTTCTATGGGGCTGCGTGCAAGTTTCCTGCATGCTTACAAGTAGGGTCATGGGTCAAAGCCGAGGGAGTTGTGAGTCTATGAAAAATTAGCCCATTTGAAGCAAGTGTGCACAAGTAATGGCCTTGTTTGGAACCAATCAAAGTGCTTGTGTTGTTGTATCTAGTAAGATTAGAATGCTTAACTTCGACGCAATGCTTTTTTGAGAAAGCTCTTCGAGTGTCGGCTCGCCTATGCAGTTTGTCCCTGGCATGACCTTGCCGGCTGTGAATTTGCTGTCTCGATCTGGGGGTTGTTCTCATGGACACGAAGAATGGACCTTAGCCCAACTTGGAACAACCTCCAATGTGTCAAGCATCCACGTAACATCGTGGGGGCTTGTCTTGAGATCTCACTTCTGCACCGGCACCCATCAGATGACAGCACCATGTCATCCGAACCACTGGCAAGATGCCTGAGGATCCAAATAGTCCCAGCCAGCCCTGCGCGCTGCAAAGCCCCTAAACCCTACACACCCTTAAACCCTAAACCTTAAACCCTAGTACGTGATTCTTAGAGCCTGGGGCCTCGGTGTTTGGGGTTGTGGAGTGTGCACTACAGCCAAATGCTCAATCCCCTTATGATCAGAGGCTTCATGCTCGTTTGAGGGATTTTCTCCATTTTAGTCAGTTGATTGCCAAGAAACCTACTAGTTTGACCGGTGCTGTGCCAGTCTCAGTTGAGAGTGTGTGTGAAGCCCTCAGCTCTTTCAACCCAATCACTGCGCCGCTTGTTTGAGGTCACTTACAGGTCTCAACCTCGGTACAAGTTTAGGGTTTAGGGTTTAGGGTCTAAAACCCAAACCTGTAGAGTTTAACAGCTGCAGGATCAAGGTGAATCTACGCGCACTATGCCTTAGAAGCTGCCCCCACCCTGTAATAGTGGTATAATAGGAATATAATAGGGCCCTAATATAATCCTATATAATCCTTATGGTCACTGTTACAGGGTGGGGGCCCCTTCCAAACTATGCCATCAAGATATTGATTACAGCGCTTTGCGGCAGTCAGTCGGTCAACATCACGGCACCGGAGTTTCGGGTTATGGCATCAAGAGCAGAATGCATGATCCACTCCCTGAAACCCTGGACCTTCAACGGTAACCTTTAACCTTTTGGGGCTTATATATGTATATATGTATGTGTATATATATATATATATATATACAACCCTACTATAATTCAGAAGGTTGGCCTTTTTTGGGCGAGGGTACTCAGCCCCTAAGGTAATTAGACTAGGCTTCCGTTGACAAAAGGTTTAAAGGGGTCTTACTAAGTTGAATAAGGCTCCTTTCAGGCAAGGGTACTATCGGCGCTTGCCAAGTCCTTAGTTATTAGAGTAGGGAAGCCCTGGACCTTTCACCCGGCAGCCCCCCCCCACATTTCAAAACGAATCCCTGAACAGCTAAGCCTCAAACCCTTAAACCCCTGAACTCCTAAATCCTAAACCCCTAAACCGTTAAACTCCCAAACTTCAATCCCCAACCCTAAACCCTTAAACTAACCCCGAAACTCCTAAACTCTAAAACCCCCGAAGCACCACTTGGCACACCCATGGTCTCGAGAAGAGCAATGCCCAGCGCGCAGACCATCGGGGCAGATGCCGTGGATGCGCGAGCCCAAGACCTACGGCTGATGATATAAATCCTGCACTACCTTAAGGACCTTAAACTATGGGAATTATGGTATATTCCTTAATCTGGGCAATGCAGGATTTATATCATCAACCGTAGTAGCAGAGTAGGGGTATTATGAGGTTTTTACAAAAGTACTGTGAGGGTTCTATGAGGGTTCCTAGTGTGAGGGTTCCTAGTGTGAGGGTTCCTAGTCGCAGAGAAGTGCTTAGGACATATTATAAGGTTTTAGAGACCTTTTTGGGGGTATTATAATCATAATCTTTAGATCATCGCAATATACTCCCAAAGGTTGACCTTCAGTTCCCCAGGATACTCGAGAAGTAGGAGGAGATGAGATGTTTTGGGGGGTTGGAGCTCTGCTAAGGGCTTCAGGGTTGAGGGTATAGGGTTCAGGCTGCCTACTGCTCCCACTCGCTAACAGCTCAGTGATACGTACGATGTGGACATAGGGTTTAGGTTTTTAGGGCTGCGAATGGTAACCCTGTAGGAGTATGGGATACACCCCTTCGGATCGGGCCCAGTTGTGGTTGACAAGGGTCGCAGTCGCTTCTGCCCAGAGACTCCAATATCCTCTCAATGAGGAATCTACCTTAAATTTAGATTATAGTAGGGATCCCTCGTAGGATTTACGGTGCAATCCTTGATTGAGGGATCTTCGAGTCACTGGGTGTTGGGGTTTGAGGGCGATTTTTCTAAGGAGCCAGGGATGATGATAATCCGTATTAAACAAGGAGCTAAAGAGCCAAGGGAACCCCACAACCACTGGTTAGCAGGGCTTTCCTGGTTTCAGGTTTACCCGGACCCCAAACTAGGATGCCCAGCAGTACCCTCATTCTCTTTTCGTAGTCCTAGGTTCCTTATAAAGTTACCCAATACCGAAAAGGGAGCCCTTTTTATTCCTAGGTTACTGGGCATCCTAGCCAAAGTACGTAGAGCCAATAGCCAATCGCAGGTGTTGGGCCATTATTTCGCCTCCTGCGTGTGGGGGGGGGGGGGGGGGTAGGTAGGGTTCTGGTGGAGTTCAGAACAGGGTGCTTTTGTCTTTTACTACAGGGGCCGCAAAAATTACCTATACTATTTTGGTGGTTCCTTATTCTAAAATTATAGTAGAGTATACCCCAAAACCCTATTCTAATTATTAAGGCCCCTACCGCGAGCTTCTTTGTTTCAGGAGTCAGCTTAAAGGTAACCCCAGAAAGTTGGAATATGGATTAATGGTAGGATCCCCTATAATTTACCTTAAAGGGGTTACCATAATAATGATATTCCAACTTTCTGGCTTCTACTGTAGAGACTTCAAGTCAAGTCCTGATCCATGGAACCACCACGCCGGCAGCATCCCGTTGGGGGCCTTATTGGTTTAGGGTTTATTGTTGTGTAGTGCACGTGTGCACGGAGTGACATGTACGAGCGGCAACAGCAGACAACCGCAGCTGTTGCCCGCTCGAGGTTCTTTCAAGCTTTTCAGGATAGCCGCCCGCTCGCGCCGCAATGTCCTCGAGCTCCCCGACTACAAGTGCGGCCGCGGCTGATGGTGCTGCCGGAGCAGCCACGACAGTGGAGCAGTTCCGCAACGCCATGGCGGTCTTCGAGACCTTTCCGCTTCTGGATGACGACGACTTGCGCGTTCTGCTCAGGAGCCTGGGTTCGGTGCAGCTCCGCAGAGTGCTCGGCATCGGGCACACGGTACTCATGGGTACCGATGCCCACTACGCGGCCCGGATCTCGGCTCGCGACCGCACGCTCGAGCTGGCCCAGCAGCAGATGCTGACGCAAGGGACAACGCCTTCGCCGATGCCCGGACCGCTGCTCAAGAGCATGGGGAAAGCCGCGGGCCCTCCGCTCAAGGCCATGCCCGCCAAGCCGCCGAGCACCAGCCCGCCACCGAGCTCTTCAACGTCTCCACCTAAGCAGCCGACGGGGACGGAGCAGCCGAAGACGAAGGCCTCAAGTGTGGCCAAGGGCGTTCCGGCTACCACCACGCCCAAGAAGGCGACGATCCAGGACCCGCCCGCCTCGCCGGCCAAAGCAAAGGCTGCCTCCGCAGCTCCGATCGCTACGCCGGCCAAGGCCGTGGTTCAGCAGAAGCGACCGCCACAACGACCCAGCGACTACGACAGCACCTTGGCGGCAGTCTTCACCCAGCCGTACGTGGACACAGTGCCACAGGACCTTGAACTGATGGCACCACCACCTTCGGCCTCGCCTTCGCCCGCTCCGCCTTTGCCGCCGCCCAGCTCACCGCCGGTGGAAGTTTTCTTCGACGAGCTGGCGCCCGACCTTGAGGACTTCCTGCAGGCTACGGCGGCTGCCTCGCAGCCAGTATCCACCTCTGACGTCGAGGACGCCACGCCCGAGGACCCGGTGGAGCAGGACGACGACGGAGGCCAGGACGACGGGGACGACCAGGATGATGACGATGACCAGCCCAGGGTCACCTCACGCAGGCTGCTGTGCGTGTCGCCCGCTCAGCCCGACCCGTCCTCCACGGCAGGAGCCTCGACAGCAACAGGGGCCAACGCCACAGCGGAGGACACCGACGAGGATGATGGGGCGCCCGGACCGAGTCAGCCGACTCCGGTGCCCGACCCGCCGGTGGCGAAAGCGTCGTTTCCTTCGCCCGCCGAGGTGTCCCGCGACCAGGCTCGCCTCGCTCGTCGCCGCGATCGTGAAGAGCGGCTTCGCGCTTGGGAAGGGTGGCCTGAGCCATGCGACTTGCTGACGGGCGAGACCAATGTCGTTTGGAACTTGCCACCGGGCGTCCCGGCACAGCCTCCACCCGGCAAATATGCCGACCACCGCGTGGAAGGCTACTGCAACTTGGGCTGCGAGACGCGCAAAGCCGACCGCACGCCAGTATGTCAGGGCCGGTGCTTTCGTCCCATCATCCGAACGCGATCGGGGACGGCACACGGCAATCACTTTTGCGGTCCATGCGAGCGCGCTCGCTCCGCAGGAAGGCGCTGAAGAGCGGGCCTTCTGATTCTTCCATGGCGACCGGCGGTCATACAGCAATCACCGCCTCGCCTCGCAACCCCCGCGCCGCCCGCGCCGTCAAAAGAAGGGGTCCGAGCTTTTGCGACGAGCCCGCTCCCCCCGCCCGAACCACAGGAGTGAGTGAGTGCTGCTCCTCCCCTCTTGCATTAGGTCTTTCCTTTCTCTGACTCTCTTCTCTTCCGAAGCCGGCTGACAGGAGTGCCTCTTCTCTTGCATTAGGTCTCCGCTCGCGTTGACTCTCTCCCTCGAGCGCTTGCAAGGGACTCTGTTTGCAAGGGCATGTGCAGTTTGTACTTTCATGTCGTGCCTCGTGGTCGGTTCGTCTCGCTCGCAACGACAGTCTCGAGTGCTTGCACCTTCCCCTGCCCGACGCCCCGCAGCTCGAACCTGTCAGGTCATACCACTTCACGCACAAGAAGCTGGACGCCCGCTCTGCGTAGCCGTTCTCTTCAAGGCTCAGGTTGTTTGCTCGTACGTTGTGCACGCGCGCGCACGCCACGCCATGTCGGCTTTCGACTACCACTCGTTCGTGGACTTCATGCAAGCAGCGGTTTCGGCCGGATTGTCGTCGCAAACCATCGACAAGATGAGCGAGCTGGGGTTCGAAAGCATACATGATGCGGCACTCCGCGCGAAGCACGTCGATCATCGACTCGCCGGTGAGATCGAGGTCATGTTGGTCACGTCGGGGTACAAAGACCACATGGAAGCCAGCCAAGGGAGCGCCCCGCCCCGCGGACCCGCGCCGCGCTTCGACCAGCCTGCTCCGAGAACCTCAGCTGGCGGCATGTTGAACAAGGCCTTGGCAGCCGCTGACCCGCTCAACTCGGAGGAGGCCTTGCGAGACTTTCGGGACAATGTGTACGCCCGCTCCGCGCGAGCCCCGAATGACGCTCGCTGGGTCACCTGGTGCAAAATTTGCGCGGCCTGGGGAATCAGCCCCGTGCCGCTGACCGCCGACACCATCGAGAAGGTCGGCACGAGTTTTCGCAGCGGGGGCTACCGCAGCTCCGCTCAGTACTTCTCTCGGGCTCGCAAGGAGCACATACATGTCACGGGCCAGGCTGTCCCCCCGCCCGTGGAACTGGCGATACGCGACGCCATCAGGTCTATCGAGCGAGGCATGGGCACCAACTCCCCCAAGGACGCCTTTCGCCTCGACTCCCTCGACATCTGCATTGACCTGCTCGAGGAAGGGCTTCGCTTTCACCATGCCATGGTGGTCCTGGGATCCTGGTTTCTTTGCCGCGAGATCGAGCTCTCCGCGCTCCGGGTCAAGCACATGACTCTCGATTCCGAAAGAAAGCAAGTATGCCTCACCCTGTCCGCGAGCAAGAACGACACCGTGGGGTCAATGGTGCAGCGACGACACTCGTGCTATTGCGGCACCATCCCGGAGACGATCTGCCCGTACCACGCGGCGCTCCGCATCGCCGACCAGTGCTCTTCCGACTCCGAGGCCTTTATTTTCGCAGCCGACACTGGCGAGCCCATGACGAAGGCACAGACGATCGAGGCGATCCACGCAGTTCTCACCGCGGCCGACGTGCCGCTGACCAGAGCCGGAGCGCCCCTCGAGCCCGAGGTGAACAGGTTTGGGGGACACTGTCTTCGAGTCTCGGGCGCCCAACACCTGTGTCGCATGAGAATACCGGTGAGCACGATCATGTTGCTCGGGAGATGGGGGAGTCGCGCGATCGAGCGCTATGTCCAGGACACCGAACTCGAGGACGCCCTCTACGGCATCGCGGCCGCCGGCCTTCCGACTCTTCCGACTGGTCCTGCAGCCCTCAAGGACAAGACGCACGACTCCCCTCCCTGGACCCTCGTGCACAACCTGGAGGAGTCCGAGCCAGCGCCTCCGCCTCGACCGACGAAGAAAGCTCGCTCGACAAAGACAGACGCAGAGGACAAAGAGGCCGTGGCAGCAATGATCGGATCGCTTGATGACATAGCCGCGCGCCTCGAGTCGATCCAGGACAGGCCGGACCTGGTTTGCAAGCGCAAGGCACACATGAGGGACCCCGAGGAGTCCTCACGACCGCCAGCGAAATGGCGTGCTCGCTGCGGCTGGCCGTACGGCTACTCCAACTTCACCCGGGCACATGACGATGGTTCTCAGAACCTGTGCCTCAAGTGCTTCCCCGAGGCAGGGGCAGAAAGTCGCAAGAAGGCGGCCGGGCAGCAGCCGTCCGACACGGAGTCCACTGACAGCTACGACTCCTCTTCTAGCTGAGCGATCGAACCCGCAGCCTCGCTGCGCCCCGCCCGAGAAAAGAGAACGAGAGCCTTGAGAGAGACGAGCCACGGCATCGACTACACTTATCGCAACTCCCCGCTGCAGTTTTTCTTTTTAAGCATAGCCCCAGCTCTCGCGCACAGGTTGTCATGGATACCGGCCTGCGAGCACTTCTCCTGGACGCTGGCGCGTCAGATGACCTGATCGCCTACGTCGCGACCAAAGGCATCCTCTCCACCGCGATCTTCGCCGAGATGGGCGAGGACGTGAAGGAGTTTGATCAAGCTATGGTACAGCCGCTCGCCTCGCCATTCAAGCTCCAGGACGGCAAGGTGTTTGAAGTGAGTGACGCCGAGCTGCCAGTGGCTCGCGCAAGACTGCGCCACGCCTGGCGAAAGGCTCGCGAGAAGTCAGCACCAAACACGGCGAGCAGCTCCCCGACCACGACCGCAGCCGCAGCCACCTCGACTTCCAAGACAAAGGAGCTGCCGCCAGGGTATTGGCAGCAGCAGATACACAAGTATGAAGCCGTGCTCATACATGGAGTTCCTCGCAAGTTCCCCGAGATGACTCTCTTAGGAGCCGAGGCCGTCATCGCGAAGCTCCTCAACGACGCCAAGAACCTCGCCCACAACGCGATCCCCTTGGAGGAGATCGTGCAGCACAGGCACTTCACCGCGGCGCTCCTCCCCAACACCCTGAGCTCAGCTCGCAAACGGGCCCGGTCACAGGAACAGGTCACCACTTTGGTCGTGAACGCCGACCTTCAGCTCGAGACCGAACCCGAGACGCCTTGGAAGCCGAAGAGCCAGGTAGCCATTCTCGACTGCCTCGAGGCCATTCGCGTCGCCCTGATCTTCATCGAGTACGCCCCGGAGAGCGACATCGACGAGTACTTTTCATGGTGGCAGCGGCTGGTGCGCAGCCGCCCCAACAAGATCGACCAGCTCAAGATCCACTGGGAGAATACATCGTGGCGCATCGCTCTCGCGCTGCGCAAGAAGCAGCCTTTCAGGGACATCGCGCACGAGATCATGGCCGACAGCCAGCTTCTCCAAGAGGCCATGAGCACAGAAGTTCAGCCAGATCGCCCCGCACGCGCCCCAAGGAACACCGAGACCCCTTGGCACGACATCCCTCGTGGAGGCAGAGGCCGAGGCAAGGGTCGAAACGGCAAAGGCCAGCAGCGGTGGTGGGAGCGCTCGGAAGGCAAAGGGAATGGCAAGGGTGGCGGAAAGCATCGCTACCAACCTCAATACGATCGCCAGTGGAACCACTACCAAGGCCGCGGTCGCCAACAAGAGGAAGATCGCCCACACTGGCAAGGTCACGGCAAAGGTCGCCAGCACGACGACGACAGATCGCAATGGCGCCAGACTGATTGGCGACAGCAGCACGACAGCCGCAGGCAATGGCAGCAGCAGGAATAGGGACAGCACGGGCCATCCCACAGGGGTGGACCCGGCCCACCGCAAAGCGAAGACAGCCAAGTTTTCGCTCGCTCGAGGTCGCCATTGCCCCGCTCCCGAAGATCTCCCGACGACGACAAGCAAAAGATACCTCAGCCAGTGACGCTCCGCAGCAAGGCCGAGACCATCCGCATCAAGAACGGCGATCGCCCGCCCGACATCGTCATGCTCAGTTTCTTCGATGGCCTCGGCACCGCTTGTTTGATTTGCGACGAGTACTGCAGCAGCAATGGTCTCCAGTGGCGTGGCGCATCGTGGGAGATCGACCCCAACTTGAAGAAGCTGTTACAAGAACACTTCCCTGAAGTGGTGCAACGTGGCGACTTCGACCAGGAGACGCCCGAGTCTTTGCACAACTTGGTTCAGGAGCTTGACCCCGCGGGACGAGCGACTGTGGTCATAGCAGGAGGCCCTCCATGTCATGACTTTTCACGCATTCGCTCAGACGCGCCTGGTCACCAAGGTACGGAGGGATCCAAGTTCGCTCGATTCGCCCAGCTAGTGGTGGATTTGGAAAAGAGATGGCAAAGACCTCGCGCCGTCGTAATGGTGGAGAACGTCATCCCACAGAACAGAGCGGACATGCGCAAGATCGAGAAGTCCCTCGACTCGCCCGCCGTGGTCCATGACGCCGCAGACTTCGGCACCATATCCCGACCAAGAGTCTGGTGGTGCAGGGTGCCATGGCAGGAAATCGCCCATCGACCCGATTGTCCTCTTCGCATTCGGTGGACGACTATGCAAGGCATCCCACGAGTGCACTTCGACCTCGTCAAGGACGACCCGCACGCTTTTAAGACCGAAGGACTTTCTTTGCCGAGGTGCCTGGTCGAGGAGGGCAAGCCGCTCCCGTGTCTCACAACACCTTCAGACGACCCACAAGGACGCCCCGCTCCACGCAGCAGTAAGGGCAAGATCAGCAGTGAAGCGAATCAACGATGGCGTGCCGATCGACAACGATTCGCTCCTTGGCATTACGAAGCAGGTGTCATGATGGCGGACAGTCAAGGCCGCTTCGTGATTCCTCCACCATCGGTGAAGGAGCAATGGCATCACTTGCCACAAGGTTGGACCAGCAAGCTCTCCGAGCACGAGCGCCACAAAGCGCTAGCCAATGGCTGGCACGCTGGAGCCGCGCGCCTGATCTTCATCATGGCCATGTTTGCCGCGACGCCCGCAAAGGCGGACAAGGAGCTCAACCCGCTAGGGGGAACCGCACTCGACATAGCAGCTGGTTTGTGGCAAGGTCGCCCGCCACTCCTAGGCCCGGGACCTGGCGACTACGACTCCTTTGACCTCTCCTACCTGCAGGACCCCGCGGAGCACTGGAAGTTGTCACGACACATGCCCCATCCGGACCACCGCGACGCACTCATGGAGCCCGGTTTGCAACAGTGGATTCGCATTTGGTTCCAGATGCGTGCCCACTTGGCAGAACTACGCCTCGCAGTCGTGGAACAGGTCGAAGAGATGGTTGCGGACATGGAAGACGAGACCAGGTCTTGGTACCAGAGCCTCCGCCCTCACGTACAGAAGGCCTACCGGAGCACGACAGGAGTGTGCACCTTGCAGCTGCCCGCGCTTCGCAGAATCTGTGAACTGTTTGGTTGGCAGGACCTTGGCATTTTCGACGAGCTCACACATGGTTTTCGACTTCTAGGACCTCTGGCTCCAGGACTCGGCTGGAAACGACGCAACGACGACCGCTACGCCAACCCTCTGGACCTCGCGGAGTTCATGGTCAAGAACAAACAGTACGTCGTCGACAAGCTTCGTCGATGCCGCGTCGACCCCTGCTGGAAACAGATGGCAGACGAGATAGCCGCCGATGTGTCACTCGGGCGCATGGAAGGTCCGTTCACCAGCCCTTCGGACTGGCCCTAAAAGCGGAGTGCCGCTCGCATCGCACGAGCACACAAGCAAGCTGCTCGAGGGCCCAGGCGAACACCAGCCGACGTGCTTCGCGTTCGCAGTCCACCAGGTCGGGTCCGATGGCCGCCCCAAAGTACGCCGCGCCGAGGACTGGAGACGTTCCTTCGCTAACGCCACGGTCGCAGCGGAGGACTCCCCGCCGTACCACGACGTCAACTCCTATACGTGCAGCTGGTTCGCGCCATCAAGGAGATCGACCCGCAGGCCGAGATCCTCATATGGGGCCTTGATCACGAGTCGGCCTACAGACAGCTTCCAGCGCTCGACCCGTCGCACACCTACGTGGTTCTCGCGACGCCCGAAGGAGTGACTCTCTGGCGCCATACAGTTCTAATGTTTGGGTCAGTGGCGAGTGTATGGTCCTATTGCAGAATAGCGGACCTCATGGGCTGGTTATGCCGCGCATGCATTTTCACGCCCGCGCTACACTTTGTCGATGATTTCGGCAGCACAGAGGTCACCACGCTCGCCAACTCCTCCTTCGATGCTTCGCGTCGACTTTGCAAAGCCTTGGGTTTTTCTTTTAAGCAGTCTAAGGAGCAACCGCCGGCCCCGCGACAGGTCATCCAAGGTGTCGACATTCTCGTGTCCCACGAGTCCGTCACAGTGCAGGGCACAGACGAGCGACGACAGAGGCTCGACGAGGCGCTCGCGGACGTGCTCACCCAGGACCGCTTGAGACCCCACGAAGCAGCCAGCCTCGCGGGGAAACTACAGTTTTACTGTCAGTCACTTCAAGGTCGCTCGCACGCTGCAGCTCTTCGGCCCCTGTTTCGCAGAGCTCGACTCACAGGCGCTGGTCGTCATCATCGCGATTGGAGACTCGATGGACCGCTTCGCCACGGGATCGGACTGTTACGGTGGAGCTTGCGGCACGCAACGCCCAAGGTCTTTCCTTTCGACAAAGAGGCGCACTCGGTCCTCTACGCCGACGCGTTCTTCAACCTCTTCGACAAGGACTGGAAACCCTCCGACGAGGACATTCCCAACTGGGGAAGGACACCCCCGGAGACGCTCCGCAACGGATGGGGCTTTGTGGTTACAGTTCAGGGACAGACCTACTTCGCTCACGGAAGAGTACCGTACTGGTTCGTGCGAGCATTCACAAGTCGCCGGGCATACATATACATGCTCGAGATCGTGGCTCAGATCTTGCCTCTGTTCGCCATGGAGGACCAGCTCGACCGACACGTCATGCTCTTCGTGGACAACGAACCCGCACGCCACGCTCTCACCCGAGGCTTTGGCAAGGATGAGTCGATCAACTGCTTGCTACAACATGCATGGCGCTTCTTGGAAGCACAATCCTTTCGCCCAGCATGGCAGCGTGTTACGTCGTCAGCCAACGTCAGCGACTCCGTCAGCCGCGGTGATCTTCGCCACGCTCGAGCCGAAGGTTGGATCGAACTACAGCGAGATTGGGACAGTCTTTTCGAAGAGCTTCTGACGGGCTCTGAGAGGTTTAGGGCTACCGGTGTGCTTTAATGGTGCAGGCGGCACACCTATGGTGATACGCAACGATTCGCTCCGATCGATGTCTGAGATGTTTCGATCTGGAATGCGATTTCGTTTGCACTTCGCCGCCTGCCGCTACGCTTCCAAAAGTGTTTCAGTCTTGCGTGATAGCGAGATGTCGTGTAGTGCACGTGTGCACGGAGTGACATGTACGAGCGGCAACAGCAGACAACCGCAGCTGTTGCCCGCTCGAGGTTCTTTCAAGCTTTTCAGCCCCCCCGCACCACCCTGTATTTATTCTTACATATTGGAGTGGTGGGGTGATACGCAACGATTCGCTCCGATCGATGTCTGAGATGTTTCGATCTGGAATGCGATTTCGTTTGCACTTCGCCGCCTGCCGCTACGCTTCCAAAAGTGTTTCAGTCTTGCGTGATAGCGAGATGTCTAGGGTTTAGGGTTTAGGGTTTATTGTTTAGGGTTTAGGGTTTATTGTTTAGGGTTTAGGGTTTAGGGTTTAGGATTTTCTTGATAACTTGGCTAAGGAGCCAGGGATGATGATAATCCCTATTACATAAGGAGCTAAAGAGCCAAGGGAACCCCACAACCACTGGTTAGTTGGCATTGACAGATAGAAATCTTGAAAATTTCAAGTTGAGTGTGAACACGAACAAAACGCCACTACTGCTGCTATGGCTTGGCTACTGCCCCTACTCACTAACAGTAACAGTTGGACAGGGGGCGGTACCCCAATGATGACGATCTAAAGTGAATAAGAAGTCCGGCAGCAACCCCAAACCCTAAACCCTCAGCCTTCGTAGCTGAGTCGGCAACCTTTAACCCTTTAAGGCTTGTGTAATCCTACTACAATTGAAAAGGTCAAAACCTTTCTTGGGCTAGGGTACCCAGCCCCTAGGAAACTAAACCCCGAACAAGCGTCCAGCTGCAAAGCAGAGGTGGAAGACCCACGAGGGAGGGATGCTCAGACTGAAGCACAGGAGGCCCCTCTCAAGGACAGCAAGCTTTACCTTAACCCGAATAGCCTACCTTTTTGGGGTTCCTTATTATATGGTTTCTTTATATAAGTCCTCAACAAGGTAGGTTATTCCGGGTTAAGGTAGGGTTAAAGTTTGGGGTTCAGCGGGCTAGGGGATTGAGATGCCGAAATGAGGGGCATGCATGTTGGTTTTGAACATACATTCTGAACCGCCCGGACGTGCATTCTGATATATTCGTCCTTGCCTAGCAGAGACATCATCGAAGTAGTTCTTCTAACTTCCGGGCTTGCCTGTGGCTCCGATGACCAGTTAGTCATAGTATTCCTTTACAGTCTTTTTGTTCTTGCACACCCCAAACTTCAGAACTTGACAGCTGAGCAGGTCAAAACCAGTCCCCAAGCCCTAAACCCGACGCCCTAAACCCAATCCCCCAAACTCAACACCCGATATCCAATCCCATGAGCCTCAGCCTTAAGCCCTAACGACAACCGAGCAGTCGAGTAGGTAACCTTTCACCTTTTTTGGGTACTGGTAGTATAGTCCCTATATAATTCCCATATAACCGGAAAGGGTTAACCTTTAGCTCCCCATGATACCCGATAAGTACGCCAAGACCCTAAACCGAATCCTCCGGAGGAGACAGCGGAGCGGCCGGATTGCATACTCAGGCACGGCTTTACTGGTTCAGTGTTTATCGGCTTGTGGGGTCCAGGGTTTGCGGATTTAGGGTCTAGAGGATCAGAAAGCCCTAAACCCTTTCAGTATAGGGTTTGGGTAGGGCGCAGGGCGAAACCCTGAACCCCCTAAACCCTAAACCCCTAAACCCCTAAACCCTAAACCCTAAACCCTAAACCCTAAACCCTTAAACCCTTAAACCCTAAACCCTTTAGGGTTTTGGTAGGGCGCAGGGTGAAACCCCTAAAGCCTCAACCCTCAGGGTTGCCGGGTGTAGGGTTGAGGATGAGGGTGGCTTTTTGAAGAGGTCCCAGAGACCCCAATATCCGTTAATTAAGGAATATACCTTAAATCATATTAAGGATCCTACTATAATTCTAGGTATATTCCTGAATTAAGGGATATTAGGATCCCCTAAACCCTATAGATCCCTTATAGATCCCTTAAAAGGAACCCTAACCCTAGGTATATTCCTGAATTAAGGGATATTGGAGTCTCTGAGGTTTCCTAAACCCTAAACCCCTAAACCCCTAGTCCCTAAACCCCTAAACCCCTAAGGGGCGTCTTCGTGTTGTACCCTTTGGGCGGTTCGGGTTTTGGAAGCACATAGTGTTCAGAAAGAATCGTGTGCCAACAGAGCCTCGGTGCATGGTTATAGCAGCCCAGATGCAGAAATTATTCGCACATGTCTGCAGCTGTGTGGCTTTCGTGTCTGGCAAGGATCAATATTTGGAAGACAGAAAAACTGTCTGGAAAGACACGAGTTGCACAGCAATGAAAGTATGTATCTGTACCCTGCAAGTTTTTGAAGCGTCGAGAAAGGTAGAGGGGGCCTCTAGACCGTGGTCTCAGCCATGGGAGGTGCCAGAAGACCGGTGACTCCGGACACGTGCCTCGACCACCTCCACGACCTCCTGGCGAAGTTGAGCTTCTACGGGTACGAAAGGCTCAGAAGGACCCAAGCAGTTTCAGGTGCAGACTTGGGCCACCTGGAAAGCTTCGTGGAAGCCCTCGTGAGCTGTCAACCTCTCCTCCTCTTCCGGTACGGTGACTTGAAGCTGACCTTCCAGAAGCTGGTGCAGAACTTCCCGGCACTTCGCACTAGCCATCCTGTGGGAATGGGGCCACACTTGCCTGGGAAGTATGCCGACTGGACCATGACTGTTTGCACGCACGCCCGGAGGTTGCGAGATGACAAGCGGTTCCAAGAAGCCTCGAGAAACTTGACTGATTTGCAAGTGAAGAAGCTGAGCCACATCAGGCAGATGATCGAGCACGGGGCCTTGGACGAGGAGCACGAGCAGAAGAAGTGCACGGTGAAGTCTGGCAACAAGAAGCTCGAAAGGAAGACTGGCAAGAAGGCCGTGAAGAAAGAGAAAGGGGAAAAAACAACACAGAAAAACTCCTCAGAGGACACGAAGGTGAAGAAGGCGACGCAGGACACGTCTGAGGAGGAGACCGTGCAGAAGCTTGCTGCAGCGGACACGGCCTCGGACGACAGAATGGAAACCCTGGACATCCTGCAAATGGAGGTGCCGATCACCCCGAAGAAGGACAAGCAGAAGGAATGAAATTATCGAGTGTCTATTGACAGGGCCGCGACATCGGCAAGGGCAAGACGAAGGATGATGTCCCGGGGATCCGGACAGAGAGACTTGGCAGAACTTTAAACCCTAAACCCCAAACCCCCAGACCCTGCAGCTGAGGAAGAGCGGCACCCTCAGCAGACTGCGGCGAGAAAATTGGCGGAAAATCTGGAGCGAGTACGCCCCAGACGTCCAGGCCGAGACCCTTGGCCGAATTGCTTTTAGTGTCTGGACAGACACGAGAACCAAGAACCCTGAATCCCTGGGTGTAGCTCTGCCCGTGTCTGGAGCGACACAGAGATTGCATGAGAGAGCTGAGGCAGTTCATGGGGCTCATCGTCGGGATGGCGAAGAAGCTGTCCTCGATCGAGCCTGGCAGCCACGAGGCCCACAGGCTCTACCTCAAGAGGGTGTATGAGCTCCCCGGTTGCACAGAGAATGTCTGGACAGACAGCTAGACAGCTTGAGTGCTGGACAGACATTTGAAGTTTAATTGTCTGGAGAGACACTGATTGTTTGCAGTGTCTGGACAGACACCAGTTGCAAGAAGTGCCCCTGTCAGTACCTCCAGCTTCAAGACTTACGACCAGTTCATGCACTTCTTGGCAAAGAAGGTGGCAGCGGACGATGATGAGGAGACCCCCAGCCAAGGACCCTAGCCGATGACAGTTGGAAAATCTATCCCTGTGAACTCTTAAACCCTAGAACCCCATGAAACCCGAAACCCCGGCCCTGAACACCGAAAGAGTAAAAAGCCCGAAACCCCGGCCCTGAACACCGTAAGAGTAAACCCTAAACCGTAAAGCCTCAAAATCCTTTTCGGAGGAAGCCCGAGCACACCCGGCAGAGGACGTGACGATACACCGATACACCTGGCCCGGTTGGAGATGGTGGACAGGGCAATGATGGCCAGAGTGGAGATGGTGGGTATGGAGGTGGGAAGGTCGATGATGAGGAGTGGTCCTGGGGGCGCGTGGGGTTTAGGGTTCTAAGTTCTAAGGTTTACAGGGTTTAGAGTTTAGGGTTTAGGGTTGTAAGGCTTACGGTGTTTAGGGTTTAGGGTTTACGGTTTTTTGTGTCAAAACTCTCTTGGTAGTCACTTGAAGCAATGTCCAAATTTCCTCCCTTCTCAAAAGTGCAGGAGTCCACAATCGCTGCACGCCTAAACCCTCTATGGTGATCTCGCCGGGGACCATGGCCTGCAGGTCGGACCAACGGAGACTAGCCCAGGCCTTGACCAACTTCGCCCAGGCCATATCCTCCAGCCTATGCTGCGTGAACTGTCGAGCACTATCCTCTCCCAGCGAACAAGGATCGCCGCCGATAGCGGGGAGCCCTCTTGGTCCACGGGTCCTTCCAAGATAGCCGCTCCACGACGATATCCTTGATGGCCCAAACCAGGCGGCCAGCCGTAGCCCGACTAGCCGGGTCGAACTCCGCGGGATGCGAGGTTTTGACCGGGTCGTCGATGTGGATTTGAACGGATCGTCCGTGTCATCGTCAGACTCATGATCGAAGTGGCCGGGTGCCGGATGCGAGGATTTGACTCTTGCCGGACTCTTGCCGAGGCGGCACGTTAAAACGTCTGGTGTTTGTGCATGCGAGTACGTCAAGTATGACCGAGTCTGCCATGTAGCGCCGTGTGGACATTGCAATTCAGCAGCAGCGGAATCGCAAGCTGTCATCCTAGTCTCGCAGCCGCTAGCTGGCCGCGTGCAGGCAGGTGCAGTTCATCCTGGGTCATAGACGCTAAACCCGCTAGTAAACCCAAAGCCAGAACCCTGGACAGCGTAGCTCCGTGCATGCTAGTGCCATGACTGCTATATGAACTGATCCTTGCAGCTGGCTTCAGAGCCAAACGACTCCACACTGTGCACTCGCAAAAGACTGGTAGATCGTCGCTGAAGTCGGCCAGTTTGAGAAGAGGCCCCTTTTCCTGCAGTATAGCGAGCCGACTTCCGGATGAGCGGCTTTGCGTTGGTGCCGGCGGTACTTGGATGCAGCTTGCGAAAAACCGCAGGAAATCGAGAAGGACGCGGCTCCGAAGAAGCAGGAGCTCAAGAAGGACGCGGCGCCGAAGAAGCGCGAGCTCAAGAAGGACGCGGTCCCGAAGAAGTCTGCCAAAAAGGACCTGGTGCTGCCCGTGACACAGACTCTTGACAAACGGGTCTCCATCCCTCCCACAAGCCTGTGGGATTTTTCCTGGAGCCAACTGGCCGGCAGGCTTCAGCAGCCACTTGCTGGCCTTTTACTTTAGAAGCAGTGACGGGCGGTATAGTGGATGGCTTGGATGCGCGTGTATAAGTGATCTAATTCGCCTTTGCGTGTGCGCATTTGCTTACAATCGCATCTTTTTTAACTCATGGTTGACCAGTCGAGTTCCTGGGCACCATCGAGTGCCACTCAATATCTTCAGATGCTTATCGTGGTGACGCAACAAACCTCATAACGAAATCGAAGAGATGCGCGTGTTGATATCGGCATACATGTTGTAGACTCTGGCATTGTCGGTGGTGCCAGCTTGGTCATGTCATTTTGTTGAGGTAGGACATCAGCTGCGCAAGTCTTGGAGGAAGACTCATTGCAGGAGGCGACGTGGAATCGCGGGTCGATATCGAACATGTCATGAATTGTGCAGCCATGCGTGACTAGCTTGTGATCTCCAGTCGTGGAGGTCGGAAAGTCCAGCCTCGAGGTCGTGATCATTTCCCCTGAGGCCTTGTCCGCAGAACATGTGGCGCCCCACATGCTCAAAAGCACGTGCGTTGTATGTGAGGGCCGGCTTCCGATAGCATCACTGAGGTTAAGCAATGCGTCTTGGCAATGATCCTCTGTGCCTCTTTGCCTTGCCCTTACAAAAGAGCGGCAATCAGCACTTTAGTTTGGGCGCCAAGCTGCAGGTGTTGCGTCCGCGTTGGTGAGCCCCATGAGGCACAACACTTTTCGGAGAGCGAGTGACATTCGCTTTGGGCATTGTTTGATTGGTGATGGATGCAAGGTAATCGGATGGACGTGTTGGAGGAGATGGCCGAGTGATTGAGGGTCGATCGGCGCCCATGAGCTGCCGCACAGAGAGATCTCATGAACAAAATGCGAAGCATGGTCTCTCTCTGACGTACAATAGATTCTGCAGAGCGAGCCAAAGAGGTGCATTTGGCGAATGCATATCGTGCAGCTTGTGATCTCTCATCCCACCTTGCTTGCGTTGGATTGCCTTGATGCGCTGCCATGTCAAGTGGCAGGACCAGTCTCACCACTGGTGCCCCTGGATAGATTTCATTTGTGAATACACTCTGGTCGCATTTTGCTAGCCGCTAGGAACAAAGACGTTTGGACACGTCCCGTGAAAGATTTGCATACTGTATGAAGACTCGTTAAGCATGTTGAGCAAAGGGCTCCTAATTCCATGCCGAACGCATGACAGAATGTGTCTGAAGAAGCAGGCCGCGAGGCGAGGGGGATCCTGAGGAGTATTGAGCTGCGGTCGTGGTCGCTCACCGATGAAATGCTTTGGAAGGCAACTCCGAAAGGTCCTAACATTCACTGATGGTAGGGCTCCCTCATATGATTCCCTTACACGAGTCCCTAAATTTGGGGATAAGGCACACCCTCTGAGGAAATGCCCCAGTTATAGCCCTACTCACAACCGACTTGCTAACTCCCCTCTGGGCCTCTAAGTATACCATAAACCCTGTAGGGCACATGCCATGAACTCCTCCAGGGTTCATGCGGTCCTTTCCCTCAAGGCGCCTAAGTCATTGAAATCGAAGTCCAGTTAGGTTTGGCTTTGTATCCCCCCATAGCCCGTACATATTGTGTAAAAATATGCCACGAAACCTAGGGTTTTGGGGGTTTACTGCTTTAGGGTTTGAGGGTTTTGGGGTTTGGGGTTTAGGGTTCTACTTATCAAGGCGTCGGTACTGGGTTTTGGTGCAGGTGGTGCCGATGCATCTCTGCAGTAGACGTGCTGGCTCCGCTCTCACGCTTCGGGGGAGGGTTCCGGAAATGTCAAGCCGCGAAACCCGAAACCCCAAATCCCCAAACTCCCAGCCCCGAAACCCAAAGTTGTGTAACCTTAATCCGTTGCTTACGGTTGGTCTGGAAGTATCGCGCTCAACGATTAGATTTGGGGTGTGGCTGTGTCTTGGGCATGTTGTGACATGTAGCACAGACTTCCTGCGGCTTGAGGTGACCCTACCCGTCCGAAGACTTTTGTTTCCGGCTTGAATGAGTAGGATGTAGGAGTGTAGGGTCTTGAAGTTTAGGGTTTCACGCACAGATCTGGGTGTGTTGAAAAGCTAACTCTACCCGGGACCGTCAGTGTATCAAGGTTTTTACGGCTTTAGTGCGTGTGGACTTGTAGATTCTTACAGGTTACTTGGAGGCCCAGGGGACTTGGTAAGTCGGTTATAGGGAGGTTTGACCAGGGTTGCTCCATTTAGGCTACTTATAACTCTACTTGTTATAAACTACATACTAAGTCGCATGGGCCTCTAAATAAGGTATATGCCGCACGAATATACCGGCCTAGAGGGTTAAAAGGATGTTTATGCCTGTACAAATCCACGCCGACACCAACTCGTAATCTCAACGTGGACCCTTCTTGGCTCATGTTCCACTGGGACTTGTTGGCGAAATCTGAGTAAACGTGTGATATTGCACGCTGGGCCGCTGGGCCACGAGATCGTGACACCGGTCCAACCCCAATCCCTCTAGACCCTCTAAAGCCCACACTGCCCAAACCTGCATCCTTAACCTCGGCATCCTGAACTCGAGCCCCTACTCAGTAGCTGAGTAGGGTGTAGAGAATCCTCCCAAACTTGAAATGGTAATTAAACCCTTTTCGGGCTAGGATACGCAGCCCCTGAACTCCCAAACCCCTGAGCCCCTGAACCCCTAAACTCCTAAACCCTAAACCTCTAAACCCCGAGGCTCCTAAACGCCTGAACCCCGCGAGCCTACACCCTAAACCCCTAAATCCCTTAAACCCCTGAACCTCTGAATCCCCCAACCATCCTGAACCCCTAAACTCCTAAACTCCGCAGCTTTCCCAGAGACTCCAATAGCCCTTAATTAAGGAATATGCCTTAAATCATAATAGGAACCCTATTATGATTTAAGGTATACTCCTTAATTAAGGGATATTGGAGTCTCTGGGTTCTGCCAGGTCCTGCTGGCCGCCACGATCGCTTGCCTTGCGAGTATGGCTGGAGCCTTACTTGGAGGGTCGGGGGACTTAGTAAATGGTTATTTTAAGGATTTACAAGTACCCTAACCCCAATTAGGGTCCCTTGTAGGGTACTTTAAGTCGACTTACTACCTACTTACTACGTCCCCCGACCCTCCAAGTACGCTGGGGACGGACCCAGAGAATCCCATATCCCTAACTTGCTTAAGGATTATACCTTGGAAATTATCCTAGGGTCCCTAATATGATTTAAGGGATATTCCCTAATTAAGGGATATTGGAGTTTCTGGGGAACTGGCTAGGGTTTCGGGTTTAGGGCCTAGCTAGGGTCTTGGATAGGGTTTATTTGATGACACCCTGGTCTACGCAGGGCAAAAAATGGTTCTGAGGCTGGGCACGATGCGAACCCCGGTGGAACTCAGGACGGCGCCGGGGTGGTTCGTGGAACAGTGGCTAGAGGAGAACAAGGAGCGCGTGAAGAAGTATCTTCACGGTTCTGTATCATTCAGGCTTGAAGCAATCAGTTTGTAATTGTCCCGATTCAACGTCCTAAAAGGGACTTGTAAACTGCTCTGGAGAAAGCTCTGCTTCAAGTGCAGTAGCAAGAAGAGCGCTGCGTGCTATATCACGCATGGTGTGCCGTTCCTTAATCAGGTTTCGACGGTTGATGATATAAATCCTGCATGACCCATAATAAGGAACATGCCACAGTTCCCATAATCTAGGGTCATTAAGGTCATGCAGGATTTATATCCCTAAACCCTAAAACCCCAAAGCCCCTATAGATCCCTTAAAGGAAGCCCTTAAAGGTACCCTTAATAGATCCCTTTAAAGGAACCCTAGGATTTAGATCATCAGCAGTACATCACATCATGGCGGAAGAGAAGTCGTCCGATTGAAGACTTAGTAAGGGCTCCTTTACAGGGGAGTCAAAGGGTTCCTTTATAAAGGGCTCTATAAGGGTAGTATAGGGTTTAGGGTTTAGGGTTCAGGGACGTAATAAGTAGGTAGTAAGTAGACTTATAAGTACCTCAAAAGGGACCCTAATTGGGGTTATGGTACTTATAAGTCCCTAGGGCGCAGCCTTTCCGGATGAAGGGTTTGCGGTTTTTGGTTTAGGGTTTAGGGTTTAGGGGTTTAGGCCTGGATGCAAAAAGGGTTTAGGGTTTTAGGTTTCTTGGGGTTTTAGGGTTTTTGGGTGGTGTTTTTAGGTGAAGCCTGTTAGAGTTATTAAGTGCCGTAAACGAAGTTACCCAAAAAATGTATCCCTACTAATTTCCCTGGGCCTCCAAGTAAGAATGTCAGTTTTGGGTGTGGGTTGTGCCGCGGTAGGTCTTGGACCTAGGTCTCCGCCTTCAGGCTTTAGGGTCTACAGTCTACAGGGCTTAGCGGTTTCAAGAAGGGTTTTGGGTGCTCTGAGGCATGGCGTTTACTGCGTTTCTCTACTTGTTCCGGGCCCTAGACCCCTAAACCCTAAACCCTTAGGTCCTAAGCACATGTGCGCCCTGCACAATGGCCTTGAAAAAAGAATCTACATCATAAACCGACGTCCTAAACCTCTGCCTAACCTTGAACCCAAACACAAACCTTGGTTTTCTTCAAACCCTGATAAAGCTTAACCAGCTTTTTCACATAGTTTACTTACTTTTTCCCCAGCCTGCAGCACACTCTTATCCTGAAGCCCAGCCGAAGTGCTTCTCCCTGGGAAAAATTGCTGTGCGCCACCCTGAATTGAGCCTTGTACCACAGGCTGGGGAGGTTGTGGTGGAGCACTTGCGTAACATCCAAGCCCGCACAAACACACGGGTCTTTGCGAACGGGCCTTAATAATTGGGATATGGTTTTGGGGCCCAGTATACTATAATCATAGTAAGGAACCCCTAAAGTGCCATAGGTAATTGTTAAGGCCCCTATAATAAGGCCTTAATCATCCTGAGGCCGAGATCTTGAATTCACCTGCATAAAACCCCCGGCATACCGAAACTCGGAGCCTTACTTTCTCCTGTGCAGACCGCCCAGCGACTCTAGGCCTGTCAGTTCGGAATCCTCTTAGGGTTTAGGGTTTAGGGTTTAGGGTTTAGGGCAAGTTGACCGACATTTCGTAGGTTTGGGATTTCAGGTTTTTGTTGGTTTTCCATTGAGGGAGCCTCAAGATGAATTGTACGCTCAACAATGGACCGCTAGATGCTTGAGATCTTCTTACTTCGCCCCTGCTGTCCCAAAGCTGCTCTGCTCTACTTCTCCATTGTCCTTTTTTTATTATAAGATCCTAACCATAGAAATGGTTAACCAAAAAAGTACTACAATGGAGACTATAGGTAATTCAATCTGCGAGCTTTACGGTCTGGGGTTAAAACTGTTAGCTTTCAGTCTGAGGTGTGAACAAGTATGCGCTCGAAGCCCCATAGCATTTTGCTGTATGCGGTAAGCCTTCTCCACAGACTCCAAAATCCCTTCCCTTAATTAAGGAATATACCTTAAATTACTGTAGGATCCCTATGACACAAGGTATATTCCGCAATTAAGGGATATTCTTTAAAGGAACCCTAGGAGTCAGTGGGTCCCTGCCCTCTGAGCCTGCAGATTGCCGGACATCACCAGCTGGCGGTGATGGGACTCAAAGGCCTTCTTGCAGGTTCAAGGTTTAGGGTTTAGGATTTAGGTTTGAAGCTCGGGGATTAACACACGGGCCTTAGCTAACCAGTGGTTGTGGGGTTCCCTTGGCTGTTTAGCTCCTTATTTAATAGGGATTATCATCATCCCTGGCTCCTTAGCTCCTCCAATATCAATGGTTAGTTAATAATTACCAATACTATTTTGGAGGTTTGTTATTATAACTATAGTAAAATGGGCCCCCAAACCCTATTCTAATTGTTAAGGCCCCTATGTTAAGATGAGGGTGGGGGCTCAGTCGGGTTCGGCATAGTTAGGCGATTGAGATTTAGGGCTTGGGTGTCCGTTATTTTGTTGATGCTCCGTCTGTAAATCCGTTCTCATGTCAATAGGCTGTTGAAACAGAAGGTTTGGCGACGATTATTTCGGGCTTTGGTTTTGAGTTTGCGCCCAGGTGGCCATCATTTTGGCGTCGTCTTTGCCAGACTTTGACTGCTATATCATCTGTTTATAAGGGTTTGGGGTAGCCTATATCAGCCCTCAGCTTTCGACTAAATCCTGAATGAACCCTAACTAGGACCATGGTGGGTCATGTTTTCCGGCCCCTACGATTGCTGCCATAGTTGCTTTATGAAAAAGCTAAAGCCCTGAAAGAAAGGGCCATCATTGCAAGTCTTGCTGCTTGTGACTTACCCGATCAATCTGACAGCACTCATTGTCTCATTGTATTGTTTTGCGCAGTGACTGCTATCGCCGTGTGTGATCGTTTATCATTTCACTGTGGCATTTTGAGTGAAATGCTGCTGGTGATTCCAGTTTCCCCGACGAAGACGACCGCACCACCAACAGCACCATCACCACCTGGACCCCATAGTCCAAGCCATGAACCCTTAATACAGGGGCCTAAATAATTTCCAGTGCTACTCTGGTTTCCTTATAAACTTTTACCTATGGTACAACATATGGATCCCTTGAAGTAGCCCTTATAAACCCCTTAAAGGAACCCTATTTTAATCATTAAAGCCCCTCTTTAGATCCCTTATAGAACCCTTAAACGAGCCCCGTATATAGATCCCTTAGAAGGAACTCTATTCTAATTATTAAGGCCCCTATATTAACCAAGCCCTAACCCTTAAACTCTAAACCCTAGCCCTAAAACCCTCAACCTAAACCTTAAACCCTAACCCTAAAGCCCTAAACCTGATACCCTAACACTAAAACCCTAAACCTAAACCTTAAACCCCGACCCCAACCCTAAAACCCTAAACCTAAACCTTAAACCCTGACCCTAAAACGCTAAACCTAAACCTTCTTGCAGGCACCTCCGTCGCTTTTTGCTGGATTCTAATCGCCGAGCAGGTGGGTAGGAAGTGCTCTTTGTGCAATGTCGGTTTTAGGGTTTACCGGGCTTTGGGGTGACATGCTTTAAAACTCTTTGTAGCCGAGTGGATACACTTAACACTTTTTGGGATAATATTACCTACTATAAAACTGAAAGTGTACACTTTTTGGGGGTTTATGAACTCAGCAACTAGGAACATTTTTGGGGGACCTGATACTTAAAAGGAGCCATTACGAAATAAAAGGCTCTACTTTTTTCTCGCCGTGGCTACTTCTAAGCCCAGTTTAGAGCCCATGCATAGAGTCATAGAGGCTTCGTTGTTCTATGGTTTAGGAGTTCAGGCTTACAGTCTTTCAGGCTTAGGGTTTAAGGGGTTTAGGGTTTAAGGGATTTAGGGTTTAGGGTTTGATGTATTTAGGGTTTAGGCTTTAAGGGAATTAAGGTTTGAGGGGTTTAGGGTTCAGGGTTTAGGGCTTAAGGGATTTAGGGTTTAGGGTTTAAGGGATTTAGCATTCAGGCTTAATGGGATTTAGGGTTTTAGGGTTTAAGGGATTTAGGTTTTAGGGTTTAGGGTATGCAGTTCCGGGTGCTTCCGTTTGCTTGTTTATCTTCGCGGGCTTCCGGGTTAGAAGAAGTGCCGAAGGCTACTAAGGTAACATAGGGGCCTGAAGTACCTATACTATTCTTGGGAGTTTCTTTTTGTAGTTATAGTATAGTGGCCCCCAAAACCCTATTCTAGCTATTTATTATTAAGGCCCCCATATCACCTGTTCATCTTCGTGGGCTTCTGGGTTAGAACAAGTGCCGAAGGCTACTGAGGTAACTACGGATCGAAGCAGCTACAAGTAGCCTAAATCCAGAAGGCCCCTGTCGAACCGCCGGACTTTTTACCATAAGGACCTTTGGGGGGGGGGGTAGGGGGGAAGGGGGCAGGCCATAATACCCATAACAAGGACTTAATAAAGCTTATTTAAGGAAGTATAGTCCGCTACCCCCCCTCCCCCCTACCCCCCCCTAAGGGGTCCCTTATGATTTTAGGTTTTAGGGTTTAGGGTTGAGGCAACGTTGACCGACCACCCTTGATTGATCCCAAGAAAACCGAGAGCCTGGACTATTTGAGTGCTTGACTTTTCATAGCGCACATTAGGGTTTATAGTTGAGGCAGCATGAAGATAGGCATCGTAGTTTGAGATAGAGTTGTCTCAGACTCAAGCATGCTCAAAGCGGAAAGCCGCACAACTGTCAGACGGCCAAATGGTCGTGGTAGTCAGAACCATCATGACGGAGCAAGACATATGTTTAAATGTCAGACTTGTACTCATTCTTACTAGCACGAGTACTTCCTTTTGTAGTGATGGTAGCAGGAGAACGAATGGAAACTTAGAGGCCACAGGAGCTAGTTTTGATACTTTTGATGATATAAAACCTGCACTACCTTAAGGACCCTAAACTATGGGAACTATGGTGTATTCCTTATTATGGGTAATGCAGGATTTACATCATCAACCGTAGGAACCTGATTAAGGAACCATGGGCCTATAACTCCCAAATATTAGGATTCATATATATAAGGAACCCGAATGAAGGCCCAAGGTCTCTTAGTCAGGTTCCTACATTGTATTTATATCATTAACCGTATTCTTGCATGCTTTGTACCTAAACCTCACGGCCCAAACCCCCAGAGACTCCAATAAACCTGAATTAAGGAATATTCCTTAAATCATATTAGGGATCCTACTATAATTTCAGGTATATTACTGAATTAAGGGGTATTGGAGTCTCGGGGCCCCAAGCTAGTCATCCCTGAAGCCTGAAACTGCCTTAAAGCCTACTTGGAGGGTCTTTAGGGGACTTAGTAACTATAAGGGGATTCCTTTAAAGGGGTCCTTTAAAGCGATCTATAGGGATTCTATAAGGGTATAGGGTTTAGGATTTAGGGGGACTTAGTAGCTGGTTATTTTAGGGACTTATAAGTACCATACCCCCAATCAGGGTCCCTTTTAGGAGTCTACTTACTACCTACCTCTGAGCCGAGCAAACCCTCAGCCCCACTCCGAAGATGAAGCTTGACAGAGCCATTACGGTAGCACGTAAATGGCTTAGGGGTACCATGGTTTCTATACTATACCCGGGTGCCCTTCGAAAGTATTATATAGGGTTCTATATATCGGGTTCCCCTCAAACGGCCGGTTAAAGAACCTGATAGAAACCTATCAAGGATCCTCATAGAAACCCAGAGACTCCAATATCCCTTAAGTAAGGAATGTTCCTTAAATCATATTAGGGATCCTACGATAATTTCAGGTATATTCCTTGATTAAGGGGTATTAGGATCCCCTAAACCCTATAGATCCCTTATAGATCCCTCAAAGGAACCCTAACCCTAGGTATATTCCTTAATTAAGGGGTATTGGAGTCTCGGGGAACCTTGAAGTCGGAAGTTTCGAAGCCGCCAGCTCACGCGGAAGTCCTCCTGGTGCCCATGTGCCATCTTGAGGCCACTTCGGATGCTTTTCAAGGCTTTATGGTTTAGGGTTTAGGGTTTGTTTTGGGTGAGAGGTTTTCCACGGTTTAGCCATCATTTTCGGTACTGCATGACATAAGGGATTTGTTGGGATTTCGGACGTTTGTTACTTCGTTCTCTGCAAAGGTTTGTTGCGGCCTCCTAGGGCCTAGGGTGTCAGTTTTGTTCTGCACGTGGCTTCTGAAGATTTGGGGGGCAGGCCATGTTTTAGGGGCTGTAGAATCTGTAGAACACGGATCCTAGAGGTTCGGGAACCCGGATACATGGGTCCTTTGTTTCTGAAACTCCCACATGATTGAGGTGACAGGTTCTACAGGCAATGATTGAGCAAGGCTTTCACTCATCTCCAGGTATGCGGTCAGCCGATGCGATGGTGATGGATTTCTTGTTTGCTTGGGTGTTTGTGAAGACCAGCTTTTTGCAGCGCGGTTGAGTCCTAGGTGTTTTGCACTGGGGATTAGGGCGAGGGTTTTCGAATTTGTGGTTCAGAGGTTTGGGCACGTGCCAAACAAAGCCGAAGTATTTCAGAAAAGGACTTTTCCAGACTAGATCTGAATTCGGTTACCCCAAGGCCCCAAAGTTCCCTTTTGGGATGACCTTATAGGATTCTAAATGTGAGCCCAAAAAGGAACTACTTTGGGGCCTTAGGGTAACCGAAACCCTTAAACTCTAAACCCATCCTTGCAACATGCCAAACAGCCAAAGGCCGCGATACTGTAGCTTTCAATAGGTTGCCGTATCATTTAGAAGCCTGAGCGGCCCGTGATACTCGTCCCATGGGTTCCCAAACAAGCAGTACTACAGGGCTCCCGTATTGCAACTCTAGTATACTAGATCCTATAACCTACAAAACCCTAACCCCCCCCCCCGCCCTATTCGGCATTTTGGAGACGGAGCGCAGGCAATTTTTCCCGCTGCTAGACTACTGGGTCGGCCGTGGGCTGCTCCATCTCTTCATCGCCCTTCAGATGTTGGGAATGACTCCTGGCTTAGGGTTTTGGGCTCAGGACTCATTCTTAGGGATCTTCACGGAAGTTATACTACGGTTCAAAATGTACCCTAAAACACTGTTCTCATTATTGAGGCCCTTATATTCGTAGTAGCTGAGGAGGTAACCTTTGACCTTTTTGAGTTTATATAATCCTGCCAGAATCCTGCCATAATTGAAGGGGTTAGCCCTTTTTGGGCTAGGGTACTCAGCTGCTAGGTATTAGAACCACATTCTACTTATTGAGGCCCTTATATCTTCTACCCTTGTCGTAGACCTTGTAGAACCTTTAAGGAACCCTTTAATCCACTCTTATTCTTGAGGCCCTTATGTTAGATCCTGGTGTATATACCCGAAAACCCAATTCTTCTTATTGTGGCCCCTATCGCCCTATATTCCCCAAAACCCTACATTTGGAAGCCTGAAAATTGGAACATCATTATCCTGATGCTTTTAAACTTAAGATAAAGCATAGAGATTCCTAGCATTAATCATCTTTGATCCATGTTCCAATTTTCTGGGATCCACCGCAAAACTAACCTTTGATATTGGAGGAGCTGAGGAGCCAGGGATGATGATAATCCCTATTATATAAGGAGCTAAAGAGCCGAGGTAACCCCAAAACCACTGGTTAGAAAACCCCAGAAATCCACGGAGCTCAGGAATGACCTGGAGGAGATCGACGCAGATGAGCCTTGCCTTGAGATTTCGCTTCAATTTCGTGTGAAACGTCTCCAACACAGGTTTGGGGTTTAGGGTTTAGGGTTTAAGGTTGGGGGTTTAGGGGTTTAGGGTGTCAGGGTTTAGGGGTTTAGGGGTTTAGGGTTTCAGGGTTTAGGGGTTTAGGGTTTAGGGGTTTAGGGTTTAGGGTTTTAGGGTAGGTGGGAACATCACATAAGGGATCCTCAATGCTCCCTACCTTCATCCCACCTTTTGAGGCCTCCGATCACAACTCCGAGCTGCGAAGGTGTTAGAAACCGGATTACAGTAAACCTTAGAAGCTGCCCCCACTCTGTAATAGTGGTATAATAGGAATATAATAGGGCCCTAATATAATATTAGTATAATCCTTATAGTCACTATTACAGGGTGGGGGCAGTTTCTAAAGTAAACCCCATAAAGTTGGAAACCGGATTAGGGCCAAATAGTGCTGGGAGTCCCTATACATTACTCTTAAGGATTGAGGCTATCGGGTTTCCAACTTTTGGGCTTCTACTGTATGGCGGTTTAGGGGTTAGTGTAGTAAAAAGCTCTTGGCCAGCATCGAGGAGTTCAGACGATTAATTAATTTAGGAAATAAATAGGATTTGGAATAGGATTTCGGATAGGGTCAGATTTCGGAATACGATACAATTTAGGAAAAAAATAGAATGTAAATAGGATGAAAAATTCGGCATAGGAGGTTAGCGTGCTTGAATTATGATTGACAGGTGCCGGAGGAGGAGGGGGAAGCGAGAAGGAGCTTTCAGCACGCCTCCACCTCTTACTCCCCTCCCCGTTCCTGCCTCCCCCCCCTTCCCGTCCCGGCACCCCCCAGAGCGGCAGTGGTGGGGGGGCGTGGTCCGGGGTGGGGGGGTGGCAGACTGGCAGAGCAGCTGTTTTCCTATTTTTTCCCTATTATTTTCCTAATTTTTTCCTATTTTTTCCTATCCCTCCTAGGAAAAAGCAAAAAATCGCATTTTCCTGAAAATAGGAAAAAAATAGGAACAAAAATAGGACAAAAATAGGAAAAAAAGTAGGAGGCCGCTGAGGCCCCCCCTCTCCAACCCGCCCCCCCCCCCGCTGGGCCCTCCCGCCTCTAGCCTCCGTTTTCGGGCGTCGGGGGTAGAGGGTATCCTTAAGTATGCGAGTTATCGTGGTATTGCTGCTGTTGTGATTGTTCTGTGGATGCTGCTGCTCATGCCTGTGTTTTGCTCTATTTGCTGCCCTATTTGTTTCCTACTTTTTTCCTATTGCGTAATTTCGTTCCTATTTTTTTCGTATCCATGATTCCTACTTTTTTTCTATTTTAATTATTTCCTGCATTTCTGATGGCTGGCTGACGATTCCCTTTACTAGGTTAGTGGTTTAGGTTCCGGATTCGAAGTTCGGGGCTTCGGGTTGAGACGCTTGAATCGAAGTTTCTGATTAAGGGTACTATTGCTGGAGGCCACGGCAGCTCCCTAAACCCTAAACCCCATGCTCATGATGCTGGTTTAGGGTTTAGGGATGCTGGCTCGAGGGCCGTGGCGAAGTTGGTGCAAATCCCTCAGAAACGCTGTTCTTGGGGCCATTGGAAACGTCGCTGCTTGCTCGCTGATGCTCAAGAATAAGATTCTGGCTTCGCGGCCCGGTCAAAATTCGAGAAGTTTGAGGAAGCTGGAAGCACTCAGAAGCGTCGCCGTTTGCCACGCAAGGGCAACTGCTCGTGATGCTGGATGCTCCTGCTCTCAGTAGCTGAGTAGGCAACCTTTAACCTTCTGGGGCTTATCTAATCCTACTATAATTCAAAAGCTTCACCTTTTGGGCTGATCTACTCAGCCCCTAAGTGCTAGAATCGACAAAGCTGGAGCTGAGGCTTGCCATGCTACTCTTGGACGCTGGCCACGCAAAGACATCTGATGCCCAGTTTTTGTTCTGCAATCCTTGCTTTGCCCGTCAAGGGCAGCTGATGCTCATGATCCTGGTTTGGAAGCCCCTTTTCAAATCTACAAAGTGCGAACAGGCTCGTGATGCTAGTTGCTGCTGGCCCGGCAGGGGCATGCTCATGATGCTAATTTGGCGGCACCTCCTACACTCGACGAAATGCGAGCTGATGCTCGTCATGCTAGAAATGGGACTGTGAGAAGTGTTGCTGCTGGCCCGGCAAGGGCAGCTAATGCTCATGATGCTGGCTTAGCGGCAGCTTCTACAATCGGTAAAATCCGAGCTGAGGTTTCTGATGCAGACTTGGTCCCGCGGGAAACGCTGCCAGACTTGTGCCAGCGAGAAACGTTAGTGCTGGCCCGGGAAGGGCAGCGGATGCTGATGATGCTGGCTTGGCGGTCGCTTCTACAAGCAACAAACTCCGAGCTGAGGCTCGTGATGCCAGACTTGGTCCCACGAGAATCGTTGCAGCTGGCGCGGCAAGAGCAGCTGATGCTCATGATGCTGGCTTGGCGGCCGCTCCTACCAGCGACCAAATCCGAGCTGAGGCTTGTGATGCCAGACTTCCGCCCGCGCGAAACGTTGCTGCTGGCACGCCAGGGGCAGATGATGCTCATGATGCTGGCTTGGCGGCCGTTTCTACAATCCACAAAATCCGAGCTGAGGCTCGTGATGCCAGACTTGGGCCCACGAGAAACTGTGCTCAAGGGCAGGTGATGCTCATGATGCTGGCTTGGCGGTTGCGCCCGCGAGAAGCGTTGCTGCTGACACGGCAAGGGCAGATGATGCTCATGATGCTGGCAAGGCGACCGCTTCTGCAATCGACCAATTCCGAGCAGAGGCTCGTGATGCCAGACTTGGGCCCGCGAGAAACGTTGGTGCTGGCACGGCAGGGGCAACTGATGCTCATGAGGCTGGCTTGGCGGCAGTTTCCAGAATCGACAAATTCCGAGCTGAGGCTCGTGATGCCAGACTTGGGCCCACGAGAAACGCTGCTGCTGGCACGGCAGCGGCAGCTGATGCTCATGATGCTGGCTAGGCGGATCGACAAAATCCGAACTGAGGCTGGTGATGCCAGACTTGTGCCCGCGAGAGACGTTGCTGCTGGCCGGGCAAGGGCAGCTGATGCTCATGACGCTGGCTTGGCGGCCGCTTCTACAATCCACAAAATCCGAAGTATGGCTTGTGATGCCAGACTTGGTCCCGCGGGAAACGTTGCTGCTGGCGCGGCAAGGGCAGCGGATGCTGATGAGGCTGTCTTGGCGGTCGCTCCTACAAGCAACAAAATCCGAGCTGAGGCTCGTGATGCCTGACTTGGGCCCACGAGAAACGTTGCTGCTGGCCCGGCAAGGGCAGCTGATGCTCTTGATGATGGCTTGGCGGCTGCTTCTACAAGCAACAGAATCCGAGCTGAGGCTCGTGATGCCAGACTTAAGCCCGCGAGAAGCGTCGCTACTGGCCCGGTAAGGGCAGCTGATGCTCATGATGCTGGCTTGGAGGCCGCGTCTACAAGCGACAAATTCCGAGCTGAGGCTCGTGATGCCAGACTTGGGCCCGCGAGAAACGTCGTTGCTGGCTTCCCGGCAAAGGCAGCTGATGCTCATGATGCTGGCTTGGCGGCCGCTCCTACAAGCGACAAAATCCGAGCTGAGGCTCGTGATGCCAGACTTGGGCCCGCGAGAAACGTCGCTGCTGGCCCGGCAAGGGCAGCTGATGCTCCTGATGCTGGCTTGGCGGCCGCTCCTACAAGCGACAAAATCCGAGCTGAGGCTCGTGATGCCAGACTTGGGCGTTCGAGAAACGTCGTTGCTGGCCCGGCAAGGGCAGCTGATGCTCATGATGTTGGCGTGGCGGCCGCTCCTATAAGCGACAAAATCCGAGCTCAGGCTCGTGATGCCAGACTTGGGCCCGCGAGAACCGTCGGTGCTGGCCCGGCAAGGGCACCTGATGCTCATGATGCTGTCTTGGAGGCCGCGTCTACAAGCGACAAATTCCGAGCTGAGGCTCGTGATGCCAGACTTGGGCCCGCGAGAAACATCGCTGCTGGCCCGGCAAGGACAACTGATGCTCATGATGCTGGCTTGGCGGCCGCTCCTAAAAGCGACAAAATCCGATCTGAAGCTCGTGATGCCAGACTTGGGCCCGCGAGAAACGTCGCTGCTGGCCCGGCCACTCCTACAAGCGACAAAATCCGAGCTGAGGCTCGTGATGCCAGACTTGGGCCCGCGAGGAACGTCGCTGCTGGCCCGGCAAGGGCAGCTGATGCTCATGATGCTGGCTTGGAGGACGTGTCTACAAGCGACAAATTCCGAGCTGCTGCTCGTGATGCCAGACTTGGGCCCGCGAGAAACGTCGCAGCTGGCCCCGCAAGGAGAGCTGATGCTCATGATGCTGGCTTGGCGGCCGCTCCTACAAGCGACAAAATCCGATCTGAGGCTCGTGATGCCAGACTTGGGCCCGCGAGAACCGTCGCTGCTGGCCCGGCAAGGGCAGCTGATGCTCATGATGCTGGCTTGGCCTACAAGCGACAAAATCCGAGCTGATGCCAGACTTGGGCCCCCGAGAAACGTTGGTGCTGGCCCGGCAATGGCGGCTGATGCTCATGACGCTGGTCTGGCGGCCGCTCCTACAAGCGACAAACTCCGAGCTGAGGCTCGTGATGCCAGACTTGGGGCCCGCGAGAAACGTCGCTGCTGGCCCCGCAAGGACAGCTGATGCTCATGATGCTGGCTTGGCCTACAAGCGACAAATTCCGAGCTGATGCCAGACTTGGGCCCCTGAGAAACGTTGGTGCTGGCCCGGCAATGGCGGCTGATGCTCATGATGCTGGTCTGGCGGCCGCTCCTACAAATGACAAATTCCGAGCTGAGGCTCGTGATGCCAGACTTGGGCCCGCGAGAAACGTCGCTGCTGGCCCCGCAAGGACAGCTGATGCTCATGATGCTGGTTTGGCGGCCGCTCCTACAAGCGACAAAATCCGATCTGAGGCTCGTGATGCCAGACTTGGGCCCGCGAGAAACGTCGCTGCTGGCCCGGCAAGGGCAGCTGATGCGCATGATGTTGGCTTGGCCTACAAGCGACAAAATCCGAGCTGATGCCAGACTGGGGCCCCCGAGAAACGTGGGTGCTGGCCCGGCAATGGCGGCTGATGCTCATGACGCTGGTCTGGCGGCCGCTCCTATACAAGCGACAAACTCCGAGCTGAGGCTCGTGATGCCAGACTTGGGGCCCGCGAGAAACCTCGCTGCTGGCCCCGCAAGGACAGCTGATGCTCATGATGCTGGCTTGGCGGCCGCTCCAACAAGCGACAAAATCCGATCTGAGGCTCGTGATGCCAGACTTGGGCCCGCGAGAAACGTCGCTGCTGGCCCGGCAAGGGGAGCTGATGCTCATGATGCTGGCTTGGCCTACAAGCAACAAAATTCCGAGCTGATGCCAGACTTGGGCCCCCGATAAACGTTGGTGCTGGCCCGGCAATGGCGGCTGATGCTCATGATGCTGGTCTGGCGGCCCCTCCTACAAGCGACAAATTCCGAGCTGAGGCTCGTGATGCCAGACTTGGGCCCGCGAGAAACGTCGCTGCTGGCCCCGCAAGGACAGCTGATGCTCATGATGCTGGCGTGGCGGCCGCTCCTATAAGCGACAAAATCCGAGCTCAGGCTCGTGATGCCAGACTTGGGCCCGCGAGAAACGTCGTTGCTGGCTTCCCGGCAAAGGCAGCTGATGCTCATGATGCTGGCTTGGCGGCCGCTCCTACAAGCGACAAAATCCGAGCTGAGGCTCGTGATGCCAGCCTTGGGCCCGCGAGAAACCTCGCTGCTGGCCCCGCAAGGACAACTGATGCTCATGATGCTGGCTTGGCGGCCGCTCCTACAAACGACAAAATCCGATCTGAGGCTCGTGATGCCAGACTTGGGCCCGCGAGAAACGTCGCCGCTGGCTCGGCAAGGGTAGCTGATGCTCATGGTGCTGGTCTGGCGGCCGCTCCTACAAGCGACAAATTCCGAGCTGAGGCTCGTGATGCCAGACTTGGTCCCGCGAGAAACCTCGCTGCTGGCTCCGCAAGGACAGCTGATGCTCATGATGCTGGCGTGGCGGCCGCTCCTATAAGCGACAAAATCCGAGCTCAGGCTCGTGATGCCAGACTTGGGCCCGCGAGAAACGTCGCTGCTGGCTCGGCAAGGGTAGCTGATGCTCATGGTGCTGGTCTGGCGGCCGCTCCTACAAGCGACAAATTCCGAGCTGAGGCTCGTGATGCCAGACTTGGTCCCGCGAGAAACCTCGCTGCTGGCTCCGCAAGGACAGCTGATGCTCATGATGCTGGCGTGGCGGCCGCTCCTATAAGTGACAAAATCCGAGCTCAGGCTCGTGATGCCAGACTTGGGCCCGCGAGAAACGTCGCTGCTGGCCCGGCAAGGGTAGCTGATGCTCATGATGCTGATCTGGCGGCTCCTACAAGCGACAAATTCCGAGCTGAGGCTCGTGATGCCAGACTTGGGCCCGCGAGAAACCTTGCTGCTGGCACGGCAATGGCGGCTGAGGCCGTGCGAACCTGCCCCAGCCAGGAGTTTACGGAGTTGGAGCTGAGGCTGTCCATGATGGCGACTGCGGGTCCAAAGCAATCGCCAATGATGGCATCAGCTTGACAGTCGCAGCGACATCATGTCTTTTTTGTGTTTTGCTGATTCTGCCAGATAAATTTCGGACTCATGCTCAACAGTCCGAAATTAAAGTTTGGTTCGAATGTGCTTGTACTAGGCTCCACGTGTCAGGGTTCAGGGTCGGGGATGCATTGAATAAGTCGCATAGAGTCATAGCGCATAATTTCACAAAGCTTGTGGACCGCGTTTTTGCATGTTTGCAAGAGTGTTTCTCTGTAGCCATGCCTCCAACTGCAAAAGCAGGCACGGTGCCATTCTCGCTTCTGGAGGCTGTAGTGAGTCGGAGAGTAGGAATGTCTCTGAAGATGTGACGAATTATTGTTGCGGGACTTTGGTTTGGTGTTTAGGGTATCACTAAATCAGCAATCCAGTATCTTGCCCACCCAGTCACGAGACCCTAGACCGTAAACCGTGAACCAGAAATTTCAAGCTTGCTTGCTTAGGAAGGTGTCAAGACCTTCGTGGAGGCTTCATCTTTGGCGCTGCTGGCAACTCGGCTGATGTCGCTCCAAATATAACGGCTTGAATAACAACCCTGAGCCCTAAACTCAATCTATTCCTTACAGCTCCGTGCCAGAATATTACACTGCAAGGCCCTCGTCTTCTTTTGAAGGCCCCTATGTTAGTAGTCGAGTTTGTGGAGCCTCAAGAATGAGTCATGCAGTGCAGTACCCGTCTTTCGTGCAGCTGTCCTAAGGTTTGCGGTTTAGGGTCTGGGGTACTCGTGTCAGTGTGCTCCAACAGACTGTTACACGTGTATTTCTGTCGCACAGGTTTGTCTGTGAAGCTTTCATGTGTAGATGCCCGGAGGGCTCAGGATTGAAATTGCAGTCACACCTATGGTCTCCATTGTAGTTCCTTCTTTTGGTTAATCAACATCTCTATTATAGCATCGCAACCATAAAACTGGGAAAACCGAATCAGGGAACTACAATGGAGACTACAGGCAACAACGGCGAAGCTCCCACACTAGTGACCGTATGTGGGTGGGTGTCAAAATGACGGGGGATGCGTGAATATTCGGTATCCATCTGCTTGTCCCTCAACAGTGTTATAGTTTTTTTCTACTCTTATCGTTTTACAGTACTTTGGATGACTTGGAAACTGTTGGATGTGTCATGTATCCGTTATCGTTTCATTTTACTCTTATCGTTTTACAAGAAATCGATTGCTCCGACATTTCGGGCGCACCTACTTTAAACACTGCTCTCCGTGTTTTTATCATCCCTGTTCTGGGTCCTGATTTCTAACCATTGATATCGGAGGAGCTAAGGAGCCAGGGATGATGATAATCCCTACTGGTCCTAGTAAATAAGGAGCTAAAGAGCCAAGGGAACCCCAAAACCACTGCTTAGTTTATAATACGGCACCTAATACTTAGGGTACCTAAAAAGGAGCCATAATTTTGACAACTACCCATGTAACAGCAGTGATGTTACGAGGGGTCATAGGACGTGTTTCAGGAGCAGGTACTGCGGACAAAATGCGAATCACGGCCACTAGGACGAGCAAGCCCATCAAGCCCCAAACCTACGCTCTAAATGCAGAATCTCACCCTGGATTTGGTTTTCGAACTGTTTAGGGTTTCAGGTTTGAGTTATTAGGGTTTCGCGGTTTGGGGCCGTTAAGGCTTTGGGTTTCTTCGTCCAGGCCCAAGGCGGCGGGAACCCTCAAAGCCAGAAAGTTCCGGTTGCGGGTTTAACGACTGTAAGTCATGTGTTTGAAGTTTGCAGAAAAAGAGGCCAGCTCTATTTACGATTGATCCCTCGCATGGCAACTCAAAATATTTTTTTGGGGGAGAACATGGGAGAACCCAGTAGAACCCTTATAGAACCTTTATAGAAGGCCTTATAGTACCCCTTACAGAACCCCATATAGTACCCCGCAGAGACGCCTCCTGAAACCAAGGCCATTGGCGGCTTTTTCACCGCCGGAGCATTCCTGCCACTGGGCAGATGCTGTGCGTGGCTTTGGGTTTGGGGTTTGGTTTAAGGTGTAGGTTTTAAGGTGTAGGGTTTAAGGTTTAAGGTGTAGGGTTTAATGTTTGGGGTGTAGGGTTTAGGGTTTCCGTCTAGGTTCGCGCTCTGGGCTTTTGGTTTGGGGCTTAGGCGTCTGGAGTTGGGTCCTGGGTTTCGGGATCGGGTTTGTGACTCAAGCACTAGAACTCGAAAAAACACCTTCGGTGAGCTTAGGTGGAAGCGGCATCCCTAAGCCCGGCCCTAAACCCTAAGCCTCAAGCCAAGTGTGCCCTGAACTCGAGATTCTATTCCCGTAAGCCCGGAACCGGAAAACCCCAAGTAAACCCTGAACAACAAAACCCTAAACCAAACCCCCAAGCTCAGCCACCCCTAACTCCCAGAAAAAGTCCGTGGGTCAGCGCTGAAACCAAAGTGGCGACAAGCTAGAAAGCGGCCCGTTTTCAACAACGGGGAAGCTTGCAGCGAGAGGGACAACCCTAAACCCTAAACCCCTTTATAAACCCTAAACCCTAAACCCCTAAACCCTAAACCCAAACCCCTGAACCTTAAACCTACCCTGAAGCCTAAGGTGCTTCGGGCCCCTCGAAAGGCGTCAGCAGCGCCTTGCGACGCGGAAAGAGGCAACGAGATCTTTCAGAGTTCTGTACAGGAATTTTGGGTCAGGGATGTTTAAGGATTGCCAAAAGAAGGTGAGAAGATATTTTTGATTTTGAAACATCCTGTTAAGGCAAGTTCTGGAGGTTCATAACTTTAGGAAGAGGGTGTTTGGGGTTGAGGTGCGGGTCTTGGTGGTGTTCTTTGTGCTTAGGGATTGTTCAAACTGTGAGTGCCGGATGTTGGGTTCAGGGCTTTTGTTGAAGGGTTGGGATTTTTGGATGTGTGCTTGCGGCACGTCGGTTTAGTTTTTAGGGTTTCTGGTTTAAGGTTTAGGGTTTCTGATTTAGGGTTTAGGGTTAGGGTTTAGGGTTTCTGGTTAGGGTTGAGGGTTTAGGGTTAAGGGTTGAAGGCTTCACTTGAGGGTTGAAGCACTCTGCTGCACGCCAAAGGCCGAAGTTTTCGAAGCGAATATATCTCCGAGCCAGTTTAGGGTTTTCAGTGATCAGGGTCTGGGAAGAACCCGACCTCCTAAGCCGCAGATTTATCAGACCATGGGGACCTTCAATTATAACTCATAGTAGTACTAGACTCATAGTAGAATTTAGGGAACAGCCACAACAAGCTTCGTGGTATCCATTAGACCGCTACGGCTTATTGAGCTTTCTAGGCCCCGCGCCAAATCTTGCCAGACTGCTTGGAGCCTATGCAATTGAAACGCAAACTCCGTGACCCTTAGAACCACTAAAAACAGCTGAAACCTCCAACGCCCCAAACCCTAAATCCTGAAACCTTCAAACCCAAAAAGCCCTAAACCCCGAGCCCTTGAACCCTAAGCACTATAAGCCCTAAAGCCCTACATCCCTCAACCCCTCAAGCCCTGAGCCCTGCAGGAGGTTATGCGGGAGCTCACTGACTTGGAAAGGCGCAAGAAAGCTCTCGAGACTGAAGCAGGGCTTTAGGGTTTAGGGTTTTGGGACTTAGGGATGAGGGTTTTTGGGTTTAGGGTTTTGGAGTTTAGGGTTTAGGGTTTTGGGGTTTAGAGTTTTGGGGTTTTGGGGTTTAGGGTTTTGGGTTTTGGGGTCTAGGGTTTGGGGTTTAGGGTGATCACGTCCACTGAGATTCTGGTCTTTGCAGCTTTCATAACCCACCCTAACTCTGAATAACCTACCCTTTTTGGGTTTCCTTATTAGGATTTTTGTTTTATAAGTCCTTAAAAGGGTAGCTTAAAGGATCCATGTATGTTACCATTATGGAATTTGGCACCCAAAGCCATAATAGGGATGGTATTTTGGGACCTAATTAATTCCATGATGGTAGTATATATGGACCCTCTGGGTAAGGGCTTGGTTTAGGCTTTAGGGTTGCTATAGCTGCCAGGTAGCTATCATAGTACAGGGGCCTGAATGACTGGCAATGTAGACCCCTGATCAATGCACTCCTACCTCAAGGAATCATAACACGGATCCTGCCATTAATGCCTTGAAGAAAGGTGGCTTATTCATCAGAGCTCTACATTACCCTCATAGTCCCTGCTGTGCTGCAGTATACATGATTCATATCCAAGCCTAGCGCAACTGTTTCAGCCCCTACACCCTGAACCCTAGACTGTACTCGTAGTAGCTTAGGCCTAAACCCTAAGCCCCTAAACTCCTAAACCCTAAACCCTGAACCCCTAAACCCTGAACCCTAAACCCCTAAACCCCTAAACCCCTAAACCCCTAAACCCCTAAACTCCTAAACCCTAAACTAGGCGTCCCGACCCTAAGCCCTGAGAAGCCCTTGGTCGGTCAGCTTTTGCGGCTGGGACTCGAAGGTCTTGGAGCTTCCTCTTGCCTGTACATACAGTAGCCAAGGGGGTCCCTTCTGCACCCAACAAACCCAATACCGTAGCTTAACCCCGAGGAGCCTACCTTTTAAGGACTTAAGTAAGGAAGTCATGATCGGGAACCCTGATGAGGTAGGTTATTCAGGGTTAAAGTATACCCTGTACCCCAGATCTCGTCACTTTGAGCCCTAGTGGGTTTCGCTGTCAGAAGCCGTCCAAAATGGGAGTTTCCGAAAATTAGGGGTACCTTATTTGGGGGTCCTTATAGAAAGGATCCTACTATTTAGGGTGCTATATTAGGGTCCCTGATAATCGGAAACTCCCAAATCTTGCAAGCCCTATCAAGCCGCATCCAGAAGCCTTGAACCTAAGCCAATACAGCCCCAAATAGAATTCAGAATGTTGCAATACTCTAAGAAGCCAGACCTTCTAACGCATTGCTTGGAAAGCTTTATAAACCTCAAACCCTAAACCCTAGTCCCTAAACCTTGAAACCCTAATCCCTATAAGCCCTAACTTAGTAGCTGAGTAGGTAACCTTTATACTTTATACTTTGGGGGTTTATATGATTCTACTAAATTTCAACTTGTTAACCATTTTTGGGCTATGGGGTACGATTATAGGGGCTGAAATAATAATCACCAACACTATTTTGGGGGTCTCTTACTATGAATATAGTATAATGGGACCCAAAACCCAATTCTAACTATTAAGGCCCCTTTTTTTGAACCCTGAAGCCTCAACCCTAAACCCTAAACCCTAAACCCTAAACCCCCTTTTTTGAACCCTGAAGATTCAACCTTGGATCTTCTGGATGGAAGAAGGGCCTCCCGCATTCCTCGGTGGGGAGATCTCGGGGCCGGCCCCGCGAGGTGGCATGAAAAAGGGAAAAAGAGCTATAGTATACGGACTTAAATACTTACCAGTAGCATGTTGGTGATTCCTTTGAAGGGGTTCCTTAAAGGCGTCTATAAGGGGTCTATATAGTAGGGTTCTATGATATGGGGGCCCGAATAAGTACCTATATTATTTGGGGGGCTAATAAATAATTTGAACTATGGTACAAACTACCCCAAAAGCCCTACTTTAATTATTAAGGCCCGTACATTACGGTCTTGGGGTTTAGTGCTGAAGGGTTTAGGGGTTTCAGGTTTAATTGGGGCTTACATAAGGGTTCAAGGGCTTATGGGGTTCAGGGTTTTCGGGGTTTGGTAGAATTGCAACCCCAAGGCTCGCAAGAGCACAGATAGCCTCGATCGTGAGGTCTTTGGGCCCGACGACCGGCAAGTATGACTTACTTTCAGGGCTAAGTAGCCGTAATTGGACCCTAAACCCCCTAAACCCCCGGAACCCCCTAAACCCCCTAAACCCTAAACCCCCTAAACCCTAAACCCTAAACCCCCTAAACCCTAAACCCTAAACCCCCTAAACCCCCTAAACCCCCTAAACCCCCTAAACCCCCTAAACCCCCTAAACCCCCTAAACCCCCTAAACCCCCCAACCCCGTAAACCACCCAAAACCCCCTAAACCCCCTAAAAACCACCTAAAAACCACCTAAAAACCCGCTTTAAACTTCGGAAACAGGAGCTCCTGAGAGCTGTTTAGGGTTTGGGGGTTTAGGGGTTTGGGGTTTAGGGTTTAGGGTTTAGGGTTTGGGGTTTAGGGGGTTTAGGGTTTGGGGTTTGGGGTTTAGGTTTTTGTTTTGTGAGTTTGGCGTTTAGGATGTAGCGCTTGGTAGAATCACCTTACTAGGAGGATCCTTGATTCAGGGCACCTTCACTCAAGTTACTGGAGGATCCTTGACTCAAGGCACCCCTTCTGCCTGCAAACTGTTGGTTTCCTGTGGCCTGTGACGCTAGGACCGTTACGACAGCTGCAATCGAACACAAACTCCCAGAGCACTCCCGCCCATATGCACGAGGTGCCAAGGCCCTTCTTGAAGGGCCAAGGCTCCGACATTTGTGTTTGTTGCTACATCCGAAACCTTGCATTTTAAATGAGCCTCCATTCTTGTATAGCTTTTCAAAGATAGGAACCCAAGTTCCTTCAGTTTGTGGAGGCCCTCACAACCCTCAACCGTAAAACCTCAAAGGGTTTAGGGTTTTGGGTTTTGGGTCAGCATAAACCCAAAGCCATCTAATTTCCGAGCTTCTCCTTCCGCAGCTCCGTTGGCTCGTCTTGCAGCGAGCGCTGAAGGAGCCGTTTCCGCTTGAACGTGCCTTGGCCGATCAAGTGCAATGATTAGTAGCTGAGTGGATACACTTTACACTTTTTGGGATAACGTTCCCCACTATAAAACTGAATGTGTACACTTTTTTGGGGATAACATTACTCACTATAATACTGAAAGTGTACACTTTTGGGGGGCTTATGAATTCAGACTTCTAGGATCAAGTGCAACGTGTGCAGGACTTGAGGGCTGAGGCTTTAGGGCTTTTAGGCTTGAGGGAGTTTTGGGGCTTTCGAGAGTTTCAGGGCATCAGGGTTGAGGATTCATAGGATCGAAAGTATACTTACAAGAGCCCGAAAGACCACATGGGCTAGGTAGGCCACCGGGACATTCAGTACTTACCCTTTAGGGGTTTAGGAGAATCATCTGATATAGGGGCCTTAATAATTACCCATACTTTTTTTGGTTGGTTTCTTATTATTATAAGTATAGTACAATGGACCCCAAAACCCTATTCCAATTATTAAGGCCCTATATTTTGCGGTAAAGAGAAGGATCTTGCAGATGAGGTTTCTCCTTCCTTCTGGTGCGAAGCTCGGATCCCTCTTGCCTTTGGGGGGTATACCTTACCTGTAGCCGAAAAGATCTACCTTTTTAGGGTTCCTTATTATGGTTTCTATATATAGTTCCTTAAAAAGGTAGGTCTTTTCGGCTACAGGTAGGGTTTATTTTATCGGATATATAGGGTTTACATGCCGCTGTTCTGTACGGTTTAGGCTGCTGTTTACGATCTTCGGCTCGGGTTTGTTGGGGTCGAGAGAAATTGGGTCTAGCATATACGGTTAACCCTAAACCCTGGAAACCACCCTAAACTGTATACCCTTAAACCCTAAACACTGAACCCTCATCCCTGAGCCCCAAACCCTGAACCCCAAACCTTAAACCCCTAGAACCCTTAATCCTAACCCTAAACCCTAAACCCTAAACCCTAAATCCTAAATCCTAAACCCTAAATCCTAAATCCTAAACCCTAAACCCTTTTAGGGCCGAGGGTTTGGAGGGCCTCCTCCAGCCCGACAGCCCAGGGGACCTAGTAAGTCGGTTATAAGTAGGGTTATAGTTGGGGTAACTCCATTTAGGGTTTAGGGTTTAGGGTACTTATAACTGTATTTATAACCTACTTACTACGTCCCCTGGGCCTCTAAGTAGCCCGGCCGCCCAGGTTGAATGTAGCAGCCTTGGCAGCCTTTTGGTCAAGGCGTCGGCCCCTGCGTACCTGCTACGGTTGATGATATGAATCCTGCATGACCCATAATAAAGAATATATACCATAATTCCCATAGTTTAGGGTCCTTAAGGTAATGCAGGATTTATATCATCAACCGTAGTTGCGGGTTTGGGGGTTTAGGGTTTAGCGGTTTACGGTTTATTGTCTAGGGTTTCAGGTTTAGGGGTTCAGGATCTAGGGGTTTAGGGCTGAGTTTAGGGTGTAGGGCCTCATGGGTTTTGGGTTGAGGGTGTAGACGTTATTTTTTTGGTGTTTTTCATTACTTAGGAGGCTTGGAATTTGGAGTCTGGGGTTTTATCTTGTTCTGGGTTGGGGTCTCGGCGCTTCGGTGTTAGGGGTTCAGGCTAGAGTGTTATGAGTGTTTCCTTCTTTTGAGAGTTTCGGTACATGAGATTTGTGAGGATGGGGCGCGAAGAACCACAAATCATCAGCTTGGAGGCGCCACAAGCCAAAATTGTGTCCAACATCATACACCTCGATCGGTATGTGTCACTGCGTGACCCAAGCCTAGTACTGGACAGTTAGTAATTCCATGCTTTATCCTTCCTTATTCTATGATTGCTGTAGCAGCCCTCTATTAGTTGTTCATGCCCTTCCCCATCAGCCGGTCCTACCCCTAATCCCGTATCTGAAGATCACAAACCCTGAGCCCAAAAGACCAGGACCTCTTGAGACCTATGTGACTGAACTAAATTCCCGGATGAAATCCTGAAGCTGCAGTTCATAAACTTAGCCTGGGATCCAATCCACACACTTCCTAGCAGGATCCCATGTGCAGTGTTTTACGAGGGAAGAATCTTCATGGCTCGGGGATTTCAGGGGTCTGACGGTTTCGGGACTCCTAGGGTGCAAGGTTTTGGTTCAGGTCTGTTGCAGAGCTAGCCAGCAGAGGTTGTACCAGCAAAAGGAATGTCAGTTGGGGCATAGCGTTCGCACATCAGGCATCATTTTTCGGGATAACCCCTTGTATTGTTGGCTGCAACCAGTTTGGAAAGATAACAGCCAAAACGCTTAAGCCGCAGCGAGAAAGCCCAATGATGGTTAGTAGCACGCCTGTTTGGTGTTTCCTATGCCAAAAGCCGTAATGATTATGCTATACACCGATCCCCGTTCTGATTAACACGGATCTCTTCAATATCACCAATCAATCAAGCAAAGACCTTACGAACCATTATACAGCATCTACAGGTACTGCACGCTGCACCAAACCCCCGAAGCGTCACACAGCATCGAAGCACAAGCCCCCAAATTCCAAACCTGAAACCACAAGATGAACACGCTGCGTAACCCCAGCTTTCCCTTGATATTGGAGGAGCTAAGGAGCCAGGGATGATGATAATCCTTATTAAAGAAGGAGCTAAAGAGCCAAGGGAACCCCACAACCACTGGTTAGCCAGAAAACAGCTCAAAACAACTCGAGCAGCCCGGCTCCTCTCCGCGCCGAAGCCGGAAAACCCACAGAGTCTGAGCAAGGCATCAAGACGAGATGCTAGGCACCATGGAGCCTCCAGCTCAGCGAGTTTTTGGGGGTTGAGGCTTTTAGGATTTAGGGTTTTAGGGTTTAGGGTTTAGGGTTGAGTTTTGGTTCTTTTGAAACACCGGGGCTTGAGCAGTTGCCTACATTATTCATTGTGGTCTAAACTGGAAGAGTTCATCCCGAAACCCTGCTCGTAGTGATAAGGCCCTTGTATTAGGGTGCCAAGCTCCGGCTACATGTTTGACGATCTCCGAACTTTGTAAGCATACGCCCCGATGCTTCGACTTGGAGAGCAGGCGGAAGAAGGAAAGGGAACTTTGAATGTCAGTTGGAAGTTTAGGGGTACCTTTTTTGGGGTCTGTATAATAAGGATCCTACCATTTAGGGTACTATATTAGGGTCCCCTATTTTCGGAAACTCCCAGTTGATGATGAACACCACTCAAGCTGATTTCTGGCCCCCTGATGACAACCCAAAACCTCTAAACCCTAAAACTTTACGTAAATGCCAGAAGCCCAAAACCCTAAACCTTAAACTTCTTCGAACCTAAACCCTAAACCCTAAACCCTAAACCCCTAAACCCTAAGCTCTGAAGCCCGAAAGCCTAAACCGTCTTCCCCTTTGAGCAGACACCCAGAGCTCGGAGACTCAGGGTGCTCCGAACCCGTAGACTGCCTGCAGGCTCGAAACCTTAGGCCTTACTTGGAGGGTCTGGGGACTTAGTAAGTAGGTAGTAAGTAGACTTATAAGTACCCAAAAAGGGACCTAATTGGGGTTATGGTACTTATAAGTCCCGAAAATAGCCAGTTGCTAAGTCCCCCGACCCTCCAAGTAGGCCTTATAGGCCACGAGTTCTATGATGATTTTTTTGGTATCTGCTAATTACGCAGAAGATTCGATGACGATGGCAATCATGGTGGCGATGCCTAGACCCTAAACCCCTAAACAAAGCCCTAAACCCTAAACCCTTATGGTTATCAAAATCAGCAAGCTCCTCCGTTGCGCTCTCAGCAACCGATAACTTGTACATTTTGACGCCAAACCGCCACAACCTTCCCACCAGTGCAACACCTTCACATGTAAACCCTTGGTACAAGTCTAGTTCTTTGTACATTTTCAGAGTTAGACTGTCAACCTAATACACCCTCGCAAAACATGACTCAGCAAGCCCTGATCTAATCAGATCAAACAGCGACATATTTCAAGAACAACTCGTAAAACCCTTTCCTGTAGGAGCAGCCACACCCCACAGCCTTCTCGCAAGCCCCGAACTCCCCAACCAAAGACCAACCGACGCAATAAAGACTCATGCTTCCACGAACGAGCCTGCAAAGAAGCAGGAGACACACAAAGCCCCAAACCTCAGCCCAAGGCCCTAAACCATAGGCAAGAGAGGCTCTAAACCCCAAACATCTCTAAACCCTCAACTCTAAATCCTAAGCAAAAAGAGACTCTAAACCCTAAACCCTTAACGCTAAATCCTAAGCCAAAAAAGAGACTCTACACCCTAAACCCTCATTCAAAATCTGAAGCAAGAGAGACTGAGGCCCGTGAAGCCCGTGAGACAGCGGCCCCTGGGCTTTTCTTGGACGGCTGGAATATATCAAAGTCTATGCTTATAAACTTAAAGTCCCAGTACCGATATAATTCTATGTTATACCATAATAAACTATAAAATACTTTAAAAGACTATACTAGACTAGACTATACTATGCCACAAAACTAGCAGTGGACGGTCGTGTAGATGGTCGTGGACAGCACTTGTAGGAGTGTGGCAGGCATCGTCGTCGGTGTGGCGACAGCAATCGTCGTCGTAGAAGGCTTGAACCCCTCAAAATTAGTTTATGCCTATGGTCAATCTGCTACACACGCGGAACACCCGAAGCCCATAAGCTCCAATTCAACACCACCTCTCACACACTGAAACCTACTGTAAATACCCAGAGACTCCAATATCCCTTAATTAAGGAATATACCTTAAATTATAGTAGGATCCCTAATATGATTTAAGGTCGATTCCTTAATTAAGGGATATTGATGTTTGTGGGTACCTTTAAAACTAGTGCCTGAGAGCGATCGACTTCTTCTGGTCATCAGGCTATCCTACAGTAGAAGCCCCTTAGGGGGTTTCGGGTTCCTTTAAAGGGTTCCATAAAGGCTCCTTAAAGGGATCTATAAGGGTTCTATATAAAGGGGTGTAGGGTTTGCAGTAGAAGCCCAAGAGTTGGAAACCCAATAGCTTCAATCCTTAAGAGTCATGTTTCGGGAATCCCAGCACTATTTGGCCTGAATCCGGTTTCCAACTTTATGGAGTTTACTGTAGGTGTCAGTAGGACTTTGGGAGACTTGTAGTTTTTTGTTTTGACTTCAGACGTTTACGAACAGTTTTTCAGATGGCTTCAAGGGCTGCTATAGGGGCCTGAACACTTAGTCATACTGTTCCTAAGGGTTCCTCATTATCGTTATTTGTTTTACCAAAAAACCCTATTCCAAATACTACGGCCCTTACATTAAACCTTTCGTGAGCCCTATGGAACCTGTCAACACTCGACAACAAAACGCCATACAAACCCCTAGGCCCTAAACCCCCAAGCCGCAAACCCATAAACCCCTTAAACCCTAAACCCCTATGAACCCTAAACCCCTAAACCCTGAACCCCTATGAACCCTAAACCCCTATGAACCCTAAACTCCTATGAACCCTAAACTCCTAGACCCTAAACCCCTAAACCCCTAAACCCCTATGAACCCTAAACCCCTAACCCCTAAATCCCTAAATCCCTAAACCAGACAGACAGGTTCTCCGAGCCCCAGAAGTTCGTGCCCGTGGCCTTCATGTCCGGGGACCCTGGTGGGTTCTGTGACCCCGGGACTCGACGATCCTGGGGTACGGGTTTAGAGGTTTTGGGTTTAGGGTTTAGAGGTTTAGGGTTTAGAGGTTTTTTTTGGGGGGGTATGTGATCGTGTCGCATATTTATGCCCTTGAAGAATAGCGAGCCCCTCTTCCATAACAAGGACTACAATGGGGATCCTACGCCTATGGCCTTTAAGATCCTACCATGCAGGAGCGACTTTGGTTTTCGGTGTAGAGATAAACGGTTTAAAGTTTTACGCTTGAGGCCTAAGACGTCTGAACATCAAGACTGGGCTTATGGGACATGCTTGCAAAGCTTGTTTCTTGTTAAGGGAATGAGTGGAAGTTACCATAAACAAACCTCATTATTGACTGTAGATCCCTGTTATGGTAGCTGAAATTAGATTCCTTAACAAGATCGCAGAAGAGGTGGAAGGCGTTTGTTTTGCTAGGATGCCCAGTAGTACCGTTGTTTCCTTCTTGTAGTCCTAGGTTCCTTATAAAGTTACCCATCCCCAATAAAAGTCACCAAAATCCATTCCCCCATCCCCTACTAAGCACCTTCCGCGTTGTTGCGCGAACGTTGATCTGGAATTCCCAGCACTTGTGCTGGCTCTTGGAGGGTCGGGGCACATAGTAAGTAGGTAGTAAGTAGACTTATAAGTACCCTAAAAGGGACCCTAATTCGGGTTAGGGTACTTATAAGTCCCTAAAATAACCAGTTACTAAGTCCCCCGACCCCCCAAGCTTTCTCCTGAGCATTGCTCTGTCTGAGGGCTTCTGCGCTGGCAAGAGTGCTGTGGGAGGCGGGCTCGCTGCGATCACGAGCAAAGGCGTCGCTTCGGACAAACGTTCCATCCTGCTAGAGGACACAGACTCCAATATCCCTTAATTAAGGAATCTACCTTAAATCATATTAGGGATCATACTATAATTTAAGGTATATTCCTTAATTAAGGGATATTGGAGTCTCTGGGGAGGACACTCCAAGGCATCGCAGTGACCGTGGGCAGCTACAGCAGGAATGGCAATGATTGGCTCGAGACGGCGGAGAGCGGAGTTCATACTCGGCGGGTCAATGGCCTGGAGTCGTTCCTCGAGGGCCGAGAGCTGGTCAGGAGAACATCGGAAGGAAACGCCCCAGGCGGCATCAACTGGGCTGATCATGCTATGCCGGTTCAACACCAAATTCCAGGGTGTATAGTATAGTCCCTTTACAGATCCCTTATAGAGCCCTTTAAGGGCCCTTTTAAAGGAACCCCATTCCCTGCTAAGAATCAGGCAGGCTAAGCACCAGGGAGTAGTGAAACAGTGAAACCCTAAACCCCTAAACCCTACACCCTAACAGACCCTAAACTATCCATAGGCCCCATAGTAGTTCCTTTTTGGGTTCATATGTCGAAGTCTATAAGGTAATCCCAAGAAGGAACTACTGTGGTAGGGGCCCTATGGTTATCCTAAACTCTTATGATTGGCACTCAGCGATCCCGGCGGCCCGTGAAGGCGAAACTTCAACGCCTGTAAGCCCAAACTCTAAGCCTGAACTTTAGGGTTCAGGTTTTTTTGGGGGTTTGGGGTTTAAGGTTTAGGGTTTAGGGGTTAAGGGATTAGGGTTTAGTGCTTAGGGTTTAAACTTTAAACCCTACACCGTAATCGACTCCTCTAAACCCTTTAACCCCAAGAGCCCAAACACCCATCGACGCTACAACCTTAGAGCACGATTTGTTTACCTGCAACTTGCGGTGTGTAAGCCGGAATCGGCGTGGCTACATGGCTTAGAGGCAGAGCCCGGGGGAGGGGGGTGGCTGTTGCAGTTTCTGGTCCTGTCGTGCTTGAGGAATCCTATATGCTTTGTTACCGAAGCTTATCTGGTAACCGGGACCCCTCAACCCTAAACACAAAATCCTAAGACCTAAATCCCATACGACCCCACTAACCCGGATCTCTTCATCCCCGTGCCTCTGAGGTCCGGTACGATGCTGTTTCTGCTGCTTGGCTGCTTCTGGCTGCTTCCGGTTAAAGGAGCTTCAACAACGAGGGGACATACAACTTTGTATGTTTGCCTACTTCTCCTTAGTAGCTGCGTGAGTAACCTTTTACCTTTTGGGGCTTATATACACCTACTATAATTCAAAAGGTCATATAACTGTTTTGGGCTGGGGTACGCAGCGACTAGTCTCTCTGTTAGTCAATAGCAAGGGCTCCGGGGTAAATTTCCCCAGGCCAAACCTGAAAAACAAGCAGTTAGGCTGTCAAGTGCGATGCAGATCTTGGGTACGGCCCCCACTCAGTAATAGTTGAAGAAAGTTCATAATATAGTTACATTAGGACCTTAATAGTAGCCCTATTATGGACTCTTACTGTAAGGGGGGCAGTATCCAATGCAGATGCATGGAAGCCCGAAGCCGACCCTCTCTCCACCCGAATTACCAAACCCTCACTTGGAGGGTCGGGGGACTTAGTAACTGGTTATTTTAGGGACTTATAAGTACCATATCCCCAATTAGAGTCCCTTTTAGGGTACTTATAAGTCTACTTACTACCTACTTACTAAGTCCCCTAAAGACCCTCCAAGCAAGCCCTACCTTAACCCCGAATATCCTACCCTTTTAGGGCTCCCCCAGCATGATTTCCTTATATAAGTCCTTAAAAAGGTGGGTTCTTCAGGGTTAAGGTATACCTTTAAACACTAGCAACCACCAAGTATACTGTTAGCCACTAGACTCACGGCTAAGAGCACAGATTTATTTCCAAACTTCTTGCCTAGAGCCGCAAGCCCCAGAAGCTCTCAAAACCACTGACAGGTACCTGGTTTACGTGCTCCAGCACTGCGCCAGGAGCTCGGCAGTATCTGCGTTGAGGAAAGCAGCCAGGAATAACTTGAAGGCTTGGCATAGAAAAGGCAAAGGCGCCAGGAGCTTTAGGGTTAAAGGTTGAGGGGTTCAGGGTTTAGGGTTAGGGAGGCTCAAGAAAGTGCGTTACTCCACATCTTTGAATCGATTCTGTGCGGCTCTGTGTGTTCATGGACCTCCAGTAGACAATCTGATACCACGACAGCACACGCTTTCCACCTGAGCTCAGCAGCCTTCCCATAAGTGTTGTTGCATGCGCAGCTCAAGCCTCATCCATCGCCGCAGAGGGTGTACCTGGTACCTCTCATGATGGTTGTTCACGAGAAATACTAGTGATGCTTCCAGCATTGCCACTGCCAGAGGCACTGCTATGATTGTTGCTGTTCTTCTCTTATCATACTTTGCAATGATATTCTGTTGGGATATCACTGCTCTGTTTATTGGAGCTTGCCGTCAAAAACTGGACTGCACTGCTATCCGTCGCTACGTGCAAGCTGCAAGAGAGTTGACCCTAAACCCCTAAACCCTAAAACCCCAAGCCCCTAAACCCGAAGCCCTATAGACCCTAAACCCCCCAGACCCCGAATGTGCAAGCAGGTGCCGCGGATGCAGCTGGACGTGGCCCCAAAGCACGTCGACGAAGACATCCGGTTGGGGGGCCCAGGAACTCCAGAACCCCTCGAACCCTAAGGCCCTGTAAGGGTTCTTAAGCTTAGGATCTGAGGTTTGTGTTAGCGTTTCGGGATTATGCATGAGGGGATTAGGGACAAATTAATTTAGGGCCAGAGACATTTTAATTATACCAGGGTTTTGGCTGCTGTTTCCATTCGCAGTATATTCAGCGAACTGCAGCATATTGCTGCAATGTGTTACAATAGTATCAAGTCGCACACTTAGCCCATGGGAGAACTTCAATTGAATTGGGGGGGTGCTAATTTGGGTCCATGCAGAAAACTCGGCTTTTTTGTAGCTAGGTTTGTGACGCAAAGGCTCGATACAGAGCCCCATGTAGAATTTAGCCGATTTGCACCCCGAAAGCCTTGTGAAGGCCTCTTTAACGCCTCTGTTCAAGAAGGCTTTCGGAACCCGAACCCGATCGACATTAATTTCCCGTTTCGGTTACCAGCCCTTCCCCGTAACCCAGATGGCCGAACCCCGAAGAGGTTGTATACTGAGGTATTGCTCAAGAAAGCATGCTCAACTTAAGGATGTGTTGCCTGCCCAGGGAGCGCGGACAGATGGAGTTCCTCGTGTTTCACATCCTCACGGTGGGGCTGGAGGGGTTTGAGGGTCTGGGTCCGTATTACGGAGTTTAGGACGTCGAGTTTGTGGCTCGACGGTTCATGGGCAGTGCTGTCGGTAGGCAGGTAGACCGTATGCGCGACTGGAATTCCAATCGTTTTCCAAGGATTTCCAAGGTTCAGTTGTTGCCGCGCGTAAAGCCTTGGGACTTCGGGGTCAATACAACAGACGTCTTACTACTTAGGGTGTATACTGCGGAGCCGGATTTCTGAAACTCGCTTATTAATCCGAATCCGTAAGCCCAAAGCCTTTTCCCTCCATCCTCAGAGATTAGCTACCTTCTCCTGCGAGCGTAAACCCCAGACCGTCTAGACCCTAAACCGGGCATCAGACTTTGATCCCTGAGGGCTGGCGATTTTTCTTTGGGGAGGCGGCCATCTGGCATTTTTGTACTGACGGCAGAGCGTTGATAATCTCCTACTGCAGAACCCGACGTCTTCTAGCAGTTGTTTTCCTGGGTTCACGTTTTTGGCGTGTGGGTTTCAGGGCCTATTATTGTGGTGTCTAAACGAAGTCTTGACACCTGCAGGTGCAAACCGGTTTCTAGGGATTTGGGGTTTAGGATCTGGGCGAAGGGGCGAATGCAGGTGCCAGTTTCTTTTTTCTTAAATACAATGTGGCACGAATTTTTCGGATATGAGGGTAGTGGCTATGATTGCTGGACCCCGGCTGTACTCTATATAATTCTAGGGTGACGAGTTTCGGGTTAATGAGAGCAAACAAAGGGACCTACAGAGTCAGTGTAGGCTTTAAATGCCTATCGAACGAATACAAGCTGTATCAAGCTTTCAAAGTCCTATAGAGCCAACCAAGCTCTTACAATCGTGTCAAGATCATGTTTCGCTGTCAATATGGGGTGTCTGTCCTCAGTAGGGCTATGAGTCGGGCCAATCATATTTCGCATTTATTATAGGATCCTTAAGGGAGGGTGGTTCAAAGGGGGGAGGGTATAAGGAATCCTTAGGGGACTGTAAGGGAACCTTAGGGAGTACTAGGGAGGATTAGGGATCACTAGGCTATATACCCCCCTTGCACCCCCCTCCCTTAAGAATAGTACAAACTTACATGAAGAGCGGCAGCAGCCCGGCGGAATCGGACACTCTAAACTCTAAGCCCGATAAACCCCAATAAGCTCCTAAACCCTTGAACCCGAAACCCTATAATCCCGAAACCCTAAACCCAGAGACTCCAATTTCCCTTGATTGCGGAATATACCTTAAGTCATAGTAGGATCCCTAATACGATTTACGGTATATTCCTTACTTAAGGGATATTGGGGTTTCTGGGAACCCTAAACCCTAAACCCTAAACCGGAAACCCTATAATCCCGAAACCATAAACTCTAACCCCCAAAAAAACACACACAACAATTAAACCGGAAACTCTGAAATTGCCGGAAGCCCGGGAGGCCATGGTGGTTATCTGCTACCTGCGGGCCATCTTCACGACGGCTGCTGGGTTGTGCTCTGGGACAATTTTTATTTTCCCTCCAGGAACCTCCTTGTACCCTCAAATAGGGTTATATGGTCCCAAATCATGGGTACTTAGGGTCTAATAGAGGGTGGATGGAGGGTATAGGCTTATTTCCTTATAAAGGGAACTTATTCATAAATAATTTTCAATGGGGTTAAAGCACAACCCAGGCTGGCACTATCCCCGACGGAGACAGGCCGCCGGCTACGGGGGTCGGAGCTTGAGCTTTTGGACTGGAGGCTTTAGGGGTTTTGGGGTTAAGGGGTTTAGGGTTTAGGGGTTTAGGGTTTCGGGGTTTGGGGGTTTAGTAGGGGTTTTGGGGGTTTGGGGTTGAGGGTTTAGGGGTTTGGGGTTTAGGGTTTGGGGACTTCGGGTTTAGCCATCAGCGTCTAGAGTTCAGGGTTGAGGGGGGGCAGAGGGTTCAGAGTTTTGACTTGAGAAATAGACTCTGGGGTTTCAGTTGAGAGGGGCAACATAGACTATTTAGAAAGAATTCAGATGTTCTTAGCAAGCTGCGGTGTCTGCGGTGTGCCATGACACTCCACGCCGACATGCTGCAAATTCGCTTCCCTTTTCAGGCATGCCCCAAAGCCCACGTGTCTCTGCGAAGACGGATCCTGCATGGGCGCGGCATTCACAGAAAAATGGCCCATATTAACCTCCTAAACCCTACACTCTAAACCCTAAATCCTGAACTCCTAAAGCCCGAAAGCCAGAATCGTCGAAGTCCTAAAGCCCCCCACCGTCAGGCACTGGGACTATCAGGCAGAAGATAGCATGGCCTCCTTCCTGCCGAGCTTCCTGAAAGAGACGAGCCTTGGTGGGTTTGGGATTTCGGTTTTGGGATTTTTGGCTTTACGTTTAGGCTTAGAGACTTCGTGTTTTGGGTTTAGGGTTTCGGATTTTGAGGTTTAGGCTTAGAGAATTTAAGTTTTGGGTTTAGGATTTCGGATTTTGAGGTTTAGGCTTTGCAGCTGAATTGACCCTAAACCCTAAGGTTTAGGGTTTAGGGCCACCCCAGGCTCCCCTGCCCACGCCCCCCCCAGTCCTCAGCGGGTCCCGAAACGTGGGTGTCATAGGTGTCCCCCATTAGTGGCTGGTGTTCAGCCTCCCTAGCAGCTGAGTGGATACACTTTACACTTTTTGGGATAATATCAATAGTACCCACTGTAAAACTGAAAGTGTACACTTCTCGGGGCTTATGAGCTCAGAAGCCTAGTTTAATGCTGGCCCATGTTCACCTTGAGCCACAGCCCCCCAACGCCTACTGCTGCAGACTGCTGGAAGTGCCCTGTACAGAACCACCCGAAACCTGGGCGTAATACCTGGGTCTTAGTTGAAAAAAATTAGGTTTATAGGGTTGAGGGATTTAGAGTTCATGGTTTGGGATTTTGGGTTTTAGATTTAGGGTTCAGGGATTTAGAGTTCATGGTTTGGGATTTTGGGTTTTAGATTTAGGGTTTAAGGTTTGGAGATAGAGATAGAGCGTGCATAAAACATAAGACGGCACAACATGACGTTGTATTGCAGAGCCATAGATCAAGATCCCGTCAACTGGGGTGAACCTCAAAATTATGGTCCCTTTTTGGGGTCCCTATTATAATATGGCACCTATTACATTTGAGGTACACCAAAAGAGATCCTAATTTTGACAACTACCCAGTTGGGTTTTGTTGCTGTTTTGGGCTCACTTTAGGGGTCTGAAAAGTTGCAGAGGCCGTCCTACCACCATCCAGGGTTGAATCGGTAGGACCTCAGCCTTTGAAGTTTAGCGCTTAAGGTTTCAGCGTTCAAGGTTAAGCGTTTCAGTTTCTTTTTTAATTTAGCGCTTCAGGGTCTGAGGTTTGGGCTTTGCACGGTTTCGGGCTTTATGCTTGAAGGTTTCAGGGTTTAGAGTTTCAGGGTTTGGGGTTTAGTGGGTTTAGCGGAAACCTTACTTAAAGTCTCAAGCAGGCGCCAGCGTCCCAGTCTGATAACAGAAAAAGAATTGAACCCCGAAGGGGTTGCGATGAAGTTCCCGTCACGCCACCATGCACCCCCGCCCAAACATGTCATGAAAAGCCCTATATAGTGATAGCAGTATACCCTGAAGGTCTAAACCCAACATATGAAAATCTTCGAAAGTCTACTGTATCCCCTCAACCCTAGACCCACTCTGAAGCCTTGAAACTATGTGACCTGACATTCCGAGGAAGCGATCTGGCGACAGGAGGCACTGCAAATGGTGCAGCAAGTTCAAGCCCGGAACTCAGGCATGTAAACCCTGGAACGGCCCAAGCCCTAAACGCACTATACTGGGGTGTCGAGTGTTGGGTTGTATGGTTTGTTATTTAAGTGATCTAGGTTTTCGGGCTCGGGGCTTGGACAACAATCGCTACATAAGCTGCTGTAACAGGAAATATTCTCTTCAAGAACCCGTCCATGACACCCACATGATCTAGGATGACCAGTAGTACCCTTATTCCCTTTTTGTTGTCCTAGGTTCCTTATAAAGTTACCCAATACCAAAATGGGAGCCCTTGTAACTCCTAGGTTACTGGGCATCTTAGTGATGCATCACCAAAACTCTAGTCTAGTACTCGAGCCCGAGACGAAATTCCCCGACCCCTAAGCCTGAAGCCGTGAAGTCCTATACCGTCGGGACACAAAAAAGCACATCAACATAAGCATTCTATAGTGATGTCCCTACCTTATTGGGCTTCTTTATAGGGGGATGTATATAGGATCTCAAGTGTTCTTACCTCAACGATGCAATGGCAACTGCATCCCCCACGCCTTAGTTAAACCCTCAATTCCCACAAGCTTCTTAGACGCCCAACTCGAAACCCTAAGACCCCAACCCCAAAGCTTTTGGATTCCCAGAGCCGCCGAAACCCTTGAACCTTAGACGAACAAGTCCAACGCCTTTGACAAGGCCTGACCGAACTCACCACTGCCGAGTCTGCCGCACCTGCACCTTGAAGATGGACTGAATGCCTTTATGCAGGCTAAACCCTGAACCCTAAACCCTAAGCCCTACGCAGTACTGTAGATCGTACTGTGAGGAGTTATGACGGGTGAGTTGAGGACTGTTGAGGTCCGTGCTCTCGCCTTCGGAGATCCTTTTTGCGGCGACCTCGCCATAGCAATTTTTAATCGTGCAATGAAGAAGAAGACGATGATGACGATTCTCACGTGGTGGTGCTGCTGCTGGTGGCGGTGGTGGCGGCGGTAGTGGTGGCAGTGCTGATGGTGGTTGTGGCGGGGGTGGCGGTGGTGGCGGTGGTGTTGGCAGTGGTGGTGGTGGTGGAGGTGGCGGGCCGGCAGCGCCAGTGCTGGCGCTGCTGGCTGTGGTCGGTGGGTGGCGTTGGCGGTAGCGGTGGCGGCAGCGGTGGTGCTGGTGGAGGTCGTGGTGATGGTGGTGGTGGTGGTGGTGGCAAGTCATTAAGTACAGTTTGGTGGAGACGGAGTTATGGCGGTTCTGATTGTTGGCAGAAACTCCTGCACATTCACAGCCGCAAGTTGCTTTTTGGACTGCAGGACCATCACTGCCCGTGGATCTACAATTGTGCCTGGTTCTCAGTTCTATCGTGGCTCATCAACCGCAGCATTTCTGGAGGTTCTCTTCCCTCCGATTCTTAATCGAGGGCTTGAGGTACTGATATTTAGAGTCTAGAGTTTGAACAGTAACCTTTCCCTCATCTAAACTCTCCCAGTCGGAGACATCAAGGGAGACCCCGGCTACAATTCAGACATGAGTTAGAAGCTGCCCCCTGTAATAGTGGTTATAAGGTTTATATTAGGGCCCTATTAAATTCCTATTATACAACTATAACCCTAAATCCTAAACCCTAAAGAGGGAGGCATGCGGCTAAAACTCGAAACCTTTTCGGCTCCAAAGCCACGGGATGAATCGTATCCGCAGGTCGGATACTACAACTACAAGCTTCTTGGCTTGCTAGGGTTTTCCTTAAAGGGATCTAATTATAAGGGTTTAGGGTTTAGGGTTTAGGGAAAAGGAGGGACATTTAATGGGGACCCCTACCCTATAGTGGGCTATAGAATGGGTACATAATAGCTATATTAAGGGTATATGCCTAGGGGGGGCCTTCTTAAGGGTCCCTCCTTTTACCCTTGGATAGGCTTTACCTTAATCCTGAAGAACCTACCCTTTGAAGGACTTCTACAAAGAAGTCATAATAAGGAGCTCTAAAAAGGTAGGTTCTTCAGGGTTCAAGTAGGGTTCAGGGTTACAAGCGGGGTTCAGAGTTCAGGCTCTGGCTCCGTAAAAACGAGCATCATCCTAGCAAGGACCCCAAACGGGAGCCTGATTTATAACCCCTGCCCCGCCCACAACCTGGGAGTAGAGCTGCATCTTTGGTGAAAGATAGTTGCCCGGCACTTGTCTAGAGCTCTACGTGCGAATACAGCGCGAACTACAAGCCAACATCCGGACCCAAATCCCGACTGCGGCGCTTTAAGCCCTCAACCCAAACCCTGAACCGTCTGAGTCCTAAGCCCAACAACATCCCAAATTCAAAAACACCTTTTGGCGTGGGGGTTTCGGGTTGGACGGTGTAGCGTGTATGTACGGTTTCAGGGCCAAGTGCTGTTCCTTATTCAGGGTTTCGGGGTTTAAATCACTTAGGACATTTGTTGCTCATTTCGAGCTTCATGCTGCCCAGCCAAGATATTTCTTCCTGCTGCTCCTCTATTCGGCGCTGGACTGCCACCTCATGACTATTACAATGGTGCCTCGGCTTCATTGGAGAGCTCGCCTACCTTAGGGGTACGTAGAAAGAAGTTGAAATAGGGTTTAGGGGATTCTAATATCCCTGAATTGAGCAATATACCTTAATTTATAGTAGGACCCCTAATATGATTTAAGGAATATTCCCTAGTTAAGGGATATTGGAGTCTCTGGGTACCTGAACCCCCCCCCAAATAGGTAAAGTAATGGCCTGATACCTTCAAAAGGCGATTATTCTACTTACCTTTGGAGTCCTGGGAGGGAATGGGGCCCAAAGGGTGCTATGTACCGATATAGTAGAATGTAGGGTTTCCCTATTAGGAATTAGTATTTTATTATGACTTAGGGAAGTATCCCCCATAATAGTACAAAGGATCTTGTGGCGGGTTGAGGTTGCGGGTTTAACGGGTTTTGCTGTAGAGTTTGATGGATTTGGACTTCGAGGTTCTTCTGACAAGCACTCCAGTCCAAGAGAATCCCAAACCCTGCACTCCAAAACCACTCCTCCCTGCAACCTAACTTCTTAAGCTCAGTCCTCTCAAATCGTAAATCGTTTAATCCGAAGCCTCTAAAATCTCAGGGCATAAGACGCTGGAACACCAAGCCTGTCATTTGTGGAAACCCTAAACCCTCTGTGTTGTTTTTTGAAGCCCCTGTATTAACCTGATATTCCTTGGAGTTCAAATCACCGGATCTTTTGTATTGAGGCAGAGACTGTGGTCAGAACGACCGAAGTTCCCACTCCGTTCTTCTCCATGCTCCGTGGCCTGCAACCCTAAGCCGTAAAGCTTAAACACTAAAACCTAAAACCTAAACCCTGAACCTGCATGACGGTTCAGGGTTTCTGGGTCCGGCCTTAGTGTTGCAGGATTTCTGGAGGGTTGCAGGTTCAGGGCTGCGTGCTGAGATTTGTGGGTCGATGGTTCGGGGCGCAACCCAGAGACGCCCATATCCCTTAATTAAGGAATATACCGATATATCTTAAAAGATAGTAGGATCCCTAACATGATTTAAGATATATCCGTAACTAAGGAATATGCGTTAAATATGCGGGTATACCTCAGAAAATAGTAGGACCCCTTAAATGTTTTACGGTATATTCCTTAATTAAGGGATATTGGAGTCCCCTAAACCCTAAACCTTATAGATCTTTGAAGGGTACCCTCGGCACTCCGTTATTACAGGATATTGGAGTTTCTCAGAAAGCCTCACGCCCCTGATCTTGCCGCCCGGGAACTTCACGAGACCCCCGAAGACCTCGGAAGCTAGCTTGCCGGTATAATAAGCAAAAATTCTCACACTTTCCCCGTAAACCCGATTCTATACGCCCTCGAAGCCCTGAATCCTACGCACCCCCCCCCCCCCCTCAAAAAAAACGTGTAGAGGGTTACTTGGGCTTCCTTGTCCTAGTAGTCATAATATCGAATCTACCACCCAAACCCCCCTATTCTACGTATGAAGTCCCCCAAAACTAATAGCCGACCCTCAACCCCCTAAACCCCAACAGGAGCCCCATAATGTATTAAGGCCCCTATAACTATAGTAGACCCTAAACCCCTAAACCCTCAGTTGAAATGCAAATTTTGTAAGCCCCTCAAAAGGAACCCTATCATAGAGCCCTATAATACCCCTTAAAGGGAGGAACCCTGTTTTAGACCCCTTATAGTACCCTTTTAAGTTTTAAGGAGCCCCAGAGGGGCGCAACAGGCACATAAGCATACGCTATGGAAACCTACCCCTCTATGGAGATGGTTATATGTTACTTTGTATAGTTTATGGGTTTCTGTATATGCCCCGCCCCCTCCCCCAGTACCAGTGGCCACAAGGTTCCTGGTTTTCTTTGCAGCCACTCTCGCGCCTCGGCAGTCTTCGCTCCAGACTCTAGCGCCAAGATCGTAGGATTAGTTCTTTTGACTTCGTGGTGTGTCTGGGTACCTACACATCGCTGCTTGTAATCTGTGGCGGTAGTGTAAGCGAAGACGCCAGGCTTCAGTTTTGTATTAGCCTAAAGTATACCCGTCCCAGCCGCTACACGGCGGCTTGGCGTATTGTTGCGGAAAATATGGAATATGGGTGTGCCGAGATCTTGACTGCAAGAGTTTTGCTTTGCAAGCAGACCCGAAAAGAGTATGCTTGCTACCAAGCCTTTGGGTTTGGGGCTCCTTTTTGCCAGGTCTGGGCTTTGACTTTGTTTACGTTTGGATTTGGGTGTTCAGGTTCTCTGCAACAGACGTCTCCAGGTTGAGTTGAGCGCAACAGAGTTACGAGGTGTCGTTACGGTTCAGTTCAGGCTTAGTAGGGCGTCTTCAGCTGAATACCCTTGGCAGTGTGGTATGGAGGCGTGAGAGACACTGATCTTACAGCCTAAACGGCGGGAGAGCACCACTGGCGATTTGTTGAGGCGTCGTTTTTTCAGCATCGCTTCTCCACGCCGAAGGGTCCAAGTATCATCATGGTATATACTTAGACCCCCAAAATGCCCTATAAGTATATACCAGAATCATACTTGGACCCTCTGGGCACAGTCTTGGCTCCGGCAGCTGCAGATTGGCTTATCAAACTAGCACCGCAGCTCCGGAGCTCGTGCCATTCTTGCCGAGGTTCCCCTAGTAATCCCTTTTGCCCTGTTTGGGGCTACTCCCCTGTTCAATCCAAATAGTAGGAAAAAGTGTGCCTTTGTTATTAGGGAAACCTCGTTGCTGCGACGGCCAGGCTCTTTATTGATGTCTGGGCTGTTCAGGGTTTGGGGTTTAGGGTTTAGGGTTCAGGAGGTAAGCCTTGTGCACCAGTTCAAGAGTGCTTGGAACCTGTAGCAAAACTGGCCCCATGGGCTTAGGACACCGAAATTGAAGTTTGCAACAGGATCTTTACTCAATAGTCTCCTTAGGAATCCTTTTTTATTTTCGTGCATACAACCCAAGAGAATATTAAACGTATCATGTTTTGTTATGGTTCTAAGGGGGGGTATAGTACTGTTTGCGATACTCAGGGTCAATTTTCGGTGCGCCGTATAAGACCCTATGATGCAGCTTCTAGAATGGTGGTTAACTGTATTCTCAAACTCCCTTGCAGGCTCCTAAGATTGAGCGGCCACCTCAACGACTGATCTTTCTTCGCAACCTACCTTAACTTACCAAACCCTACTTTTTGGTTCTTATTATTATTTTTAATATGGAATTTACAGGCACCCTACAAAAATAGGTTTCGGTAGCTTAAGGTAGATATCACGCACCTTTTGCCCAGCTGCAACGTGGCCGTAAACTGAAATCGGAACGCCAGTCGACCTGCGACAGCTCATGCGGATTATGTATGCATGCATGTATATACTATAATATAATATACTAGGTTCCCCAGTAGTACCCTTTTGCCCCTTTTTTCTTTGAGATAGCATCGCCGTTGGGTTTCTCGTTCAAGCCAGATAGTAGGAAAAAAGGATACCTGTGCCGTTAAGGGGCTCCTGGGGAAACAAAAGTGTGTGTGTGTGTGTGTATGTGTACAACATACACACACTTTCACATATATATATATATATACATATATATATATATACATATATATATATATATATATATATATATGCATACAGCTACATCCGCATGCATGTACATATACATAGAAATATACATAAACGTGTACATATCCATATGCCGGTACATATTCATGTTGAGTTTTCGTCAAAGGCCCCATGGTCGATAACTCTGCAATCCAGGCAGGAGCCGTCAGCCCCAAACGCCCTAAGGCATTACAAAGCCCTTGAGCCACCGCAACTCAATCCCAGACCCCACACCCAGAGCCAACTATCTATCTATATGTATATATATATAGATATATCTATATGTATATATATATATATATGTATATATATATATATATGTATATATATATATATATATATATATATATAGATAGATAGTACAGCATAGTATAGCATAGCCCTATCCTGAAAGCCTGAACCCTCCTCCCTCGCCCCCTTCAGAAAAAAAGCGCGCACCAAAAGCAAGCCAAGGCAGCCTTCTTGGGTTTGCTGGCCGCGGGCCCGAAATCGAATTGCAGGTTGACAAGCTAGTTGGGGTTCAGGGTTTATCATAGGAGGCAAAAAGGGGTTTTAGCCTATGGGGGTTTAGTAGGGATTACGGTTCCAAAAATAGGGTTCATATCAAGGCCCTACTCCAAGAATCTTAACCCCCCCCTTTTGGGCTTTCGGGTTATGGTTGCTACTGTCTTTTTGGGTGTCCGACCTGCCAAAGCGCCGCGAAAAGACATGGGGAGTCGGGTTGTCTCATTGCGACACCCTTTGAGGGGAGCCAGTGGAGGGAGCTGCCTGCTCCTTCCTGGATACCCTAGACAACCATGCATACATATGTATATATGTATATAGGCATATACACACACACAAACACATGAAGCCACTCACCCTACACCTGGTTCTCAATATCTGCACCCATGTACTTCGACCTTGCCCAGATTACTCTCTTCTTCGGCTTCCATTGCTATTTGATCGTAAACGCTCCTCGGCCGAGAATCAGTATCGGTTCAGGGTTTTGTGCCTTCCTTGCGTAGAAGACGTTGCACTTGCAGGGGGTTGGTTATGTCGTTCTGCTCTGCACCGGGGGACAATGTGCCAGACATTGCATGGCTTTCTGTGTTTGGCTGCTGGTTCCCATAGGAGATGCCGTCTGTGGCATCGGCAGTAGTGGTGCTGCTGGTGATGTTCGTGTTTGCCTTGGTGGTCGTTGTGGCTGTGGCACGCGCAATCCTTAGCATGAGATCGTCGGTGGTTACGGTTGTCGAGGTACTGATATGCCAAAGTTGGTAGCGCTGGTTAGGTTGATGGTCCTGGCAATCATGACGGCGGTGATGGTGGTAATGATGCTGTGCATGATGATAACGACCACTGTGAGGAGCTTTTCCGCAGGGCTCTGCAATTCGTTTCTGATTGGATAAAAGGATGGGGAAATGAGGTCAGGCCCTGTCCGCTTCAGAGTATTACTATAGTGTTGTGGCCTCGCGTGAGTACTCAGAAATCGTCATGTTTTCTGTCATGAAGTGGATTTTGTGTTGCTTTCTTGGGATATGTCGCCGTTGCAGATATGACTGTGGTTTCAAAGTTCAAGGCCCCTCGACTTTTCCAAACCCTGAGCCCCTGAGTCCTAAAAGACTCTAGAGTCCTCCTAGTCAAAAGGGGTCCGCTTGGCAAAACAGGCAAACTCTAAAACCCTAAATCCCTAAACCCCACCCCACCCCCTAATCTACGCTCAAACCCTAGACTATCAAACCTGAATGCCCAAAGGGTCCTATAGGTACTGTTAGGGGGGATACTTCCCCAAATCATAATAGTAATTCCTAATATAGAAGCCCTACATTCTACTATATAGTTCCTTATATATATGTATACAGATAGATAGATATAGAAACCCTACATTCTACTATATAGGTACTTTGGACCCTTAGGGATGGTATGGCTCGAGCACCAGAGCCTGAGGCCATGAGCACGATTGAGTTCTGTCTGGGGCTCAGGGTCTAGAAATTCAGGTTTTTGGTTGTCGGGCTTTATGGTTTCAGGGTTTCAGATGGCGCCATTAGCGGGGTTGGGGGGGTGTTCATCCTCCCGGACTATGGAGGGGTGCGTTTGCTTGCAGTTGTGTCTCTGTTGGGTCTTTATTCATGTACTGCGGGTGCCCAACTATAATTAAGACGTCTCCTTGAAGAAGCAGAGTCAGTGAATCAGGGTGATGCTGCTATGAGCGTCTGCAAAGAGGGAGTGCTGTGAATTCGATTCGAATCGTCTAAGTTGCACTATCATGGCAGCATCAGCAGTGAATTATATTATTCCCATAGAGCCATAGAGACTCGCCGATCCTAGTAAGACCCCAGCTAGGCTTGAGAAAACTCGAAGCATTCACCATTCTGCTAAGCCTTTGGCAGCCGATAAGATTTGTGGCGAAGGAACCCTAAACCCTAAACCCTAAACCGTAGGTATAGCTCCCCGCATTTTGCTTCTGACCTCGTCAAGAAAGACGGACTCCAAATCGACCCAAGCCCTGAGCTCATCCCCCACCCAAAGCTGAAGCAGGAACCCTCTGCGTGACTGGGCTCTTGTTAAGGAGTGTAGTGTAAATTACCATAGTCGGGATTTTATAGCAACTATCAGTGTTTCATGATTATAGTAACAAATTTTAAGGCCCTCAACAAGAATCCAGGTGATGAGTTATTCTCCAGGAAGTCATTCCCAGTTTGTTTGGAACCGGCGACACTACGAACCTGGTCGCCCTCACCCATGAATGTGCAAGCCACTCAACACGGCCAGCCATTCCCTGTACAGCCTGAATCCGTAGCATGCTCGGGATGTATGACGGAGGCGAGAAGCATTTGCCAAAGGGGGATGGCTCGGAGACGCAGAACGACTTGTGCCCACCTATGCATGGGTCTTCAAGATGCTTGCTTCAGGGCTGAGGGGGAAGGAGCCAGTGCTTTCGGTATAAGCCCGAGCGCTTTCTGGAGGCTTATAGACTTAGCTAGACTTTCAGTACGCGTCAGGCACCTTCAGTGGAGGCTTTATTTAGAGTGTCTAGGGCACTACGAAAACACGAAACCAACACCAAACGAACTACAATAAGGAAAGAAGCATCAGGTGATGTTCATTCGGTTGTGCAGGCACGGAGAAGTGCGACTTTCGCTCCTGCCTGAAAGTCGTACCTGTCAGAAAAGTTCGGGATTGCAGAGTTCAGTTTGGGTTCATGGGGTTGCAGGTATGATGCTGGCATCTACAGCAACATCAAATCTGCACTCGGTGATCAGGCTCGGTCTCCAGCAGCATAGTGTTATGGGTTCTCCGGGCTTTGCGGGTTCGGGGCTTGAGAGGTGTTTCCAAGGGTCTACAAGGTTTTCATAGGTAGAAGTAGAGGTAGCAGTAGCCGCAGCCGTAGCGGTAGCGGTGGCAGTGGCAGCGGCCGCTGCCGCAGCAGTAGCAGCATGGCCACTCGTCCTGCGGAATCGCTACTGCTGCGACAACGACTGTAAAGCTATTGCGGCAACAGCAACAACAACAACAACGACAAACACAAATGCAACGTAATACCAGCACCAGCAGCAGCAGCTGCTGCCTCATCAAAAGAATGACAGTCCTGTTAGTAATGAGAACAACATGGAACGCCAGCATGAATAGTACAAACACTATACAGCAACGTTGAGAACAGGAGCAGGAGCGACAACTCACGTCAACTCAACGATCACAGTAATGACTTAGAAAGGGCCCCCCACCCTGTAATAGTGGTACAATAGGAGTATAATGGGGCCCTAATATCATCCTTATAGTCACTATCAGGATTATATTGGGGCCCTATTAAATTCCTGTTATGCCACCATCAAGAATGACGACGAAGGACGACAAATACAGCAGCCGGAGGAAATCATGGCTGGGAGTCTGGGTTCAGGGAGTTGGGATAGGGGGTCCCTTTTAGGGCTCCTTAAATGGATCCATAAGGGTTGCTATAAGGGTGCTATAAGGGCCTTTATAAGGGTTACGGGACTAGGATGCCCAGTAGTACCCATATTCCCTTTGTGTAGTCCCAGGTTCCTTTTATAAGGTTACCCAATACCAAAAAGGGAGCCCTTTTTGTTCCTAGGTTAATGGGCATCCTAGTGTTAGAACATACTTTAAATTCGCAGCTGTTTGGAAACTGAGAGCTGGCAGTCGGGATCCGGCTTGTCCGGCGAGACAATATTTTTGTTTAACCTTGCTCCCAATTCGGGTTTACGAAGTTTACGGTTTACTATAGGGGCCTTAATAATTACCAATACTAGTTTGGGGGGTCCTCATTATAATTGTAGTATAATTGGCTTCAAAACCCTATTCTAATTGTTAAGGCCCCTATCTGAGGTTTGAGGTGTCAAGTTGGTAGACTTTGGTTTGGGACGAGCACGCCTCGAGGCCTTCTAAACCCTATGACCAAAGCCACCCGCAATCCCAAAGGCACTAAAACCTAAGCCCTGAAATCCTAAAGCCTTACCCCCTTAAACCCTAAACCCTGAAGCCTAAACCGGAGAAATACCCAGAGATCCCAATACTCCTTAGTTAAGAAATACACCTTAGTTTATAGGCGCACTAATATTATGATTTAAGGTATATTCCTTAATTAAGGGGTATTGGGATCTCTCTGGGTACTGTAAAGAAAATAATCTATCGGAGCTTAGACCAGACTGAGTTTTGCCAGGCGCTGCTGTGGCTCCTGCCCATCAGCGGGCCATCGGGCGATGGTGGGGACCCCAAAATTCTAGGACCCAGAGTAGGCCCTTATTACCCTTTTTATTCTCGGGTTTAGGTTACCTTATAAGCCCCTTTAAACCAAAAAGGGCACCTTTGTTATTCCTAGGTCACCCAGAGGTCTAGAAATCTCCGGAAGCAGAAGTTCAGGGTTTGAACGCAGTGTATTCTCTGAGCTTTTCAGACTGAATGATCCCGAAATGTCAGGCCACCTCTCTCTACATCGCAAAATTCAATTATCCATAAAACGAGGCGTGTAGCTTGAGGCGGCTTTGCCAATGTGCAATGCCCAGAGCATCAGAGAGATGTGGGTGGTTGTCAGAATTATGGTCCCTTTTTGGGTATCCTAAATATTAGGTGCCGTATTATAGTACGGACCCTAAAAGGGACCCTAATATTGACAACCAGCCAGCTGTGGAGGGTTCACTTGCAGCCCTAAACCGCCTTCGACGAAGGCCAAAACTTAGGGGTACTTAGAAATATTATTCAATTTTTTTGTTATTATGATCCCTAAGAAACAGCCAAAATTATAAATTTTTGCTAGGGTTCTAAGTTCAGTATATAAAACCCCGAATGCCAAAAAGTGGCGGCTCAAGCAACAGTCTCCTTTGCAGCCAAGCTGCCAGGCGAATCATCGTTGGGTTGTACAGTTTAGGGTTTAGGGTTTTGGGTTTAGGGTTTTGGGTTTAGGGTTTTGGGTTTAGGGTTTTGGGTTGTAGGGTTTAGGGTTTAGGGTTTTGGGTTTAGGGTTTTGGGTATAGGGTTTTGGGTTTAGGGTTTTGGGTTTTGGGTTTTGGGTTTAGGGTTTAGGGTTTAGGGCCCCGTAGCCCCGAATCCTGAAGCGGTTCCGGCACCGTAAGCCCCGTAAACCCTAAAACAGTGTATAAGGATCCTGCGTACTGCAAGTCGTAGACATCATAACTCTGCAGGCCGTGCTTGCAAGTGTTTATCAGAGTGTGGGATTGGTTAAAGAGATGCAACCGAAGCCAGTAAGTAAGCAAGGGAAGCTGTTGAACTTTCGAGGTTCACGTATAGAGTTAGTTCTACTTAAGGGTTATCCCAAAAGCCCACCTGCTTTATGTTTCCCCATGAAAACCAGTGTTTGTTATGGCTCTAGGGGGGCTCTACGGCCAGCTGCTCGACACGAGGTAGAGATTTACCTATGAGTCTTCGGGGTCTAGTTTAGGGTTTCGGGTTCTGGGTTTAGGGTTTAGGGCTAGCATGACGACGCAGCCCTGGAAGGCATCAACTTCGCCAACGTCCCCATCAGCCAGCAGCAAAAGCAGCCCCTGAAAAGCTACGAGGAGCTGGACGTGGTGCCCTCAGCCCTTCACAGATTTGACTCCTATTGTAGGAACCTGATTAGGAACCCTGGGCCTCTAACCCCAAAATATTCTAGATAGGGTTCATAATAAGGAACCTTGACGAAGGCCCAAGGTTTCTTAGTCAGGTTCCTACATTATCAACTTGGCAGGTTTGGGACTTCTTATTGGCACTCTAAATCAGATACCCTAGGGCTCCCAGTATAGTAGCCAGTGTAGCAATTACTTGCTGTGGGTTTGAAGTCTATGAGTCTTTGAACATTATCTACTCTTGGATTGTTGGGAATCCCAGGGATAAGGCAGCAAATACCTTCCGCTCCAGTCCCTAATACATCTTTAGGGATGCAGAGCTCACCAGAACCATAATGTATGGGAACGTACAAGTTTTAGCCCGTGCCCGAGACCAATGCGTCGCGTCTGAGGCATCAAGCTCCCGAACATACAGAAGTGTGGGGTTTGGGAGTAGTGCAGGTATTTGAGTTCTGATTCCCGACATTGCTGATGCTGGGGATGACATAGCTATAACGCCTCGCTGTCTATGCTGGTAACTAGTAGTGACATGGGGGCGCACCCAGGATTTGATGGGCTTTGGCCGGATGACTGCAGTGTGCTAGGGGACTTCGTGGCTTCCCCCCCTTAAGCCTGGAAACCTGACAGAGATGATGTACATTATGAACATTTCTTACTTAGTGCGTGCCTTTGTATGCAGACCTACACTTTAACGACAAATCCTGGAACTGTTAATTATTATACCTTTGGACAAAACCGATAAAGGAGTCCATACCCGGAGGCCACCAGGAAAATGGCCCGGAACGGGCGAGACCGGAAGAGGCCTGGCCCCATTATTATTCTTGTTGCCGGCTTTGTGGGGCCTGTAGGGTTCAAATTTTGGACTTAGGATTTAGGTTACCTGGACCCCAATAGTATGTAGAATAATCGCCTTTTTATGGGTATCGGGGTATCGGCCATTATTTTACCTACTTTGGGGGGCTTAGGTTATAAGTTACAAGTTTGAGGGTTGGAGTGTGTGCGTGTGGTTGTTTTTGTGCGTGTCACATATCCAGTTCTTGTTGGCGTGGAAGTTCTGTTCAGGATTGCGAAGCCTAAGCCTCAATCCCTGCAAGCCTCTGACAAACCAAAGACTTGTGTTGTTTGCGTTGCTGTCGCAACTTGAATCGCGCTCACCTTTGCGCGAAAATTGTTCTCCAGCCAATTTACCCTAGACCCTAGAGGGTAGATCCTACCTATAGTCTCCATTGTAGTTCCTTTTTTGGTTAACCAGTTCTATGGTCAAGCTCTTAGAAACGAGAGATTTTGGTTAACCAAGAAATGGAACTACAATGGAGACTATAGGTAAACCCTAAACCACTGTCTCGTGCCCATTTTGGCTTTCAAGCCGCTCGAAGTCTCTAGAGTCCGCACAGGGCCGCACTATTCGGCTCGTAAGTTCTTCTTCCTAGACCCTCCATCTACCCTCAATTAGACCTTAAGTACCCATTATTTGGGACCACATACCCCTATTTGAGGGTACAAGGAGGGTCCTGGTTCTGAAGGGTTTTGCGAAATTATCTGAAGTTCTGGAGTTCGTGTTCGGGATTTGAACTTAAGTTACCCTAATAAAAAGTTTCTGAAGTTCTAAGTTTTTGTTAAGGGATTGAACTTAAGTTACCATAAGAATAGTTAAGAAACCGGCGTATTTACACAAAGTCCCTGCTGTGGTAACTTAAACCTTAAACCCTATACCCGTAAAATGGAGCCTTTATAGATCCCCATTATGGCAATTTAACTTAAACTCTTTAACTTTAACAAGTACCCAGAGTTTCGCAGCACTGTCACGCATTTTGGGGCCTGCATTGACCTCCAAGTTAGCCGTGGGTGCCTTTTCTTGGGTGCCTCTAGTGGCCCCCGCCACGGGGTGGTGGTGTGCATTTAGGGTTTAGGGGTTTAGAGGTTCAGGGTTTAGGGGTTTAGGGTTTAGGGTGTCGTGTTGGTTATGTGAGTAGGCTTCATAATACAAGAAGTCTTGCAGAAAGACTGTTTACTCTAGTTCTTAGTGCCAGGTACGAGATGGGCGTGTGCGATGACGATGACACTCATCCGATGTACCGTCGCTAGGTTTCATCCAGTGGCCGAAGCTGGGCTGTTCCACAGCTGTGTTATGTTTAGTAGTATGCCGAAACTCTTCTGTTGCTTACGCCTAAATGACAAACTTCACCCGAATCAAACCCTAACCCTAAGCCTAAACCCAACACCAGCCAAAACCCTGTGTTGGAACAGTTTCGAATGCATGCGCGCCGTGTTGTGGGGGCATTGTGCAAAATGTGCTGGCCTCCGCATGCCAGAGGGTCCATTGAAGGGTGGGCGCCGCAAGGGTCAAGGGCTAGTATTTCAAGTTGGGGCAGACAGCCCTAAACCCTAAACCCCTTACGGGGTCTCCCTTCGCAGACTCTACAGGAAGATCAAGGCTATGAGATTTAGGAGTGTACGGCTAGTCTCAGGTAGCCTCGGAATTAGCGTGAGAAAAACGCTCGAATGCGAAAATCGCTGTCCGATCATGCGCAAGTGATTGCTGGTGCAACCCTAATTCAGGCCCAAGGTTCCTTAATCAGGTTCCTACATTAATATACCCTAAACCCTGAACCCCTAAACCCTATAGATCCCTCATAGAACCCTTATAGAACCCTTACCGAACATCGGTCCTGAAACGTACGCTGAGTGAAGGAACTTCAGGGCCTTCATGCGAGGCTCTAACCATGGGGTCTCTTGAAGATTCTTATTGCAGGCCTGTAACCTTTGGGGGCTTCTATCTTCCTACCCCTAAACCCTAAACCCCACTACCCTAAACCCTAAACCCGTATTCCCAGACCATAACTAAAAGGTTAGCCTTTTTGTGGGGCTGGGGTACTCAGGCCCCAAAGGGTTCCTTTGTCGGGTGAAAGGAGACCTGCCCAAGGTCTTACCGTGACATACGGATGAATTAGATTAGAGTTTAGGGTTTATAGAGTTTAGGCCAGCATGAGCTACGGAGAGGGGACCTGCAGGAAATTTACAAGCCGCAAAGCCTAAACCCAGGATCCCTACACCCTCAACCCCAAACCGCGCTCTTTCCAGAAGTCGTCGAACCCCAGTTTCCAAGAGCGGCTCGCGCCAACAGAACTATAAGCCATTCAACAGAACACCTGCAGTACAGCCATCATGAAATGCTCGTGCTCAGTTGCTCAAGCCCCAGCCTATCCCAGCTTTGCCCGACATCTTCACTTTCACACCCTTTATTACGGGTTCTAATCATTAAGGCCCTCAACCCAACACCCATAACCCTACCTACGCCGGGAACCGCAACACTTGTCGTTGGACAACCTATGATGGTTAGGGTCGAATGATGACAGGGTAAGTTAATTATCAAACAGCAACCAGGGTTGAAAGTCTAGGTAGTGCTTTCAGGATGACGGAGACTTGAATCCTGCCAAGCCGGATATCAAGCCGACTTACCCATCACCTCGAACCCCAATCCCAAACTCTAAACCCTAAACCGGAACCCAAACCACACCCACTCCACGCGCCGGTGCCCCTGTCGGCACGCGTTCTGCAGCCAGCGATGCCTCGCCCCCTGCGCCACGGCAGAATCGAGGGTTCAGTTCTGGTTCCCGAAGCGGAGGTTCTGAACTTCTGCCATTTTGATATGGAAGCTACATGTATACACTCACATATATATATATATATATATATGTGTGTGTGTGTGTGTGCAGGTGCAAGTGCATATGTATATGTATTCGTGTATGCGTATGTACATGTATGCGTATATGTATACGTGTATGTTCTGTGTATATGTGTATGGATATATATATATATATATATATATATACGTATGTATTTATGTCTGTCTGTCTGTCTGTCTGTCTGTCTGTATGTATGTATGTATGTATGTGTGTATGTGTATATGTGTATGTGTGTATGTGTATGTGTATGTGTATGTGTATGTGCATGTGTACATGTACGTGTATGTGTATGTGTATGTGTATGTGTATGTGTATGTGTGTGTACGTTTACGTGTATGTGTATGTTTGCGTTTGCATGTGCATGTATACGCACGTGCATCCGCATATGTTTTTGTATATGTGCAAGTATATGTATACCGTATATGTATATGTAAATATGGGTGGGTGCATGGATGGATGGATGGATGGAGGGATGGATGGATAGATGCATGGCTGTTTAGTTAAGTGCCGTTTGATATACGCGTTTCCTATATAATGGTAGGCCCCAATTTCTGAAACCCGCAAAGCCCCTAACGACCTACACGCCTGTAATCTTTTATAGTAGCCCATATCCTATAACTAAAACTGGAACTTCGACCGCAAATGGCAGGGCCTTGAATACAAGGAATCTGAGAGGTACTGCACGCTCAATTTCCTGAAACCTGCAAATCGAAAGGATCAATTTTGTTGAAGTACTTCACTTGAGCCCGATATCCTCAAAAGCCGTACACGAAGCCCCTGAGGATCTTCGGTGGGCAAACCCTTCATGCAGAAGATACCCCTCAACCACCTAAAACCATCAATTAAACCCCTGAAGGACCTACTTAGCCTTTCCTAGCGCGAATTTAGTAGCCTTGCTGCCCCACACTCTTCAAGACCCTGGTTTAAATCCGCTAGAAATTTGCACCTTTACTACCCCTCATAGCAACCTTTATGTTTAACGGTATCCTGAACCCTCAACCCTAAAATCCCTACACCCCAAGCCCCTAAACCCTAGATCCCCAAACCCAAAAACCCCCAAAACCCGAGCCTGCTCCCAAGGATCTACGAGTTCGACCCGGCTACCGGTCAGACGTTAGCAACCGAGGTCCCGGGTCTGGAGGAGCCCTCGCTTGGTCCTTCGTTTCAGGGTTTAGGCGGTTTAGGGTTTAAGGTTTAGGGTTCAGTTTGTCGTCGCTTAAGTTGAGCTTAAAGTGTTTCGGGTTTAAGTGGTTCTGGTGCCTCGCGAGTTCCTGGGTTGCGGGCTTAGGAACCCTCGTCTCGGAGGGTCAGGGGACTTAGTAAGTAGGTAGTAAGTAGACTTATAAGTACTCTAAAAGGGACCCTAATTGGGATTATGGTACTTATAAGTCCCGAACATAACCAGTTACTAAGTCCCCCGACCCTCCAAGTTCGCATCTTGAAAAAGGTGGGCGATTTGGCAAACGGCCAAGCGAGGGGAGCTTGTCGGGAATTCATTTTTGCCGGGTGTAGAGATCCTAAGATTGGGCTCGCAAGCTTGACTTTAACCCTAAGGGGACTACCTTTTTTTAAGGACTTATAAAAAGAAGTCATATTAGGGAACCCTAAAAAGGTAGGTTCCTTAAGGTCCAAGGAAGGCTTGAAGGTTTCGATGCCACGCAGGGTTGAGGGCTTAGATGTTTAGAACTGTTAATTGAGTTTCGGAGAACATGCTGTCAGCTGCCAAGTCCTAATCTTGGCATCTAATCCCTGTATTATCCCAAAGATTAGCCTATAGTTTCTCTAGGGCACCGGACACGTAAGTAATAATCTCTAAACCCTACACCTGTAAAGCCTTGGTCACCGACTCCTTTTGGCTCCCTCCCTCGCGGGATCATTATCTAGGATTCCCAGTACTACCCTTATTCCCTTTTTGTAGGCTTCGAAAGCTCGATACAGCCCTTATACTTAAAGGCCCAGGTGACTTAGTAAGTAGGTTATAATAGTACCCTAAATGGAGTTACCCCGAAAGTAACCCTACTTATACCCGACTTACTAAGTCCTTAAGCCCAAAACCTTAAACCGTTTAAACACCCGATACAGCCCCTATAGTAATATAGAAGCCTGAATAATCACCAATAGTATTGCTTGGATTCCTTATTATAGCCCTAGTCTAATTATCAAGGCTCCTACAGTACCCAAAATGAGCCCTAAACCCTGAACCCTAAACCGTCCTTAACCCACGACCCTAAACCTTGAAAGCTCTAAACCCTGAAACCCCCTGAGCCCTAAACCATCCTTAACCCTGAAACCCCCAAACCCTGAAACCCCTAAACCCTGAAACCCCTAAACCCTGAAACCCCCAAACCCTGAAACCCCTAAACCCTGAAAAACCCCTAAACCCTGAAAAACCCCTAAACCCTGAAAAACCCTTAAACCCTGAAAAACCCCTAAACCCTGAAAAACCCCTAAACCGTAGCAGCTCGCGCCAGGACTTTCTGCCGGTGTCGCTTTCCGACCTTGCCGAGGAACGCCCCCTGAGGCCGGGAGTCGAAAAGTTGTCTTTTCAGGAAGCGGGGAATAGGGTTCTATAGGGGTTCCTTTAAAGGGATCTATAGGGGTTCCTCTAAACAGATCTAGAAGGGTTTAGAGGTTTAGAGGTTTAGAGGTTTAGTGGGGTTTAGGGGTAGGGGCTTTAACGGATTATGCAGGGCTTTACAGAATTATATAAGGCCTTTATAGGGTTTGTAATGCGGGGCCTGTAGTGGTGCGTATGAAAAGGTTTAATAGTTTAATGTGAGGGAGTTTGGTGATTGTCGCCTTCAACGCAGCTTCTTGTGCATGCTGTGTTCGGGTGAACCTGTTTGGGGTTTGAGGCTTTGAGTCATAGCTGGATCCCCAAAAGTATGTAGAATAATAGCCTGTATAGGTTTTGGGCCATTATTTTACCTGCTTTGGGGGGTCGAGGTAGCCGGAAAAGAGCCTGGTCTGTTGCGCCGGCCACAGGCTTGGCGGCAGACGCACATTGCCTGCATGGCGATGATATAGGGGCCGCAATACTTAAGACGGGGTTGTGAGGCACGCTATCAACATTTATAAGAAACCTTGAGGAATGGTATTCCTTAAGGGTCCATGTGCTCATATAGTATATACACTGGCCTTAATGTAGTCCCTATTTAGGTACATTGGGGCCCAAGTATATGCTATATGAGTACACGGACCCTTTTGGTTCTATGGCATTCCGGTCAGTGCTGACCGTGGCGTCCGGCTTGATTGCGCAGCGGCCATTGCGGTCCGACTTGGAGGTGGCGACCGCGAACTACAACCAGACGGCAGTTGACTGTGCGATAGTATGGTTTGCTTTTCTATGATATGGTTCGCCATAGGCTCCATAGTAGTTCCTTTTTGGGGTTACCTTATAGGGTTGTAAGTATGAACCCCCAAAAGGAACCACTGTGGAGCCCATGGGTAACTCTAGTATGCTCCGACACACCCTACGAGTTAGCCAGGCCCCTACATTACTCCGGGCCGGCCCGACTGTTACGGATTCTCGGAATGGGAAAGGCCCTACAGTAGCCGCCGGCAAGTTGGAAGGCGGCAATTGGAACGGTTGATGCGGCAACGGCATCTTCCAACTTTAAGTTTGGCTTGGTCCCAACTTCCAACTTTAGGTCCCGGCGTTTGGACCAGTTAATGCAGTAACGGTATCTTTCAACTTTCGGTTTGTGGACGCATCTCCAGTAATGCAGAGAGAGAAACCGCAATTACTACGACCGCTCCAGTATTGCTGAGAGAGGGAAACGGCAATTACTACGACCACTCCAATATTGCAGAGAGAGAAACTGCCAGTATTACGACCGCTCCAGTATTGCACAGACAGAAAAACTGCAAATTAATACTACGAACGTTCCAATATTGCAGAGAGAGAAATTTGCAATTACCAGGACCGTTCCAGTGTTGCCGAAAGAGATTGCCAGCACTACGACCGCTCCAGTATTGCAGAAAGAGATAAGCTGCAATTACCGCGACCGCTCCAATATTGCAGAGAGAGAGAGAGAGAAACTGCAGTTAAATTTTGGGTTTGACTTGGTCCCATCTTCCAACTTTAGTTCCCGGCATGTGGAGCGCGGTTCATGCGGTAACCAAAAGTTGGAAGGTTGCAAACTTGGAAGAATCCAAAGTTGGAAGATGTGTTTTATTCCAATTCTGGGGCGCTGGATTTTTGGGTGCGCATCTTCCAACTTTGCGGCGGCCACCATAAACTCTGCCAAAGCCTGAGCGCTGAGTGAGAGAGCAGCATAAAACTTGGGCCGTAAACGTTATATGCCGTCGGAAGAGACGCCAACAAGAGAAGCAACACGTATTTGCTTCAGTTTCGGTGGAGTTTGGGATTGCGTAGCCAAGCCGGACAGGATATTGAGCATTCAGACTTTGGACTTGGACCCTTGGAATCGCGGCGTCCTGGAACCTTACAAAAGCTTAATTAGTGTTGGATAAACATGAACTTCCTGTCTTGTGCCGATTGGGCCGTGAACTGTTTAAGGTTTTCAGGTGTAGGGGTTGGGGGTTCAGGGTAACCCAAAACCCTAAACCCTAAGCCGAAACTCTACAACCATTAACCGTTATAAATTTGCTTTCTACATCTCAATCGAGGCTCTCTAGACCTTCTGCGGTAATAGAAAGAGGCCCTTAAACAAAAAAAACTAAGCCGAAACTCTTACAACCATTAGTTACCCCAAACCCTACTTTGAGGCCCAGGGGACTTAGCAAGTAGGTTATAAGTAGAGTTATAAGTACCCTAAATGGAGTTACCCCAACTATAACCCTACTTATAGCCGACTTACTAAGTCCCCTGGGCCTCCAAGCATTGAACCTAAAACCAACTCCTAAACCCTAAACCCCTAAACTCCTAAAAGCTAAACCCCCTAAACCCCGAAACCCAATTCGAAGATCCAGAGCCTCCAAGTACACCTGTCGGCCCCTGAACTTCTCGACCCTGATCCGTGCCATCTTCGGTTCACCGAACTTCCAAGCCCCGATATGGGAGATTCCTAAAATTAGGGGATACCTTTAAACGGATCTATAAGGATTCCTTTAAGGGTTCCTATAAGGGTTTAGGGTTTTGAGTTTCCGAAAAGTAGGGGTACCTCATTTTGGGGTCCTTATAATAAGGATCCTACTATTTAGGTACTATATGAGGGCCCCCTATGGGGAAGCTCCCATATACTAGACCCTCAGCAACGGGTAGACTTGCAGCATGATTCTTTTGAAAGCCGTGCCCGCACACCCTCAGCCGTTTCAGAAACAGCCCTAAACCCTAAGCCCTATATCCTAAACCCGAAGCCCTAAACCCTAAACCCTAAACTCCAAACCCTAAAATCTTAAACCTGAACTCTATGCCCTAAACCGTAAGCCCTAAACCCTAAGCCCTAAACCCTAAACCGCTTTTAAGAAGTCCCTGAACCCTAGCTTTGTTGCTCCAGGCCTGCTCCCGAACCCACCGAGGCCTGGCGGGTTCGCGTAGCATTTAGGGTTTGATTTTCAACAAATTCCCTAAGGGTCCATGTACTCATATAGCATATACTTGGGCCCCAATGTACCTAAATAGGGACTACTTTAAGGCCAGTGTATACACTATATATGAGTACATGGACCCTTAGGGATTTAGATTTAGAATTCAGGGGTTAGGGCTTAGTTTTCAAAACTTTGGGCCTAGGATTCAGAACTCAGGGTTTGGGGGTTGATTTTCAGCATTTTTAAGATTTTGCCTGCAGAATTCAGGTTCAGGGTTTTGTTTTCGATATTTGCGGATTTGGGAGTCAGGGTTTAGAGTTTAGTCAGGTGCGCTTCACCTCAGGTTTTGGAGGGATGTTCAGGCTTGAGGGGGTTGTTATCAAGGTTTTGCAGGGTTTCAGGTTTCTCCAGGTCTTCATCGGGCATTTTGACATAGGAGTGTTGGGGTTAACGGACGGTTAAGGGTGCGGGCTATGTCGGGAGTCACATGGGGTTGGGATTTTCGGGGGGAGCTCCCGTGAGGGCTTTTTCAGGGCCGGTTTAGGGTTTGGGGTTTAGGCAGATGAAATAGTATTGTCAGGGCTTTCCTGAGGACACAGATAAGGTGACCGGTAGATTTAGTTAAGCAGCGCCCGTGCTTAGAGAACCTATAACGCAATGACGTCGCAAAAAAAAACATGTCTCTCCAGATGCACGAACGAAGCATGCTCAGCCTCCTCATCGTCGTAAGCCTTTCGTGTGACTCCCACAGGCAGCCTTAATCCCGATGTATTCCGTTGTTCCGCGGGACTTGATTCGGGACCGCGGCCTTAACGGCTGGCTACTTTCTGTCATCGAGCGCATTTTCTCGGATAGCTTTTCGAACAGCTCGCCACTTCCTGTGCCGCGACATGTACCTAGAGTCTAGAGGCTCCATAGTAGTTCCTTGTTGTGGTTTGTGTTTAGGATCCTATAACGCTTTCTCAACAAGGAACTACAATGGAACCTATGCGTACTCAGGACTGTTGCAACACGCCAAAGATTGCTCTAAGTTGGCCCGCCGCATGATCCAGAACAAGCCGGCTGATCGGTCTTTCCGCGGAGCTGGTGCTGAGTGCTACTCATTTCGATTGCGGGTTTAGGGTTCAGGGTTTGTTTAAAGTTTCAGTTTAGGGTTTAGGATAATTATAGTAGGTGCTTGGTAGATGTTTGGGAGCCATAACTTTGGGTTCCAAAAACTACCGCATGCAATCACCTGCATGGTAGCGAAATCCCTTCTCGAAACTCACATATATGGGTAGTTGTCAAAATTATGGTCGCTTCTGGGGTCCCGAATATAGTACGGCACTTAGTATTCAGGGTACGTACCCAAAAAAGGACCATAATTTGGACAACCACCCATATATATATATATATATATATATATATATGCAACCACAAAGCCCTATAAATCCTGAAGCAAAAGATGCTCCCACACCCTGAATCCTAAACCCCAAACCCTGAACCCTACCTTAAGCTACCAAAACCTACTTTTTTGTAGGGTCCCTGTAAATTTCATATTAAGGTTTATAATAAGAACCTACAAAAATAGGAGGGTTTGGTAGGTTAAGGTAAGCCCCTAACTCCCTAAACCCTGAAAACCCACACCCCACACCCAACAGACTCGGCTTGCAGGCCCTTTTCAATGCAGCCCTGACGGCTGCCAGCATCGGCGCGGGTACCAGCACGCAAGGAGCGAGCGGTGACCCCTGGAGTTGGGGTTTGGGAATTTTAGGGGTTTAGGGGTTTTAGGGCTTTAGGGGTTTAGGGTTCAGGGGTTTAGAGTTCAGGGGGTTCATCAGAAGCTTGCTGCGGCACGGCTATGACTATTAACTAGTCATGTGAAGTTATTGGTGCTATTATGAGCTATTATTATATCTAATAGCTCTTATTTTTTAACACCATCATTCTTGTGTGCTATTTCCATGCCCTTGTTCGTAGGCATTGATAATGCAGTTGTTGATATCTATGTCTTATTCCGAGCCATTGGGTCCTTTGTCTGCCTGGAATGAGGCTTACGGACTAAATGGTTCAGGATTTGCGAGCATTGGGTTTAGAGTTTAGGGTTTAGGAGTTGGGTTTAAGGTTTAGGGGGATTGATGTCGAAGTCGAAGGCTCTGTATGTTGAGACATCCTCTGACCTGCAGAGGATTCCACAAGGTAACCCAAAAGTCTGATCTAAAGAGACCAACACCGTCATAACATAACGTCTGTTTCATGGGCTTATTTCTAGTTTACAGGATCGGCTGCAGAAGTTGCCCTTGCCTCTGCGATGACCAGCACTTGAGGAGTTCGAGCTACATCTGCTAGAACTCGTAGGAAAGCCGGCTGAGGCACACTGCCAGGGTCGATTTGAAGCTGCTCCCCTTGCTCAAGCCGTTTGCTGGCCCAGATTTTCGGTGTAGCTGAGTTTTTCTCGAGAAGCCCATGGGAGAGATCCCAACGGAAGGCCTCTTCCTGAAGGTGTTCATCGCCTGGATAATTCTTGCTGTGATCTTCTACATCTGGTCGTATCTGCGCGACGGCAAGTTCATTGGTGAAGAGGACGACAAGGAAGAGGAAGAGGAGGATGTCACAGCTCACGACGTCGACAAGGTAATCGACCAGATTCTCAAGGAGCTGCAGCCAAAGAAATCCGACTGATACGAGCTGTATGCCGCCACATAGGCCATAAGCATTCATTCATTCCATGCATCTTGTGGTGGTGCTTCGGCAGTTTGACTTTCCGCTGGGTGGAGGCCTTGGGACCTTCGCACAACAGACGCTCCACAGCGACAGATAGAGTACACGTTCCACTACGGCCACAGCGGCAGCATGAATGTGCACCAAGCAGTCCCACCTCCTGCACCAGGTCTGTGAACGGCACCGTGTATCTGCAAGCAGTCCACTGCACTCAAGAGCACACCAAAGGCATGTTCATTCTGCATCGGTAGCCTCGGACTGCTCTTGGGGCGATGAAAAGTCTGCGTGCCTAAACCCTGGAACCTACACCCTGAGTCCTCCAAATCAAATCGCATGTCTAGGTCCGAGCCAAACCATCAATCCGTCATCCTGAAAAAGTCATAACCCCCCCTCCCCCCAGTAACCGCAGACCCCATGCAGCCCCCAACCCCAGAAGAGGTCGCGAAAGCCGGAGCACGTCTTCAAAATCCTTTGTCTTAGTGATCAAACTATAGCACTGGTAAAGGGTTCGAAGTTACCCGAGTGCTTGTAGAAAAGCTGGTGTCGCCCGAATATGATAGATGTACGCTGCCTACCCTACTTCAGACTCCGCTATGGGAGACGTGCTCTGGTTGGATTTGGAACCTGCCGCTACAACGGTGACTTACCCATGACCTTGCTGAGAAATATACGGGAGTTTCCGAAAATTGGGGGTACCTTATTTGGGGGTCCTTATAAAAGGGATCCTACTATTTAAGGTACTATATTAGGGTCCCCTATTTTCGGAAACTCCCATACATTGCTCTCCAAGTATTTCAAGAGTAGCAGGTCCAACTTTTGCCCCTTAATTAGTGCAGTTTGGGTTCGGCCTACATCCTAAATCCTGAAACCTCAGCTGCTTCGGGTTTAGATTTTCTTAAGCTGCAACCGTTAAATCCTAAGTCCTGAGGGGCATATCCTGAGCTGAAGCCAGGAGGGGCGGTCTCCAGCACTGCCCCAGCCCCGGCACCTGCACCTGCACCGGCGAAAGCACCCAAAGTGACGACAAAGAGGGGCCTGAAGCTGAATGAGGCGCCCGTGAGCGATGCGTGCATGAGTTTTGTGGGGCGGTGCGAAGGGTTCGACTTTGAGATGAGTTTCAGAAGGTCGGGCAGCTCTTTGTTAGAAGAGGGGTCATAAGGACCTGCTGTTATGTCACTGCGATCGCTTATCGCAGACGGCGCAAGGTATTTGTCGGTGGACTGTTGTGTTGGACCTTAGCCTTAACCCCAAACAAAAACCTCAAGCACCATCTGCATCTTTAGGCATTGGTGTGTTGCTTAAAACCCAGAAAGCCGAAAGGACGACCCCGAATAGGCTGTTTTAAAGTAGGACTCTTCAAGACCCATGGCACCTCATCAAGCCTGCGTGGCTTTGAGGGTTAATGGGCAGTTCTCTAGATTAGGGTTTAGGGTTTAGGTCATCAGGTCCTTCAAGTCGTACGGGACCCTTGTATAAACGGGACTCGAATTTAGAGAGCAACCCGGGCTCGAAGCTGTTTGTGGCAAGGGCTAAGGCCTTTGGGTATTCCCTGATTGTGGTTCTGGTTTAGCTGTTGACGGTTAAATGTCAAGAGTTCAGGCTCTAGAGTTTAGGGTTGTGGGTGCGGTTTAAGATTGAGGGTTTAGGGTTTAGGGTTTAGGGTTTAGGATTTAGGGTTTAGGGTTTAGGGTTTAGGATTTAGTGTTTAGGGTTTAGGGTAGGGTTTCGGGGTTTGGGCTTGGTGGTTGAGAGAGCTCTGCTCCTGAGCGAACATCAGAGCCTTAAGGGGTAGTACTGCCAAGGCATCGCACTGCCCTCACTTCTTAGGGTATAGGGGTTTCTTAGTAGCTGACGAGGTAGCCTTTTACCTTTTGGCGCTTATATTACTCCAACTATAATTCAAAAAAATTAACCTTTTTTTGGGCTAGGGTACTCAGACCCTAGGGTTTAGGGTTTAGGGATCTCGGCCCTCCATTCCGCTCATTCCTTGGGATGCCGACCTTTCCCTGAGTTGGGGAGACGGTGTCTTAGAATTTGCTACGGCGGCTGCTAGAAGATCCGGTTCGATAGACAAGGAAGGAGCAGCCCACAAAAAGCCAACACCTTGTCATGTATCTTTACAATGAAACGTAAGCCGTTTATGGAACTATCGCAAATTTTCCTTAAAACCGCCGATTGAACTATCTCTGGTGGCTCTTCGTTGATCTTTGTGCTAGGGGTTAGGACGTAGGAATGAGTAACAGCACACATGTATAGTCTCTATATCACTACAGTACAGTACAGTAGATGCCACAAAGTTGGAACATCATTGTCCTCATGCCCTCAAAGGAAAGCATAGTGCGTCCCAGCACTAATCATCCTCAATCCAGGTTCCAACTTTCTGGAGTTCACTATGTATCCTAAGACACTACTTGGAGGGTCGGGGGACTTAGTAAGTAGGTAGTAAGTAGACTTATAAGTACCCTAAAAGGGACCCTAATTGGGGTTATGGTACTTATAAGTCCCTAAAATAACCAGTTACTAAGTCCCCCGACCCTCCAAGTATCCCGATTGCTTCAACCTAAACCCCAAGCCAGGATCCGAAGCCCTCAGCTCCAACGACATCCTAAACCCTAATCCAATTCTTAACGCCCCGATATTACGGTACCCTTATAGTAACCTTATAGAGCCCTTTAAAGGGACCCTTTTCTAATTACCTAACCCCTAAACTTAGGCCCCTGTTCTTATGGAAATATAATAGAGAGGGCCCCAAAGCCCTACTCTATTTCTTAGGGAAACTATCTTATAGTAAGAGCCCTTTCAAGGGACCCTATTTTAGGGTTTAGGGTTTAGGGCACCATCAACATTACCTAAAGCCTAACCCAAAGGGTCCTATGTACTGTTATGGGAGATACTTCCCTAAGTCACAATAGTAATTCCTAATATGGAAACCCTACATTCTACTATATCGGTACATAGGACCCCTAAACCCTAAACCCTAAACCCTTACCTACAGCCTAAGCTGAAGGCCCCTGTTGGAGTCTCACATCACGCCAGACTGACAGGCCGGCAAGGCAAAAGTTCGCCATGCGGTCAAGAAGGCCGGCAGAGCTTCTCAAGGTTTAGGACTTAAGGGTTGAGGGGTTTAGGGTTTAGGATTTTGGGGTATGAGGGGTTTGGGGATTTAGGGGTTGGGGTTTAGGATGTTGGGGTTAAGGGCTTTGGGGATTTAGGGGTTTAGGGTTTTGGATTTAGGGGTTAAGGGTTTTAGGGGTTTGGGGGTTTAGGGGAAGGCTCGCGGAGCTGCTTGGGGTTCAGGGTTTAAGGGTTAGGGGGTTTAGGGTTTAGGACTTAAGGGCTAAGGGGTTTATGGTTTAGGATTTATAGGGGTTTAGGGTTTAGGATTTAAGGGCTTTAGGGGTTTGGGGTTGTGCGGGTTTAGTGGTTTAGAGTGGAGGGGAAGGCCGCCCGCGGAGCTGTTTTTGGTTTACCGTCCCGGTCTTTAGAGCTCTTGGGGATCTTAGCGTTTACGAGGACCCAGAGTAGGCCCTTATTCCCTTTTTAGGGTTCAGGTTCCACTATAATCCCCTTGAAACCAAAAAGGGCACCCTTTCTATTCCTAGGTTACTCTTAGGTCTAGTTTAGGATCTTAGGGTCTAGAGTCTTAGCGTTTAGGGTCTCAGGGTTGAGGTTTTCGAGTTCAGGGCCTTCCGGTTTAGAGTTTAGGTGGAGGAAGTAGGAGTTTTCTTTGGGCTGAAAGGCTTTTTTGTGTAGGTTTCAGAGCCCCGCCGGCCCTCCTCGAAAACACTGAATCTAGGAGTCTAGCTTTTGAGGCATGCTCGTTTGAACACCGAAGCCGCAATCCAGCACCTCTTAGCAGTGTGAAGAGTGCAGGAAACCAGAAACCAGCCTAAAGCAAACCCTAATGCTTTCAACCTCACAACCTCGCAATCAGAATATCCTAGAGTCCTACAGTCACTCGAGCCCTGAAATCCCATTCTGGCACGTGCCCTAACTCCGTGACCCACTGGCGCCCGCCCTGAACCCCCAGCACCCTCAAGCCCAGGGGGGTTAGGTTCAGGAATTTTGGTTTTAGGGGTTAGGGATACAGGGTTTAGGTGTTAGGGTTCAGGAATCTTGGGTTTAGGGTTTGGGGTATTGGTTTAAGCGTGTTGGGAGTTTGGGGTTGAATCAGCTAAATTTAAACGTTTGGGGCTAGGACTAGGACGATCTGTTTAGCAGGCGACGACCTTGGAGGACTTGGTCCTGACCTTGGCACTGAAGCCTTCCGAGTTGCCTAGAAGCTTACTTGGAGGGTCGGGGGACTTAGTAACTGGTTATCTTAGGGACTTCTAAGTACCTAACCCCAATTAGGGTCCCTTTTAGGGTGCTTATAAGTCGACTTACTACCTACTTACCAAGTCCCCCGACCCTCCAAGTAGGGTTTCGGGGTTAGGGTTTAGAGGTATAGGGTTTAGCGTTTAGGTATTAGGGTTTAGGGGCATAGGGTTTAGGGGTTTAAGGCTTATAGGGTGTAGGGTGAGGTTTGGGGTTTTGGTGTAGGGCTTAGGGTGTGGAAGTTGTTGTGCGTTAGGTCGGGGGTTGGGTTTAGGACTTCGGGGCGGGGCGCAGTAGCAGGACAGATCTCATAAGCTTACGCACTTCACCCTGAACCCTAAACCGTGCAAGAATTCCTCAGAACGCACTTTAGCGCCGCAAAAAATTGCCAGGGAAACCCGGACCCAAGGGGGTGCTTCATGATTCCCCTGAACCGGCCCCGAACCCCTAATGATGGGTTCCTCTCCATGAGCAAAAAGTGAGCCCCGCGTCACATAAGGTAGCCCTAAGGGTCAATGTACTCATACAGTATATACAGTGGCCTTAATGTAGTCCCTATTTAGGTACATTGGGGCCCAAGTAGATGCTACATGAGTACATGGACCCTTAGGGTAGAGACTGCTCAGCAATATTGGTGAGTCAATATTTGGGCTTACCCTAAACCCTAAACCCTGCGGGGAGCCGATTTGGCTCGTCTCTCGTAGGCTGCCGTAGGCCGTACCCGCGTGCAGACGGGAACGAGGCTTCAACAAGCAAAAAAACTACACCCTAAGCCCTAAACCGTAGCATCCATCTGTTGTATCCTTCAGGCGATCTGGGACCACAGGGCACCTTGCTAGATCTGCGAGAGACACCTGTAGGGATTGAAGACATGGGGTTCAGTGTGTAGGTTTCATGGTTTAGGGTCCAGAGTGGATAGGCTTTCAGGTTGATTAGGATGCAGTCTTACTCTAAACCCTAAACCCTAAAACCCTAAACCCTAACCCTAAACAGTTCCGTGGTTAAGTTTGACCTAGCTCTGATACCTTTGAATCCAAAAGCCTTGAAGTCCATACGGGAGCTTTTACTTGGAGGGTCGGGGGACTTAGTAACTGGTTATCTTAGGGGCTTACAAGTACCACAACCCCAATTAGGGTCCCTTTTAGGGTACTTATAAGTCTACCTACTATCTACTTACTAAGTCCCCCGACCCTCCAGGTATAGGGTCCCCCACTTTCGGCAACCCTCATACGTGTCTTTCGAGTTTTTGGGTAGCGGTAGAGGCTTTGGGCTTTCCAGGTTCTACCTGGGCTAGGGTTTACAGTCTCCGTTGTAGTTCCTTTTTTTGCCAAAGCACGTTTGTACCATTGGGGTCCTAACTATAAAACTGGTTAACCAAGAACAGGAACTGCAATGGAGACTATAGGTACACCCTAAACCCAAACCCTAAACCTAAATTTAAGATTCGCGTGCGGGGAAAAGAAGAGCCAAGGGCGAGATCGACAAAGCCCTGGACTCGGGAAGGACCGCCCATGCCAAACCCTAAACCCCTAAGCCCTAAACCCCGAAACCTTAAACCCCTTAAACCCTAACCCCTAATTCCACTTAAACCCTAACCCCTACTTCCAATATCCATTAGTTGACAAGGAAGAAATTTTAAATTATGGCAGGACCTCTAATATGATTTAAGGTATATTCCTGACTTAAGGGACATTGGAGTCACCTAAACCCTAAACCTTATAGATTCCTGATAGGATCCCTTAAAGGAGCCCTTATAGTTCCCTTAGCAGGAACCCTAGGGAGTCTCTGGGCAACCAGCCCAGTGAGTCCGAAGGATCTCGGACGAGCTCGCCACGCGCCTGGAGCTCATCTCCAGTGACTTCGAGGCAGCCAGGCGCCCTCCCCTACTTATTACTAACCATGGATATTTGAGGAGCTAAGGAGCCAGGGATGATGATAATCCCTATTAAAAAAGAAGCTAAAGAGCCAAGGGAACCCCACAACCACTGGTTAGATTAAGATAATAGACATCTTTAGGCATTATCACTAGGTATCAATTACTATCTGCATTAGCAATAGTATTTTGATCAGTGATGTTGTTAGTTTTACTTCTTAGTCATTGTTATTACCGTTATTATCACTGTTAGTATTTTGAATATTGTTATTCGTCTTCTTATTACTATAACTATTATGTTTGTTACTATTACGACCACTATCATTGTTCTTCTGTTTATTCGTCTTACCCTGATGCTTATTCTTATCACGTTTACAATGATTCTCGTTCGTTGCTTTGGGCTTAGGGTCTCGAGCTTTGGGGTTAGGGTTTAGGGTGGGGATTGCAATAAGGATCCCAATATGAAAGCAGGTTTGGATCAGGGACCTATGTTACCATTAGGGCGCTATGTGCCTGAGGAATTTGTAAGCCTTGCATCTTTGTCAGGACTCCGGCCGCGCTGCCCCTGGGTGCGTGGGGTGCCCGGTAGGGGGGTGGGGGGTCTGCTGGCCTCAACCCGCAAAGCCCCTAACTTCAAAATCATTGAGATTTGAAGAACAGCATTGGCCGTTGGGAGTTCCCTACACCCCAAACCCTTTCAATTTCGTATGGTGTTGATCACTGGTTGGGTATGGACCTACACGAAATGTCTTCCGCTTCGGAGGTTCCCAGCCCTCCACCGTATCCTCGGTATCGATTTGGTGTAAGGTTTAGGGTTTAGGGCTCTCCCTGATCGTTTAATGTAGAGCCCAAATTCTAGACAACTATGGGAACTGTGGGAATCGACACCTGGTCTTCCGTAGTGGTTCTGAAGGTTGTCAATACCGCCTACTCAAGGTCGTCGGTCATGTGAACCTAGAGCCGACGTTTTGCTAGAGTCCTAAGATAACCCACGATTTAGGGTGCAGGGCTCTGAAACAGAAGTTCCCTTAATAGCCCAAAGCCAGACTCTACGGCCCCTATTCACTTATAGTCGAAGCCAGAAGTTGGAACATAATTATCCTCATGCCCTTTAAGGTAAAGTATAAGGGATCCTAGCACTAATCCTCCTAAAGCCATGTTCCAACTTTCTGGCTTCTGCTGTATAGATGGGAGTTTCCGAAAATAGGGGACCCTGATCTGGTACCCTAAATAGTAGGATCCTTATTATAAGGACTCCAAAATAAGGTACCCCTAATCCTCGGAAGCTCCCATATTGGGGGTTAGGACACAAGGGTTATTCACTTAAACTATAATTTCAGGGCCCTGAACTCGAAAGCCGAAACAATCAGCCAACCCTGGTAAAAGCTGAGGCAAGTGCTGACACCCGGCGGCCTAATGAAAGTGCGCAGCTTCATCGAGCAGGCCGGACACGAAGATCTTTATTATGTTTAAGGGTTCTACGTAGGGATTTAGAGTTCAGGGTTTAGGAGTTTAAGGTGCAGGTTACTAGTACTAGTATCGGCAGTTGTTGTTCCTTGGTTTTAGGTAGGCTTTGGGTTTAGGGCTTCAGTGTTGTAGTGTTTCGAGCGCATATGACATTTCTCAAATTCAGGTCGGAATCCGCTTTCGTAAAGGTCTGGTTTGTGATGTTTTTTGTGGGCCATGCGACCTCTAGCCTCAATTTCCGCTCGGTCCCCATATACTTCTACTGGATTCTATCCCAGCGGCCTAAACCCTTGGCCCCTGAACGCAACCCTCAAGTTACAGGCGACGGACCTGGACCGGCTAGCTGAGGTGGACAAAGTGCCGGACCCGGTGTTTCCAGCCCTTCAGAGTCTTTCGAGTTAGGGACTAGGGTTTTATGTGGTTTTTAAGACGGAGGAGGCCTCCAAATCAGGCCCGCGAAAAACGCCTCGAGGAGGCCAATCGATGCAATCAAAAGTCGACCTTGCTGAATACTTGAATACTTGTCCTTAAAATCCTAAACCTTACGTAAACCTGCAACGTTAAACCCTACACCCTAAAGCCTCGGGACGTGCCTATGGAGACAAAGCGCTGCCCCAAGGTGGGTCTCTAGAAGCGAATGATCATTCTCGAAGGGACCATGTACCCAGATGTTATATACTTCGGCATTGAAGTAGTCCTGATATGGGTACTTTAGGGCTAAAGTATATCCTATTTATTGATCTTGATGACATTCCCGACGCAGTATCAGTGCTTCAACCATTGATGGACCTCGCCCGGCTGCAAGATTGCGTGCCTGCCGAGAGACTGTCGTCGGTGCCAAGCGGAAAGCTGCAGAAGCAGCCTCCATGGAAAGCGTAAAGAACAGTCGCGAGCCCGCTAACATAGGGCCCTAAATAATTGCCTATACAATTTTGGGGCTTCCTTAATAATTATGAAGAAAATACTATAATTGGCCCCCGAACCCTATTCGAAGTCCCTACGGTAGACAAAAAGCCCATGAACTTCATAAGGTCTTGTGAACCAATTGCACCGTAGAGTTTTGAGTTTTACGGTTTAGGCTTCAGGGTTCATCGGTCGTGGGGCTTGGGATTGAAGATTCTACAGGGCCATGCGGCTTAGGGTCACGGTTTTAGAGTTCTAGTGTTATCCGCTTGAGAGTTCAGAGTTTGGGCTCAAGGGTCCTGGGGGGGCACGATTTCTGTTTCGAGGGTCTGGCGGCTTGTGGTTTCGGGATCGGGGTTTTGAGGTTAGAGAGCTTAGGGTTCAGGGTTCCAGAGTCCTGTGGTGGTTCCGGGGCCTACAGAATCTACAATATCATCTTGACTTAATACTTAAATCCTAAACCCCGAACCGTAAACCCTAAATCTCGAACCTCTCGGCTTTAGGGTTGAGGCTTCGGGCTTCGAAAATGTGCTGTCCGGTGCCGTTGCGCAGTTCCAGTTCCGAAGGGTCCGAAGGAGTTAGGGTGAAAGTTGCAGGGTTTGTTCCTAAGCCAAACCTTAACCCCAAATAACCTACCTTTTTAAGGCCCCTTAATATGATGTCTTTATATATGTCCCTAAAAAGGTAGGTTATTTGGGGTGAAGGTAAACCCTATAGCTTCACAGGTTGAGTGGGCTCTGAGGTCAACAGTGTCTCTCTCCGAGGTTCATGTGTTGATTGACATCTTACCTAGTAGGTGAGTGTAACTAATCTTCAGTGTTCAATGGTACCTGCATTTTCGAGAGTGGTTCACACGCCAACCTTCAGACCTATATCTGTCTATCTGTCGGTCTATCTACCGACCTATCTATTTATGTTATCTTTCTCTCTCTCTCTCTCTCTACGTATATATACATCTATGTATATATGTGTATGTGTATATATATATATATATATATCCAAATATGTATAGATGTATGCATATACACCCTCTGACCAACGACCCAACCGGCAGGCTTATGGCCTATCCCACACCTCGAGTCCAGTCTGCTTGCTCGCATATCAAGACCCCACGTTCAGGGCAGCGGCGCAAGTCCAGCCGTAGAAAGTATAAGGGTTTGAGGCTTTGGGGTTTACGGCTTCAACCCTACACCATAAACCGCTGTTGACTCAGGCGAGTCTAGATTTTCCTATCTGGGGCTTGGGGAAACAAGATACAGAGTGAGTTTGCCAGAGCCAGTTCCGGCACATGCTACTCTAGAATAACATGATAAATAGTATGTTTTACCCTAAATTCCAAACCCGGGCTGATTTCCGAGCCGAACTTCAAGAATAGCAAGAAACATCATGGCGGCAACAGAAGCACATTTGCCACAAGGCGCTCAACGCCGGAGATGTCTTCCGCCTGCGAGTCATGCTCAACCTTCAACCTCAGGCAAGTCTTTGGTTGCCTTCTGGTTCAGGGGGTGTTATGCGGTCCAAAAGAAGATCGCTTGGTTGTTGTGACCCCAAGCCTTAAGCATCAAACCGTAACCCAGGCCATTTTTGCAGCTTGTTATCTTTCGAAGACCTCTGAAACAAGCCGCGACAGCTGGAGTACTGGTAGCAGCAGGAGTAAGTTCACCGCTGCCGCGACGAATTCCATCCTCTTATTCCTACTACCACGACCACCACGACCAGGCCAACAAAGCCTGAACCTAAACCCCTAAACCCTAAACCCCTAAACCCTAAACCCCTCAACTCTAAACTCCTAAACCCCTAAACCCTAAACCCCGAAACCCTTAACCCCTTAACCCTAAACCCCTAAACCCCCAAACCCCTAAACCCTAAACCCCTAAACCCCTGAACCGTGGCTCTGACAGCTGGAACAGGACATCCGTGAGCCTGGCGAAGAGCCCGAGGAGGTGGAGGAGGCCCCACGTCACGACATCGAGCCATGGGGTTTCGGTTTTGCCAAAGCGCTTCCTGTGAAGGGTTATGATATTGGTTTAGTATAGGGGCCTTAATAATAAGTACCTTATGCTATTTTGGGGAGTCCTTGTTATGAGTATGGTATAACATACCCAAAACCCAATTATACTTGTTAAGGCCCCTCTATCGTGTTTTCAATTTGGGGTTTACGGCTGCGAAACCTAGACCCCTTCATTAAGGAATATACCCTAAAAATATATAGTAAGCATCCCAATATGATTGAAGGATTTAAGGTATGGATCTAAAGCATATTCTTTGATTCAGGGATTTTGGAAGGTTTCGGAATTAAAGATTAGGGTCGGGACTTGGGGCATTCGGGCTCAGGGCTACGAACCCTGAGCCTGAATCCCTGCCCTCAATTTCCTAGGTTCCTCACGACTGCCCTTACACCTTTTTTTTCTCGTTCCCTTATTGAAAGCCGAACAGTAGGAGCAAGGGTACCCTTTTTCACTTTTTTCGATACTTAGAGGCCCAGGAAGGGACTTAGCAAGTAGCTTATGAGTAGAGTTATGAGTACCCTCAATGGAGTTACCTGAGTACCCTAAATGGAGTTACCCGAATCATAACCCGAATTATAGCCGACTTACAAAGTCCCCTGGGCCTCCAAGTAGGGCTACTCAGAAACCTAATACCACAAAACTCGCCGGAGCCTTCGGCCCTAAACCATTATCCCGACACCGGAAACCGAAACCGCAAGCTCTAAATTCGAAAGCCCCAAGGGCCTATAACCCTAAAACCCAAATAAGAGCCAATATCTTTCCTAAGGGGTCCCCTTTTAGAAATATTCTGTAAAGGAGCCTAAAATCCTATTCTAATCATTCGGGCTCCTACATTACTTTGCTTGTATGGGCCTAGAAAGGATCTTATTTACAAGCATGTGTCAAAGGCTATAGCCTAGTTGTGCAAGAGGTGTCGGGGCCTGTGGGGTTTAGGGTTTACGGGTTCAAGGGTTAGGGGTTTGGAGGTTTGGGGTTGAGAGCGGAATCCCAGGACTACGATCCCTTTGCCACCTTGCCATCAGCGGAAGCTTCTGTGTTCTGCCCAGCTTTCACGCCGGGCCATGGAAGGGTTTAGAGGTTTTTAGGTTGTAGGTGTTTAAAGTTGTTCTCTAGTTTCAAAAACTTGGGTCGTTAAGGTTGTTATATGCAAAAACTTATGTCAACGAAATTTCTCTTGGCTTGGGTGTTCAGCTGAAGTCTAAAATGGGGCTTCTTCGAGTTTTGGCTCGGGGGTCCTTCCCTTGCGGGAGTAGAGCTCAAATTTAGGTCTGCGGGTTGAAACTATAGATGTCGGTGCTTAGAGCTCGGTGAGGGCTTCTACACTGGCCTGGTCAGGCCTTGAATCGTTGAGGCAGCGCTGAGAAAATATTCGTACAACTACTTGGCGACTATCAGGGAATACTCTTACCAATTATTCCGACCGCAATGTTATGCCCTAGTGTTGGCGCCTGGGTTGCCCATGGAGCAATATCAATATCAATCATTGAGCTGCTCCCAAATGAGACTGTCCGACAACGGGACGCCATATTCAGGGGTTCTTTTAATAAGGATCCTGCTATTTGGGGTGTATGTTGGGGTACCGTCCGGAATTCCCATATGATCGGCTCGGTGATGTACGGCTCGGCCCTTTTTGCCACAGCCCCTGAGCCCTATCGAACGAAGCCAAACAGCTTCAACGCCAGGTTCATGAAGAGTAGTTCTGAACACTTGAGTACCTAGGAAGAGTGTCTCCCCTTCGAGGTTTTAGCAGTTTAACACCTACGTACCTTTTCTGATAGGCCGTATTCTGAATACTAATATGTTAAACATGCCCGATGCAGCTGGCCCAACCTCGGGCTTCTGGGATCTCCCTGCTAGACGGTTTTCTCATCAGAATACGGGACCCTGCAAGCCACAACCACACCGTTTTAACTAGCTATAGCCGAAGCCCTATTCAAATTCAACACAGCGCGAAACCTCCCCCTTCGACGCGTCTTCCCATGGCGCCAGCGCTGGTGCCATAAGCTGCCAGGGCCCCACATGGTCGTCAAGGCCCTGGTCTTGTAAGTACAACAGGATCTTTGATGCGCACGTTCCTGCAAGAAGCCATCCTTAAACACTGAGCTGAATCGTAAAAGGTATTCTAAACATCTTCGACGAATTTGTAGCCGTACTTGTACTCAAGCCACGCTCATGTAGCCTTGCCCAGGATTGGACGATTACTTTTTTGTCTCATCAGTTTTATAATGGCCCTTACTGTAGTAATAGTACCCCTTAGACTAGCATTTACCCCTTCCAGTTGTCTCCCTTCTACTAGAAAGCTTCCCTTATAGCATCAGTTAGAGTAGACCTGAATCTCAATCTCTACAAGGCTCGTAGCTCTCGGCTTTCTCAATCCCCGAACGTTAAGCGCGAAGCTTTCGAAGGACATCAGATGCAGTAGGGTTTAGGGTTTTGGGTTTGTGGGTTCAGGGTTTGGGGTGTAGGGTTTGAGGTGTTAGGTTTTTAGGTTTCCGGTTTCCGAAAGTTCAAGGGGATTAAGCTGAGTTCACAAGACAAAGGCCAGCCAACAAGGGTCCTAAGTAACACACAACACAAGTACCGTGATCTGAGAATTTGGTGGCATGACTGTCGCCGTTCCCTCAAGAACAGCCTTCAAAGGCTTGCTCTTGCGGGGAAAGGTGCGAACGACCCCTCATTAAAACTGTCTGGTGCTTAGTAGGGGATGGGGGAATGGATCCCTATAGTAGTCCTTCTATAATCCCCAACAATGGTCCCCATGACCCATTCCCCCACTCCCTCCTAAGAACCAGACCTAGGATGCCCAGTAGTACCCTTATTCCCTTTTTGTAGTCCTAGGTTCCTTATAAAGTTACCCAATACCAAAAAGAGAGGCCTTTTTATTCTTAGGTTACTGGGTATCCTAGAAGTAGCTTTCTGCTCCAGGCCTATAGTATAACCCTTATAGTAACCCTTATAGTGACCCTCAAAGGAACCCTTAAAATAACCCCATTCCCTCCTAAGAACCAGACAGAAGATGGAACGTTGGTGTTCGAGTCGGTTCCGAGCATGGAGCGATTTGCCATGGACTCTCCTGCGGCCTCCCTAGGCCCTTTAAACCGTAATTTTTCCAAGCCCTAAAAGCTCAAAAAGGAACATCTAGCCGGGAAATTTGAGCACATGTAGTTGATGTCTTTGTGTTCATCTTGCCAGTTCTTGGTTTTTTAGTTGGCGATGCCAATGTTCCTGCTTCCTGCTCACGGCTGTAAACACCTCAAGCACTGAGATCCTGAACCCGAAACCGTCAATCCCTTTGGACACACCCGAAACCCTGTACTCTAGGGAGATTACGATTCGAAATCCTAAACGACTAGATAGATCCTTATGCTACATGTATTGAAGAGTTACTTGTAGCAACGGTGTTCCCTTACAGTCCGCATGATCGTCTCAATGCAACTATACTATAATACACCGGAAACCTTTATTCTGGTCACTAGTTCAGACCTCTGTGTTAGACGCTGATACCTCCCAACGCACACCGGGGAGGTCTTCAGCGCTACGCAAGAGGGTCTGGCAACGACTGCTGAGCTTGACGAGGCTGAATGCACTGATATTTTTCGGGTGTGCCCATTCAGGATCTGGGGTTTCTTGATTTGGTTTCGGCGGCATATCTTTAGTTCAACTCGTGTGAACAAGCAAAACGGGAATTGTTTTGCTACTTAGTGCATGCCCAGTCGCGAAATGGATGTGAAAGATTGCACGATGTATGTTTGTGTGTGTGCGTGTTTATCCAGGTAGAGTTGGTATACATAGATACCATGTGGTTTAGACACATTTTTGAAGTACAAGCACACCATAAAACATAACTACAAACACATACATACAGCATCAGCTCAATACACGCGCACATGTCCTCATGCACGGGTGTGTACAAATATACATATATGCTACCCCCCCCCGACGTACCTAACTATTTGGTGTGTTTGTCTCCAAGTGTTGAACACTTCGACGCATTACAAAGCAAAGACTCTGTGAGCCAGATAGAACAGCTATTGATGTGTAAACAATCTTCTTTTGACATGGTGAAACTGTGACACATGGGCCACTGAAGTAGGCTCACTACGATCGACGCTAATAATACCATTACAGTCAATCAGTTATTAACTGTATCACAATAGTCTTCGCAACACCATGCAGCTATTGTTATCAATTGGTGTTACTAAAAGAAGTTGCCCTCCCATCTATATATGCTGGTTGTTGGGAGCACCCCGTATGGAGGTACGGGTACATCGGCCCATAGAGGGCCCACCTTACCTATCAGCAGTGGCAAAAAATGATTTAATGCGCAACCTCTAACCAACTGAACTAGTGTTATTCCAAGGATTATATACTAATCTCCATAGTCTTGTACTCTTCTAGGCATAACATTAGTAACCACTTAGATGTAATGGTGTAGACGGTAGCATAATACCACTGGAACACAACTACCATGAACAACCTAGATAACTTAACTTGTTACAACTACTAAACATAGCTAACCTAAACCATTCATACCACTAGCTGTTAACCTAGTGTTAGTAAGTCATGTTGATCCTGTTATTAACCATACTTCATCTGACTGTACATATAATAGACTGAACAGAATAGCAATGACTGTACCTAATGATAAGACACAAGGAAAGCGTGCAACAACATGATAAGAGTCATGTAAATCCATGTCAGCATTTCTTATTTAGCCAAGCACAATACCAGTTGGACCACCTATTATATACAGTTTATGTGAAAGATCTAGTATACCAGATAGCATTAGTTGTGAACTAGTACCATTAATTATGCATTAAGTATTCAGATATATAGAACACCAAATAAAAGGTCTTAACGAACCAGTTGGTAGTGATATTATCAATTTACTAAGTTGTAAAGTTAGCTCTTGTATCACTATTTGATACTGTTTGTAAATATAAGATGTGGCCAAACTAAACTTTCCTAATAGACAAATACAACTCATAGCTAAGATCATAAATAAGTTAACCAAGACGTGTAATATGCCAATTACTGTTAAACTATTGAATACCAACTGGTCCAAAGAACCAAACAAATTTGGGTAGAGTATAGGATCACTTCCAAAGTATGGTTCATAGAAGATTGTATTATCGTGTACATCTGTTAATAACATTAGCAAAGCTCCTGTCAATATTGGTGGAACTATTAACAAACTAGATGATGTAATCCCAACTGATCTGGTTATGTGTTGATAAAGTAACTAAACGTAAACCTATTAATTTCATAATATGACAACTCATACAGAAGTTATAAAGATGCTAATGTTGATGATAGACCTGATGTAATGAAACTGTAGCTAGTAAGACTGATACCATAAGTTGTGAATGAGATTAATGAAGTACTAATAATACAAACCATTCCTCTTATGATTACAGGATATTTATGGATATCAACTATGTGCTAACTGTTATCATCCTACTGAGTACGTTTGTTGCTACTCATTCCATTTCATACCATTACATTATATAAACATCTGGGGCTATGAGGCCCTGGGACTACAGGTGCCTACCTAACATAGCAGGTGTTTCAACGCATAAGACTTAGCCTGGCCATCTTGAGACGTCTTCTGGCACTCAGGATATTGAAGACTGATTAAGGTCTTGATCTTCAATCCTCACAACTAGAATGTGTGCCACTTTTATTGTTTTCTCCAATGTTTCCGGGTTTCAGAAGCCGAAAACATTGGAAAATCCAATAAAAACCATAAAAACCATGATTTTCAATTTATGTCCAGGCGCGACACCACTTCCCGGGCGATAGTTTCAAAATCATTGTTTTTATGGTTTTTATATGTTTTTCCAATGTTTAGAGCTCCTTGTATGCGTTTTTTTTGGTTTTTCCAATGTTTTGGACTCCTGCGTGCAGTTGTTTTATTGGTTTTTCCAACGCTTTAAGCTCCTTGTCGGCCAACTTTATTGGTTTTTCCAATGTTTCGGGCTCCTTGTGGGCCACTTTTATTGTTTTTACCAATGTTTCCGGGTTTCAGAAGCCGAAAACATTGGAAAATCCAATAAAAACCATAAAAACCATGATTTTCAATTTATGTCCAGGCGCGACACCACTTCCCGGGCGATAGTTTCAAAATCATTGTTTTTATGGTTTTTATTTGTTTTTCCAATGTTTAGAGCTCCTTGTATGCGTTTTTTTTGGTTTTTCCAATGTTTTGGACTCCTGTGCGCAGTTTTTTTATTGGTTTTTCCAATGCTTTAAGCTCCTTGTCGGCCAACTTTATTGGTTTTTCCAATGCTTCGGACTCCTTGATTGGGATCGTGTATAGGAGCACCGTCTTATCCTACTGCAGCCCTTATCCCCTGGATAACATAAACCTGCATCGGCTTGCTGAGCTCCGAACCTGAACAGGAAAGCAGGAAAAGGGTAGGTACGGGGGGGTACCACATATATATACACATACACATACATCTGCATATACATGCAGTAACCATCTACGTCTACATGTACATGTAAATGCACATATAGATACATGTACATATGCATATGCATAATCATATACATGGACACATGCATATGCATATGCATATATATATATATATATATATATATGAATTTATTTCTCTCCCTCCCTCCCCTCTCTCTCTCTCTCTATGTCTATATATATATATATATATATATATGTACATGCATGCATCCATGCACGCATGTTTTCAGTTCACATGCACTATCACTATCCAAAGTATGTAGACATCTACATCGTTGCTTGCTAGTACTGTCTGTGTTTAGTACTATTTGCGGCAGTTGCATACTGTACTGCAAAAGCATCATCCGGTTCCACATGTCTGGAGGCGTTTGCGAACTTCTTGGAAAGCCCTGGCTGGAGGGAGCTTCAGACGCGCACCGCGCGACGACTTTGCAGCTTGGGACTGACGACTTCAGCAGGTTCTGTCTTTGGTAGCATAAAGTTAGCAGGTTTTGAACGTTTTTGAAGTCATGTTGGATATCGGTTCAGAATGAAACCGGCTACTGACTTCAGGATTTCTGAATTACGGTCCAGCAACTAGAGAGCAGGAAGACATAGACCCTAACCCCTGCAGGGCTGGCGTCTGTGCGGCTTCTAAACTTGAAGCCTTAATCAGCGGTTGAAAAGTGCTTTACACTACCATTCTCACAAACAGCAGCTCAAGTTATTTTGAAAGCCAAACTGCAAGTCACTGTAGCTACCTGCAGAGTTTCGGATCTTCGCCTTCTTCGCGAAGGGGGCAGAAGGTTTGTTCTCAATACACTAGGACATGATACGTGCCGAGTTTGTGCATCTCCTTGTATGTCCCCTGAGCCTTAAACCCCCTAGTAGCTAAGTGGATACACTCTAGACTTTTTGGGATAATATTACCCAATATGAAACTAAAAGTGTACACTATTGGGAGCTTATGAACTCAGCCACTAAGAACCCAAAACAGCATTCTTCCATTCCCTACTAACCAAAGGTGGTTAGGAGTCCTGGGTACTGGGCCTGACTGCCCTAGCCTCTTGTCTTACCTTTGGTTAGTAGGAAATGGAAGAATGGTAGTAGTGGTAGTAGTAGTAGTAGTAGGAGTAGTAGTGGTAGTTATCATTGTAGCCCATTCCTCCATTCCCTACTAACCCAAGGTAAGTTGTGAAGTACGGTCTGTAGTATGGTTTAGGGTGCAGGGTGAGTGGTTTTTCCTTTCGCCCTAAAACCCTAAGCCCTTAGACCCTTACTCCTAGGGCTGCATGGCGCCTAAACCCCAAGCCCTAAACCCCTACACCGACACCCCAAACTAAACCCGTTTCCTAGGCGATGGGTCGTATACCTTCGATGGCGACTGCAACAAGCCGCCGCCACCGCACCTGTCAACTTGTCTGCAAATGCACTTTACACAGTACGGGATTAGAAAAGAGGTGACGGATGATGTATGATTGAAAACTGCGCGAGTGGTCGCATCATAGTGAAAAACATCGAAGAGCAAGTTAATCAGAACGGTACTAACTGCAACGACAGAAAGTAGCAACAGTAATAGCACTAGCAATAAAAAACAATAAGATCACCAAGAAGCAATAAACAATAGCAGTACTACTTAACAGCAATGATGGTGATAACAGTGTTGTTACTGTTCCCTGCTTACGTGTGCTAGGCAGACGCCACCATGCTTGTCATAATTCTGGTCTAAACACTACAACTGTTCTTGCCGATCTAGTTGATGTTTGGTTGCTATTTGCGCGGCAGGCCTTCTCAGGGCTACCAGCTTTCGTGTTGTTTTGACAGCTGTCCTCAGGACGAACGGCTGTTCAGAGTCGTGCAGCAATGTCGGTAGTACCACCAGCCCTTGTCGACGGTTCTTATCCTTAGTACTCCCCGTCCACATGTTACTGCTGCCACTGGCGATATGTTCGCCATGGCTTGTACGCTTAAGGTACTGTTGCTACTGGTATTGTGGTCCGCAACTCTACTGCTATTCCCGCTGCACAGTCGTGAGCACGATACGGCCGAGGGCTATAATGCTTACAACCCCCCCGGACATGCATGATTTTTGCCGAAGTGCCATACCTCTCGAGCTTTTTGCAAGCTTTCCCACATGGAAAACGGCCCAAACCCCAAGCCATACATCAGCACCTTCGGGGTAAAACCCAGACAGTCGATAAGAACAAACGGGAGAACTCCATCCAATAAACAAGCTTCTAGCGCACCCTATAAACCCTAAACCCATAATCCTAAACCCTCCGCCCGCTTCAAAAAGAACTCATAGCACACTTCTGGCTTCATCATCATCCCCTAAACCCTTAACCCTAAACCTCAAGCGCTAAACCCTAAACCTCCACTTGCGAAGGAAGTTTGCAGCCGGCCTCATTCAGAAGCTGTGACTCGGCTTTTGGGGCCCCTGTGGCTGTTAGCTGCATAGGGTTTAGGCTTTAGGGGTTTAATTAGGGTTTAAGGCTTAGGGTTTTGGGTTTAGGGTTCAGGGTGTGCAGAGCTCTTTGAATTTTGGGTTTTGGACCTTTCTTACCCTAGGGCTCCAAAGAGCCCAAAGTAGGTACTACTTATAGACTCTAAACCCTTGTATACTTGGAGCCCTAGGGTTACTGTACTGGCAATGATTGAGCGGTGATTGAGGTCTTGTTGGGTTCAAGCTGCTAGCTTTGCTGTAGTTGTTCAGGCTGACATTGATGGCGTTCAGTGTTCATGTGCTTTACAAGTCCTGTTCAGTTTGTAGCATACAGCTAACTATCTATCTGTCTATCTATCTGTGTATCCTTTTGTCGATCTATCTGTCTGTCTACCTAGCTAGCTAGAACTACACATATACCTGTATGTAGATACAGGCGTTGATGTTTGTTATCATGCGTCAGTATACAGGGAGGTATTTGAGTATATGTACGCCTGAGAAGCATCCTTGTGGTGTTCAGGTTCATGTCGTACTGGGACACTGCAGGGCGTAACAACCCTAAGCCCTATTACCCTATAACCTTATAACCCTCTAACCCTGAACCCATACCCCTGTAACCCTATACCCTATAACCTTGTAACCCGGAACCCCAAACCCTAAACCGATATTGCACTTCCAAAACTCTTGCTGGAGCTGACCAGAGGCTCGGACGGCTGCAATCGGACCACCCCGACACTGCCATCGTGCCAATGCAGGCTTTCTTGCGCTCTGCTGGCAACATGGGCTGCCTTCTTAGGGCTCCTTTAAAGGCATTGGGTTTAGTGTTTAGGATGGGGCTTTCTTGCAGTCTGCTGGCACCATGGGATTCGGATTTAGGGATTAGTGTCTATGACTGCTAGGACGGTTGCAGAGCAGGCTCTGCAGACTGCAGCTACCCATCAGCTATAACACCTGAGACATTAGGGTTTAGGGTTAAGGAGTTTAGGGTCCGGTTCACATTGTTTCAGTCATGCTCAGGGTCGGCCAGTCGAGCCGGCATGGTTCAGATCTCTGATGCGTTCTGCAACCCGAAACAATGAATCTTGAAACACCCATGAAGATGAACAGTGGCCGTGGTCCCTAAACTCTAGGTTTAGTAAGCTCTAAACCTTACACCCTTGTCTTAAAACAGCAATGCACGCTTGCCGGTTGCTGGAACTCCCCGATTTACTATTGTCGCCAGAGCTTCGGTACCTGGAAACTACAGTGGCTTGTCAGAAAACTCGGGGTCCTGTATCATGTCGCACCACCTTTATAGATAATCCAAAACGCGGAGCCCCCTATCTTTCACCCTAAACCTTTACCCTACCCCCCCAAAACAGATCCTTCGAGGTGCCTGTACGAAGATGGCCAGGACATCGTGGTTCCGTTGTCGGAGTGTTTGGTGTACAGTGAATGCCCTCATGTTGTTTGAAGCCAATGGTTTAGGTGTTTGGGTTTAAGGAATAGGGTTTAGGCCAGGCTTTAGGGCTGAGTCCTAAATTAAACCCTCACTTTTCTCGATACTACATCTTCGCATGAAGTCGTAAACCTGTAGTACCTTCTTTTGGCGTTTTTGCTGTGCTGCACAGCACCCCGACACTTGAACCCACGAACCAAGAGCAACCAGCTGCAACGTTTCTCGAGGATGCCTGCCCAAATCACGTCCATGACTGCCGGCAGCTGACCTTGTCACTGGGTGCGGAAAGGCCAGGAAGCTAGCTGCAAACTATACCAATCGTAGTCGTACACAAGATGATGTACATACGACTCCCGTGGGAAGTGCACATCAAAGGGGAAAAGGAGGGACCCTTATAGGTTATTCAGGGTTCAGGTGAACCCTACACCCTAAAGTTTCTTCTTCGGACATGGGCCTTGCTACAGTTTCGTCAGCGTAATTTTGCAGTGCAGTCCCAAGCCATCTTCCGAGTGCTGATAGGTTCGTGGCCGTGGAGGGAGAGAAGATGCTGATGAGGCTCGCAGAGGGTTCGGATCTCGATTTCACTGCGATTCAAGTTTCGGGTTGGTTATCATTTTGAGGTCGGAGTATTTAGTGCATAATAATGTCTATTCTTGGATGGTCCCCAGAATTGCTCGTTACAGTGTACCGTCCCCCAAAGCCCTATGTATTCCAACTTTGAGCGGGTTTATTGCTGAGGAACTTAGTTTATCAAGGAAACTGTATTATTTATTCCCGATCCCTATTATGGTAACTTCAAAACCAGATTAACAAGAACCCCCAGCGAAGACCCCTGTACATGTACTATTTTCAGCCCATGGGCCTTGGGTTCCCTGAGTCCAAAAAACAGATGGAATAGGACCTAGAGTAGGCCCTTTTTCCTCGTTTTTTAGGGTTCAGGTTCCCTTATAAAGCCCCCTTTAAACCAGGCGCCCTATTTATTCCTAGGTTACTCTTGGGTCTGGAATTGAAGCTGATCTAAAGCAACCCCGGAAGGGTCAGTATGCACTACCATTATGGAGTTAGGCCCCAAAAGACCATCCCTGCTAGATTTTTGGAGACTTAGCTCCATAGTAGCAACATTCCTCTTGTGGAACTAGGTACGTAGGATCTGGATTGATATTGAATGCTCCGGTTCTGAGTCATCTGCGTTCAACACCCTAAACAGTAAACTCAACCCTAAACCCTTAACAGAAGGTTTGTCTCACGATGATACATGCACATCAAATCGTCAGTACTTGCACCCAAAAGATAGAGTTTAGGGCCCAGGAGCCTCAAACAGAGAATCTTCAAGCCTTCACAACGCTTTAACTAACACGAAACCTAAAGCCTCATGGTAACCCTTCTGGAGCCCTTATAGCACATACCCCCCTAAACCCCTAAACCCTCAATCCCTACCCCCTAAACCCTTGAATCCTTAAACCTAAATCCCAAACCCCTCTGGCACCCTGACAGCAAGTTTTACCGGCCCCACTCTTGGACCCTCAACCCCCATGGGGTTCAAGGGATCAGGGCTTGGCTTTGGGGCTTAGCCTTTAGGGATTTAGGGCTTTAGGGGTTCAAGGGATCAGGGCTTGGCTTTGGGGCTTAGCCTTTAGGGATTTAGGGCTTTAGGGGTTCAAGGGATCAGGGCTTGGCTTTGGGGCTTAGCCTTTAGGGATTTAGGGGTTTAGGGGTTCAAGGGATCAGGGCTTGGCTTTGGGGCTTAGCCTTTAGGGATTTAGGGCTTTAGGGGTTCAAGGGATCAGGGCTTGGCTTTGGGGCTTAGCCTTTAGGGATTTAGGGCTTTAGGGGTTCAAGGGATCAGGGCTTGGCTTTGGGGCTTAGCCTTTAGGGATTTAGGGGTTTAGGGGTTCAAGGGATAAGGGCTTGGGATTGGGGCTGAGCCTTTAAGGACTCAGGGCTTTAGGGGCGTTCAGGGATTCAGGGCTCAGGGATTGGGGCTGCTTTCCACGGAAAGACTTGTGATTCGAGCAATTCAAGTCTGAGTGTGGGGCTCTCACTTTGCTTCTACTTGGCTCAAGGGTGCCAGTGTTTTTCGGGTTTAGGTTAGCGCATGCAATGTGTTTGCTTCATGGCTTCAGTGGGGCTTCAAAGAAGTAGCAAGTAGGGGTTTGAGGGCTTATATAGCGTTTAGGGTGAAAGATTTCGGGCTATGTCAGCCTATGTCAGCCGCCTGCAGGCACGGCGATGTCATGATCTTGGACGGGGAGCGGCTATTCGGTCGGCACGAGGGGATGGTTTGTGGGAGCCGAAACAAACGATTACCGAAGGGGCCAGACATGTATGGGCCTACTGCAAGGGCCTTCAAAAGTAGAGTAGGGTTTGGGGGTATATTACGCTATAACTACAACGAACTCCCTAAAACCCGATCCTTTGCTGTACCTATAACCAGGAATGCGCAAACCCCATTCTAGTTATGAAGGCCCCTACATTAGGGTTTGGGCTACATCGCTGAGGCTCCAACTTCGAGTCCCGACAACCCCACATAACCCCTAACTCTCCTGAGTGTTTTAAGGGTATGCCAAGCACGCACAATGAAGTTTTTGCACATCACCTCTGCTGGACATCACCTTCTTATCGGGATTCGAACGGATTTCCCAAGGTTCGCTGCTGACAATATGGATCGTTTTGCTTTGTCGAACCAGGCTCCCCAGTGGCTGACCCTTAACAAAGCCCTCCACCCTACAAAAGCAGCCTAGGGCGAGAACCCGCTGACGAGTGTTTGTTTGGAGTTTAGGGTCTTCCGGAACTCTGCAACCCGAAAGACCACTCGAAGGCATGGCGTTCCCGCCGACCAGGGCAGGCGTGCAGAGTTCGGGTATTTGGGATCCCAGGGTGGCGTAATGTTGCGTAGTTTGCAGGATTTGGTGTATTGAGTTGAGGTCTCAGGTTTCGGGAGTCTAGGCTAGGTGTAAGGTTGGGGTGGTAAAGTCAACAGAAGTATTGTCGAGCTCAGCGATTGCTGGACAAGTGGGTTTAAAGGGTTTGGGGTTGGGGAAAGAATCATCGAGGTGTTCTGTTGTGAGTATCTTGACTTCAGCCTTTGGGGACCCCAAAACGCCGCACCGACGGCCCCAGAGCTAAGTCAAAGCTCCAAAAGTCGTCAGGGCCTCCAAAACCCGCAACCGCAAGGTCCCAAATCTTTGAGTACCAGGTTCCTGAGTGGTACCCGTTTGCACTTTTTTGTTTTTGGGGTTATTAAGGAACCCAGAGTCATGCCTTCAGACTGCTACGCCCTGTACCGTGAAGCGTTAAATCCAGCAATCCTGTCCAAGTTCAGTCGATGTGTGCAAGCTCAAGTTCCTGCTTGAGTGTTGTTTTAATGCTCTCGTTGAGAGAATTGTACCAAACTACAATCGAGGGTCCGGAGAAGCAAGTGGTGTTATACGGATGTAACAGGTTTCTTGGTCCCCCTAACAAAAACACTGCAAACACGAAATCCTGCCCCCACCCAATCAGAGAAGGGTTTGGGGGTATATTGTAGCACAGGATTGAAAAGGACCCCAAAGGAATAGCGTTGGTATGCATTGGCAAGTATTCAATTCAGGCTTCTCTATCAGGGTTGTTGATTCCATTCCTTAGGCTCTATAAGACTAACCATGAGGCCAACCCAAGCGCGGGTTTCGGTGAACATTTTCTTTACCACCGGCGCCGACGAGACGGCCCGGCCGGTGAGTGTGCCTGGCCAAGAAACCCTAGAGCTACAAGGGTGGGACGAAGGTCGGTGAGGTAATCCCCAATCACCATGCTAGCAGCCGCAGCAGCATCTCCGTGCTCATCGTCGTGTTGCTGGTGATAGTGGCCACATGGGTCACAAACCCATATAAATACTTAACTCGACTTTGCTCATGACCGTCATCGGGCTTTTCCTTTGGATCATATCCTCAAGCTTCTCTGTTCCTGCTGGAAGAGGCTTTCTGGGCGTGCATTTAAAGCTCACAGGGTTGCGGGGTGGAGAGAACTCAGATTTTTGGGTGAGGAGCAGCTAGCCGATCGGGGGTTCTAGGAAAACGAGGCCAAGAAGGGTACAAGCAACGCGTTTTATCCGATCCCGAAAAGAGGGAGGCTGTTGGAACTCCACTGAAGATCCCTAGACGAACTGTTAAGCCGAGCCTCTGTAGAGTTTCGGAGTCTGCGATTTTACCCTAAACCCTAAACCTTAAACCCTAAACGGGATTTTGCGAACTCGGACTCAGGGGCTTGAGCCTTCCATTCCTGCCGAGCCTGGGCAGTTGAGGTGAACCACCGGGCGGGCTCCGGTTATCAGAAACTTGGCTTGGCTGGTCCCGGGGTGCCTTGAGACCTTAAACCTACTTAAACCTAACCATAAGCCCCAAAACGCTGAATGCCAAAACGCTGAGCCCTAAAACCCTAAACCATAAAGTCCAGAAGTGTGGCTTCGGGATGGGGTTGCGATGTGATGCGTGGGGCTCGTGGGAACAGAAGCTATCCATACTTCGGAGTTCGGTCTCCCACCCCTAAATTCGAGAGATGTCCCTACTGGTTCCGCCTTGAGTGCCTCAGACTCTTCATTCCGAAAAGCTTCTGTAGCCTTTAATGGGTATGTAGTGCGGCTTCCGGTCGCCGCTGTTTAGAGTGTTACTCAAACCGCTTAACCCCAAACCATAAACGACCAGGGTTTCAATTTTTCTTGTTTTGAAGTTCGTAGACCAAGAATTAGGATTTGGTTAGGGGTGTTGATGTGTCATGAACGGCATCCGAACCCCGAAGCTATTGAAGAGCCTTCATCCGCCACGCAAACCCCCGAAGTGACTACAGCGTGGTCGCGAGCAGAGCAACGGGCTTTCTAGTGTTACAAGGATCCCTTAGAAGCTGCCCCCACCCTGTAATAGTGACTATAAGGATTATAGTAGGGCCCTATTGTATTCCTATTATACCACTATTACAGGGTGGGGGCCCCTTGATCCGCTAGTATAGTGAGCTACTCACAAGCCATATGTGGGTATTTGAGCCTGCAAAAAGGGTAGGTTTCCTGATCTCGGGCTTCCGGTTTAGGGTTTAGGGTTTAGGGTTTAGGGATCCCGCAACTCCCACGCATCGCGGAAGCTTTTGGGGATTTGCAGCCGTGTGGGGTGTCAGGACGAGCGGCAAAGGTCGCGGCGGAAAGGGCCACAGCAAGAACCGACAGGAGAAATGCTTGCACGGTGCTTGGGTTACCCTAAACCCTAAACCCTTTCGCAAGTTCTGGTGCCCACTCGAATGTCTACCTGGAGCCTAACCGCTTCTGTAAAGTGTCCGTTGCTTCAGAGGTTAGGCTTTCAGGTGTAGGAGGGGCTCTGTGAGGTAGTAGCGATCGAGCAAGAGACGCCAGCTGTACATCTCAGAAGCACTCCTTGAAATATTTTTCCCATGGACGCATCCCTCAATGAGGAATCTTTCAGTCTTTGGTACTCCCTATTCGTTTTGTTGGGTGCGCACCGACTTGTGTAGTTAGGAGTCATATGAACAGGTAGATACCGTAAATTTTGGGCAGGGTATGACCCTCTAGGTAGCGTGTGGTGGACCTGTGCGGCATCGGACCCAGCAGGAGGGCTGGAGGCAGCCCAGTGCTCCTTCCGCTGGCGAACGCCGCAACCGACAGCTGGCTGCAAAGATGCCCTAAGCCCTAAAACCCTAAACCCCAAGCAGCCCCGAAGCTCAGTAACCCTAATTTATAAAGCCTGAGCCGGAACCCCTGCCATTGAGGCACCACAAACGGCCTAGATGGGTCTCTAGAGTCTATCGTTGGGGGTTTAGGTTTTAGTCTGTTTATGGTTTGTAGTGTTTGCTTTTAGAAATTCGAGTTCGGTCATTGACAGCTTTAAGATTTAGGGTGTGGGGTTCAGAGCTTGCGGTGTGAGGGCTTGGGGATTTGGCCTAAAGCTAGATAAGCGAATATCATGAAGTGAAGAAGAACGCACACAGACACATACATATATCTATATATATATATATGTATATATGTACATATATTGTATATATGTATGTATAGCAGTCCTTTCAGGCGCGCAAAGAAGCAGGGAGTCTTTTCAATCCTTGTGGCTTCCCGGAAACTCCAGCACTCTTTAAACCTGTCCCAAAATTGTACTTACTTGGATTCCACAAAATAAACTTGCACATGTTTGCTTCCACTACCCCGCTGCAAGAAAGCAGCGTGATCAAATCCCCGGCGGACCCTACTGAGCCCACGTTTACAGCCGGTCTGGCAGCGCCAAGCTCATGTGGCAGTTTCCGAAAACAGGGGACCCTTATAATTAATGTAGTACCCCAAATAGTAGGATCCTTATTATAGGGACCCCAAAATAAGGTACCCCTAATTTTCGGAAACTCCCATGTACATTGCAGTTTGAGTTTGGGTTCGAGACCCCAAACCCTAAAGCCTGAACCCTACAAAGCTTGAATCCCAAACTCGGAGAGAGCGCTTTCAAGCGTCCTGAAAGTATCGCTTATACTAGCTGTATGAACCCTTATATTAATACTATGCCACGATTTCTGGCTATCCAAGGTTGGAACCGGCCCCGGCATGGGTGACCTGGCCGACTTAGATATTCCGGGTCTATAGGGACTTGGGGTAAAGTGTCGAACATTGCTTAGCATATAGGGAGTTGGGCTTTAGAGTTTAGGGCCTAGGGCTCGTATTGTTCAAGCCCCTCCGGCAAAGGCTTAGGTGCAAACCCTAAGCCTTAAGCCATTGGATACACCTGCAATGTCATCACACCTGCAACTGCTTGCTGTGAGTATCGGCTGCAGCCAGGAGGTTGCCGAAATATCACGCCAACACCTTTTGAATTGAAGCCGCTACTTTACAACCACAAGACCCCCCGTTCTTTAGACGGTTGCGGGCCCTCTTGCACCACTCGAACCCTGATTCCCGATTTTACGGAATCGGCTCATCAGTTCGCTTCTTTCCTGACCCATATGGCAAGGTGTAACCCAGAGGCAGTGGGAGCAACTTCGAACCCCCCCCACACCCAAGACTCCAGTAGAGAGTAGAACTCTCTTCATTCAGTCTTCGCACCTCAGATGGTCAGGTGAGTCGGCCAATCTCGGAAAGGCGGAAGTTCCTGGCTGCGCCCTTGCTCTTGTCATTGCAGGCGCGCAAGACGAAGAATGGTCAGCAGTGCCCGTAGTCGTCGTAGTAGTAGCACAGTGGTAGTAGTGGTGATGGTAGGAGCAGCAGTATCAGGAGCAGCAGCGGCAGCGGTGTCAGCAGTAAGTAGTTGCGGCCGTAGCAGGAGGAAGAAGATTGGGAAAGCAGGAGTGGCGAGAGGAGGGAGGAGGAGGACGAGCGGACGAAGAGGAGGAAGAAGAAAAGAACGAGGGAGGAGGGTAGATGCCAGGATGGGCTGCACGAATGTTTTTACATTTAGTGGAAGTCCGATGCGGAAGGGTCGGCATCTGAATGGTGACGACGCGGATGGTAACCTGAAGATAGGACCATGGTGAAGGCACGGGCGATGAGGATGACCAAGATGAGACGATGGACATGATGATGACCGTGAAGATCGCGAGGGCGATGGTGATGGTCAACACGGTGAGCAACTGGAATAATCGTTTCCCCCTAATATTACAACGCTCCCCCCCCCCTCCCCTAATATAAAAACTGGATTCCGGAGGTTTAATTTTTATATTAGGGGGGGTTTCGGGTCCTGCGGGTATGAGTCGGAGTGACAGCAATTAATTAGTAATGAGGCAGCCAGACAGCCTTAAACCTCGAGCCCCAAACCCTAAAAGCCTGAGCCCTAAACTTTAAGCCTTAAAGCCCTGAGCCCTAAAGCTTTAGCCCTGAGCCCTAAACCCTTAAACCCTAAAGCTCTCGTGTCTCTTTAGTACTGCTGTAATTAATCTTTGCCTCTATAATTAAAGCCCTGAGCCCTAAACCCTTAAACCCTAAAGCTCTGGTGTCTTTAGTATTACGGTAGTCTTCCTTCAATTAAAACACATACAGATCTGCCACCCCACCTAATGTTGCCCCCTTTAAATTGAATGCGGGGCCCGAGCCCGCGAAATTCCGGGGGCCGGCAGTTTTTTATATTAGGGGGGGATTGATTGTTAGGGGGAAGCGATTAAAGATGTGAATTGTGTAATGTGAGAATAACATTGATTTCTAGCAGTATGCTGGTAATAGTAACGTAGTCGCAATAGTCATGGTAGTCTTAGTTGCTTAGCAACAATGATAGTAGCAGGCAGTGATGACAATGAAAGTAAGTAGTTATCTAGATGGGACCATGACGGGGATGGTGTTGCCATGCTAAGGGTTACAGCTACCATGACGCCGACAACAGAAGGCAAACATCGGCGTTCCTTTAAGGACGAGCCTGACCAGCAACTATAGTAAGCAGGCTCAACGCCAACAAGGAGATTTTTACGCCACTGCTGCTGCTGTTGCTGCTTTAGCGGCTGGCGCCGGTATGGTGCTGGTGCTGCCCCTGCTGCTACTGCTGGTGTTGTTGCTGGTGCTGTGCTGTTGCTGATGCTGTTGCCGGCGCCGGTGCCGGTGCCGGTGCCTCGGCGGCAGTTGTGATTATGGCAATGCTTCCGTTGCGGTGATATCGGCCAGGACCACGACGATGCTGTGGCGTCAGCAAGGACAAAGATAAAGATAGCAAGCCATGTTACAACTAAACGGAAAGACGGCACGGGGCGCGTGCAGAGTTAAACCAATCGAATCCCATACAGCAGGAGGTGATTCTTAGCTTCGCTGGTTCTCGCAGAGATTCGATGCAGAAAAGTTGCCTGCTGTTTTTCGACCTGTGTGACCCGAACACGACGTGGCCATGGCTCTGTCACATCCATGTCCTTGCTGGACTTCCGTTTCCTCCATCGGAGGTCGGTCGAACGAAGCTTTCGGCGTGGCTGCAAGCTCGCCCATGAAGGCCATTGAAGGCCCCCTAGACCCTAAACCCACAGGCTCCATGTACCTTTAGAGTAGATACTTACGCCTTACAGGGGTCCCCATATAGGTACTTTAAGGCCTAAGTATCTACAACAAAGGTACATGGAGTCCTTGGGAAACCCTAAACAGTAAGATGTCCTGGGGCCTTGGATGGTGTTTCGGAATTCAGAGGTTGGCTTCGATCTTGGCTTTGCTTACGGTGGCACGTGACTGCATAGATATTTGTTGAGATACTCGGTAGACTTTAAGCCCTAAACCCCTAACTCGTATCAGAGCCCTTGCAAGCCCACAGAAGAAGCCCGAAGAGAAAGACTTTTGGACCTCTGCATGTAAGATTGGACCTAGGACTTTGAACATGTAGTACCAGTCTGGCCATATGGGTGGTTGTCAAGATTATGGCCCCTTTTGGGGTTTGACAACCACCCATGTAGAGTCCCCAAGTAGTTATCTTCTCCGTGCCGTCCAGGCTCTCTACAGTCTACTAGATCGACTCCCGACAAACCTTGGGAAAGCCTCATTCATCAGCGTATATGAGCATGTTATGGGGCTTCAGGGTTTCAGCGGGTGTGCGCAGCGTTTTTTTGTACTGCTGAAATGGGGGCCATTGGAAGTATTGTGCGGACAGGTTTTAGGGAACCCGGGTCCAGCCAGCGAGAACTCTCGACCTACACTTACCCTCTCTACGCCTTTGGCATCTTCAGCAAGCAGGGTGCAGATTTAGTTTTTACGAGGTCGCCTCCACGATGCTGCCGACCAAAGTGTGAGTGAGCTCTCCCTCCCTGCGCTTGGTCATTGTGCATGCATGTCTCGGAGTCCTCAAAAGGTGGGATGAAGGCAAGTAGGATTAAGGATCCCATTACATTGTAAGGACTCTTCCCACCTACAAGTAGCTTCATCCCGCGCGCCCTTTGAAAGTCAGGTCCCTGCGAGCTGACCTGAGGGTCCAAGTGGCTGCGAAGCATCTTTGTGTTCATCTCGATGTAGTCGCGGCATATCGACGGTTGACGCCTCAAGAATTACCAGTGCTGCTCCTGTGCCTCCTTGTTATGAGTATGACTATGCGAAATCATACCCCAGAACCCTGTGCTAATTGCTAATCTGTTAAGACCCCCCATAGTAGGTGTCACTGTATGTGGCCATTCAAAACATTTGGATCCTGAGAGCTTGCCCTCGGCGGCATCTGCTCCTTTCTGGAGTCAGTCGCGGGACATCGATGTGACGCTGACACTGGAAAAGGGGTCTATAAGGGGTACTATATGGGCTACTATAAGCGTTTAGGGTTTATAGGGTTCCTTAAAAGGTGTCTATAAGGGCTACCATAAAAAGATCTATAAGGGTACTATAATATAGGGGCCTTCGTGATTAGAATAGGGTTTTGGGGGCCACTAGACCTTAATTATAAAACGGAGCCCCGAATAAGGTAACTAGGACCTAGAGCCCTCATTCTTCCTTTTTGGGTTCAAGTTCCATTGTAAGCCCCTTTAAACCAAAACGGGCACCCTCTTTATTCCTAGGTTACTCTTGGGTCGAGCTGGGTACATTGCTCGTGAGACATGTGCTGACGAAATGCTCAAACAACTCGGTAAACTGTGTCTGGCAATTATGGGGGAGCGAGCAGTTCACCCTAAACCCTGTAATATGGAGGCCTGATCATCTCAAGATCCCACAAAAACCGTGTTCTAATTCTTGACGCTCCTTATGTTCTACAAAACCGTGAAGTTTGAAAACCTCGCAAAGGATTAAGGCCTCGATTCAGAAAACTACGCATCTTACGTGGGTGTCCTCATAAGAACCCTTCGAAGCCTCCTATAACCTAGACCCCTGATTAACGACCCCTCTCAGGGATTAGAATGGTATCCTCAGTTAAAGGGCTCAAAAGAAATGGGAATTTGCGGAGTATGCTAGGGATCCTAATTTTCAAGCCTGAGAGACAGCGGAGTTCGAGGGATTCTACTGGGGACCCTTAATATTAAGGCCTTTGAAGTGCAGCAAAGGGGATGTATTGAACAGGGGTCCACCTTATCCGAAGAAACCCTAAGCCTTAAACTCTACCTGTCGATCCAGAAACCTGCCGATTTTGGGTCATTTCGGGGTCATGCCTTACAAGAAAGGGGCCATGACTGCCATGACCTACCATGTTTTGGGTTTGGGGATACAGGTAAACCCATCCTCAAATCAACCCCAGAGTCGCCACCTCGCTCGCCAAGGCCGAAATCGGAGCCAAAGAAGGGCCGCCAAAGAAGAAAGCCAAGGTTTGGGGGATTCAGGGATCTACTATGGGGGCCTGAAAAAATGGAAGAGGGTTTTGGGGCCCATTATACTATTATGATTACACCGCCCAAAATAGTATAGGTAATTACTAAGGCCACTGTATTAGGCTTTAGGATTTTAGGTTCCCGGCTGGGGTCTGTAGAGAACCCTAAACCCCTGTACCTCCACAGACCGGTGAGAAAGAACCACTGGACCGCCCTGACCCCGAAACCCCTAAATCCATAACCCCCTACTTGGAGGGTCGGGGGACTTAGTAAGTAGGTAGTAAGTAGACTTATAAGTACCCTAAAAGGGACCCTAATTGGGGTTATGGTACTTATAAGTCCCTAAAATAACCAGTTACTAAGTCCCCCGACCCTCCATGTACCCTAAACCAGCCGTCACAAAGCCCTAAACTTCTTCCTAAACCCGAAACTCTGAAATCCTGATCCCTAAACCCTAATCGCTATAACCCTAGATCCCTGAACCCCAGAGCCTAAAGGCCCCTAGTTTTGACTGTAAGTCCCTAGAACCCAGACCCAGCCTGCGCCCCAAACCCTTGCTAAAGGGGCTCGGAGTTCACGATTTTGGATGTTAGAGTTTAGGGCGTTTGGGGTTTGTGGTTGAGGTTTCATGATGGTTTAGGGTTTAGGGCTGAGTATCTTAGGGGAGCTTAGTGGGGTTTACTGACCCTCCCACATCCTACTCCAAGTCATCATTGAGGCCGCTATAGTACACCCCAAATAATTTAGACCCCCTAACCCCCAAACCACAAGACAAAGCGCGTTCGATTCAATGCAGGAGAAGAAGTTGAAGCGTGCGCGTTCGAAGCAGGCCTGCCCCTGCTTCTCTTCCGGTTTAGGGTTTTGGAGTTTGGTGGGCGTTAGGA